AATCACTAACACTAAATCGCACGCTTTTTTTCTTACAATTAATCTTCGAAAAAGGGCATTTTGGGGAGCCAGAACCCGCAAACCCAGACCGAATTTTTGATAAACTAGAAAACTGGGCTAGAAAGTGAAATATTCAACATTCAAAGCCCAAAACCCCACAGGTTTTTCAAACCAACCCTCTTGTTGAACACCCATGGCAAGATTTTGATGTTACCATTGTCATAGGAAAATGGCTTTATTGTAAAGAACTAGAAATCTTTTTGACAAGTACGAAAATTTATGTCCTTCACAATTTGAAAATGTGCAAATTACATAATGGCACAATAAAGGAAACACGTTCTATTGAGTTTTTCTTTTTACGCTACTCTTCGAAATGTAAAACATCGGCTAATTCGTACTTTTGATATTACGGACAAATTTCTCTTTACGTTTAATTTATTTCTTGGGGGTCCAAAAGTTGACCTCTTCGGCTCCAAAGGGTTGAAGGTCGAGTTGCTGGATGTTGGCTATAATTTAAGGCAGGGGAGCATCTGGCGTTCTTGGAATTGACGCATAGACCAGATGGATTTTTCATATTTCTGACAGCAAAGAATATATAAATATCACGACATTGCCCTTTCATTTGCTTTAATTGAATATTTGAAAAAGCAGGTTCAAACATTTTGTTTAGAACTTGCACATTCTATAACTGAATTCACAAAAGGTTCTGAAAGTGCATTTTGCAGCAGATTACAGTAAGCAACCATCTTAATTTCTAGCACATTTTCGAGAATTTTTTTAAAGAGGGCGGTTCCCGCATGAATTATTTATGCTTGATGGACTGGATTAGAAAAAGAATTATACAATATCAATCAAAGATAGCCCTACTTTCAGGCGTAAAATAAGCTCTTGACTGAAGTTTTCCAAATAATGCTATAAAATATTGTAGAAAAAGCTCGACCATGCTGTGATTTTTGGCCCTGTTGTAAAATTATCTGAGAGCATGTGCCTGTTTTACTGTAAAGTCGAATAGGGAACCGTTGTGGAGATGTATATTTTGCAGATCATGCTAGGATCTTGGTAAGTTTATCTAAGCGTGCGTTTACAAAAGTTAGCATCATTGACACGGTTCTTTAGAAACGAGAAACTATGTCTAGGAGTTACCTGACATTTGAATCTGAACTAACGTTTGCAATTGCGCGAAGTTTGGAAACCAGGACAATATAACTAGCTTGTGAATGGTAAGGCATCGACGTAAAGTAAAAATGTTATTCATTGTAGCAAAAAAAAGAAAAGTGTTTTTGAACATGTACCTCCTAATACGTGTTTGAGATAGAGAAAAAAAAGTCCTGCAATATAAGTTTGACCTTCTTATTGTCAATTTTTGCATTAGCTTTTTTTGAAAGTTTGCTTGCAAGAAACTCAAATCTAACTTTTGTGCACCATAATCACCCGAGGCCAAAGTCTTGGTAAAGAATTGTCATAGATGAGTATCAAAGAACATTATGGTGACTGCATAAAATTTTATAGAAATTATGAAGTTTAAGTAAAAAATTAGAATTTCGGGGGCTTTTTGAAAGCAAACAAGCATTAGCAACGCCTGGGTTAATCCTTTTGTAAAGCTTCCTCCTAAATAGTCACTTGGTTGTTGGAAATTACATAAACCTATTATCAAAACCTCTTAAGACATGAATGGTGAAAACCTATCAACCAAAACCTACAAACAAATATTTAGAATTCAAATCTAAAATTTTGAAGACTGATCTTAAGCCTTTTAGTCATTCTATTTTCTTCTTTTATCTTTTATATTATGTCCGATTACATTTGTCGAACGGTATGAAACCCTATGTTTTCAACTGCTGCACATGACACCAAAATCCATGGATCTTGACGGAGCGTTTGATAATAGGACATCTTAGCTACCTTAGATATTAACGTGTTTGATTCTAAACATAAGTGATGAAGCCACAAAAATAGATTTTCATAATATTTTAATTCGGGTCCTATGACCTAAAAGTGCAAAGTCAGTTAAATGTGTTACGTGTTAAAGGTTATAAGCCTCGGTTCATTTTCCTTTAAGATAATGAAAAGAATTATTGAAACGCAATCGATAACTAAACGGACAAAAAATGATTCTCTTTTAAACTACAAAGACATAGATTTATAGATTTGACGTTTCAGTTTTTTCATTCCTCCAAAACAAAACTTTTTACTCAAACGAAAATCAATCACTTCTAAATTTACTTTTTTATATTGGCAAGGTGTCCTTACTTGGTCCCTTTTCGATCGTGAGTTTTTTCAATTATAGAAACTGGATAGAATACAATCCAACAACTTGCAATTAAGTTTTTCTTGAGCAGAATGTAATGCAACTTCCCACAAAGATCAGTGCTGGGGCCACTACTGTTTACAAATTATCTCAATTATTTTTAAAAATTTGTTGATACTGGTATCTTAATGTACAGCAATAGCTTCTCTATAACATTTCTTATGAGCAAACTTGCGACTAGCTTAAACCTGAAACTTTCCCTTACATGTGAAAAATTGTATTCAGCTTTCAATTTAAGACTATTATATTTCTTCTCGACCAAATGGCAAGGTCTATTCACGAAAATCGTTTTTCATCGTATTTTTCTGTTTAATTTTTGGGCATCCTTCCAAACCCTACCCCTTAAGTCTCTTTAATCTCCTTTTGAATATACTAGTCTGCGCCCAAGTCTACTAATGTGGCAGCATTTATGGACTGGGGCGCAGGCTAGAATATACCTGCTAAGGTTAAAAAACAAACAAATTGTAAGTCGGTCTCTTATATTAGAGCTCAAATATTAGAGAATTCAAAGCATACTAGCAACAAGGTATAGTAAGTTGTTCAGCTGCAATGAAGCAGTTTTAGAATGACTCGTTTTATAAAACAAAATACTTTTAGAAAACCACTGTTTGGAAATTCATTAGATAATAAATTTTATAAAACCATTTAAAAGCAAATGAACCTATGTCATGTGCAACCTAATTTATTTTATTAAACTCGACAAATTTTGACGATTGTCTGTTTGCCTATCTTTGGTTTATAACTTCGTTAAAAATTAAAGCTCTGCTCGTAGGAATTTGATAACAAAACCAAATGCTTTTTTAAGCAGATTCAAAATATTCTTCTTCACCAACAGTTTTTGCTGGTGTGGATTTTTCCATAGATCTCTTATCAGGAATTCCTTGAGGGGTTATCTTATCAAGGTTGATTTGTATGGAGTAACTTGTTTTCACGTGAACGAAGATCTTAATTGAAGATGGAATGAACTCACATCTTGCTTTCTTTGGACTCTACGTTGTTTGTCAAGAGCGGGAATTTGTGAGGATAAAGATTTCTTTAATTATTAAGCATGAGATTTTTGTTTAAAATTTGTTCTCTATGTTATATTTTTATTCAGGCAAATTCTCAAGGCCTAACGCAGTTTGTTGCTAATGTTAGAAGTGTTTTAAACAAAGAGCATCCCTGCAATTAACAGCTTTGGACGTAGAAATCATTGGATCTTCTTGCTGAACATCATAGCTCGAAAAAAGCAGAGAGAACCTGTTAAGCAACTTTTTATTATTTATCTATAAAGAATGCTTCTATTTTATCATAACGCACTTGATTTTTAACTAAATAAATTCTGACATAGAAAAGCGAGTGCTATCATATTTTTATGCTCGTCTGGCAGAGATATATCTTTGAGAAATTGGCTATGCATTCACGATTTTGTTGACATGTACTTTGCATTAGTCATTGCATCTATGTTGTCAATAGACATTCATCCCCTTCATGATTTATCTCAATTCAACAAATTGGTTGGTGGGTTTCAGCACATTCTTACAATTGATCCCTTAAAATCATAGTCTTTTCTGTCTATATTTCTATCGATTGGCTCCATCTAAGGCGTAGATATTTAAAAACCGAAGCCTATCGTTGACAGTTTGTTCACATTAGAGAGACACATGTTTGTCAAGTGAGTTCTTTGAAGATTTGTTCTGCAAAGTTAATTGGGAGGCTTAATTCTTCAATCTCAGATATTTTGTTTGTAGTTTTGTTTTGTAGTTTGTAATATCTCGTCCGTGTTTTTGTTTAAAATTTTCCCTTCAGCAAGATTGTATCAACTGACATCCTATGTTATCTTTTTTCTTATGTACCCTTCTTTACAAGTCTGTCAACGTGCAATAGACTGAACTTTCAATATTTTTTCGAAGAATTAAAATTTCATTTTTCCATATATTTTATATTTTACATATATTTATAAAATGGCTTTGAAAAAAGCAAACATTTAGTAAACTAAAGCTTTTTTCGTCTGACACTCTTCAGAGTTTAAAACGTGTACCTTAAATCTTTTCATACTGAGTACTCATGAATTATTCTGATTTGCTTTTTCCCTAATTAATTGCAAGTTGAATGCTTGCTACATAGACGACTGGCAAGAGTAATTGACAATTTGACTTTTCTCTGTACCAGCATATTTGTAAAATATTTTATAAGAGGTCTGCAATGACTGCATGCCAAGCTACTTTTCTTATGTCAAAAACAATGCTATATTTCATTCTACGTCAGTTGGTTACCAGTATGCGATTGCAATCTATCAGATGCTATTTCGGATGGGGTACTCTTATATTGGCCGAGATCAATGGGTTTAAAGGGAATACCTGGAAATGCGTCCAAATCTCTCAGTCAAAAACTGCGAGTAGTTATATTTTTACCATCAAAAACCTGCGTTTGAGTCATTCCGTTAAGAAATTTCTATGGATATGGGTAGTTTGTTCATTTTGTGAAGCGCAATATGATGCACTCTGACAACGCAAGTCTGGGGATGGATTGAATAAGGGGAAAATTTGGTCTATGGATGGCTCTGCTTTCAAAGGTGTGGGCACAGATATACGACAAGCGCTCCCCTGGGCATGCCATACATGAAATAACTGTAATATTTCCTAATTATATAGGCTATTCGATTTAACATTGTTTGTTTGTATTATTTTATAAGATATTTTCTTATCCTTAGATTTGTGGAACAATAAAGAAGCAGTATGAACCAAACCGTTCTTAATCTGATTCAAAATTCTTCGACAACAACAGTTTTTCCTACAATTTCACCCTCTGTTATGGAGCACCTATCTATTTTTCAAGTTGTATTGATGATTATCATAGCAACCATTGGATTCATTGGCAACACGTTAGTCCTGCTCGTCATTACTAAACGGAAACACCGTTGCAAAACCAGCTCTGTGCTCATCTTAAACCTGGCTGTGTGTGACACTTTGGTTTCCGTGGTATGCATTCCCTTGGACCTGACTTGGCTGATAAGCCGACGCTGGGTCTTTGGTGATGCTCTCTGCAACGTTATATATCCGTTTCAAACAAGTCTACCAATAGTATCAAGCTATACACTCATGTTCATGCTTTTCGAACGCAACATGATCTTTTCAAACCGTATCAGGTCGAATTTACGAGCAACGACAGTAAAGATTTTAGCAGGCATTACTTGGGCACTTCCATTTGCTATGGTTGCACCCTACGCTTTCAAATTGGGTATAAAAGGCACTGGAAATTCTGTTTCCTGTGAAGAGAATTGGTCAAACGGTTTTTATCGTCAGATGTACACAGTCGCTTTATCTGTTGTCGAATATTTGATACCAATTGTTCTCATCATAACATTTGTTGTCAAAATTATTCGATGTTTGCGTCGTGAGCGAAACCTTGTCAAACGAGGGATGCTCGGACTCGGTCGGCGAACGAGTAAAAGGCGAATAAGAACGCAAAGAAGACTCGCTATCATATTTATAGTGATGGTGCTGACGTATGCATCCTTAAAACTGCCAAATAATGTGTTTTGGCAATGGCTTGAGTTTGGTGGTGGAAGCAAGCAACCACATGCTTCAGTGGTTCATATTTTTGTAGGACTTTGTGCCTATTCGACCTGCGCCACAAACCCTTTTATATTGATTCTGATGTCATCAGAATTCCGAAAGGACATTCGCGCCTTTTTTCTGGATTGCAAGAAGAAACGAAGGAGAAAAGGGCACAACAACAACATCTTGAACAGCGATAGTGAAAAGACCGCTATGGTGTCAATGCTGCAAACAAGCAATTCATTTTCCACCAGAACGAGACTAGCCTCGCGTCGAATCAACCGCACCCCAAGGGGCTCTACCTCAAGTGAGGAGTCGAAAAGGCCTGTGGAAATGGCAAAAAAACTTTCAGTTGCTTTTAAAGATCAACAATATATAGACTTGCCAGCAATTAATTGTCAGCAAGGAAATTCCCCTTCGAAGTCACCGTTAAATTGTAGGAAAAGCCTGGCACATTCCGAAGAATGTTTAGCTGTCGAAATGCATGATTTTAATCTAGACAAAGTTGAGGAACCTTGTCAATAATCTCAAATGCAGATGAGTCTCTTGTGTAATCTGTAACAGCGTGCCTGGCTATTGAAACACTAAATGCTCCTGTCTTTGAAGGAAAGATGTGGGTCTAATCAAAAAATATTTAACTACAGTAAATTAAATGCCATATGGTCGAGCTACTTTCCTTGTTTGTTATAACTATTGAGATATTTCTTAAAGCAGACATAGAATGCGGAAGTAATGAAATAAGGGGGCCGAGGCGCTTATTGATTCCTAAAATTTAATAAAAACATACATTGAATCATATCGGTCTGGTTTAGGCATCTTTTGACAACCCGCACGTCCACTTCACGCAAAAATATAATCTATCCGTGATATTGTCTGCGTTCAAATTGTCACAAATTTGAAGAATACAAAATTTGAGGAGTTAGAATTTTGACTATGTATAATGGCAAGCAGTCGAAAGGTTCGATAGAAACAGGAAACAGGAAGCAGTAAAAGCTTTATGCACCAAAGTAGGTATCATATGGATTTTAGTAAAAAACTTTGCTTGTATGTTCCAAAAATAACAACAATCTCTACAAAACTAGAAACCATTAAGAGTGACAAGGTTCCAATTATACTTCAACAGAGCCTCCTGTGACAGATTTGACATCAATGAGTATATATGAAGTTGGAATAGTACGGGGCATTTTGATTTTCCAAAAAATGGGTGGGAAAAAGGCCCAGACTGACCCCCCCTTTTGGCCTCTGTGTCCCTGCTTGTATGTGGTACAATATGTTTGGTGAATTTTCTGAAAACAGAATCAAAGGAAAAGCTGAATGGGTGTCCTGTTAGGAATAACTCAACAGAAGAGTCTGTGTTGGTGTTTACACAACTAGTACTATCACAGAATTACCTATCCAACAGTCCTTTTCCTACTATTTTCATGCCAATTACAATAATAAGCTATTATTGCGAGTCACCTGAGTTTTCTGAATATGCTTAGGTGATTCAATGGAAAATAACGAGACTTCTGATGATAAATGGCTGTATAGGAACTTTTCTCGATAATTCTTGGCAGTTTTGGTAAGCGGACAGACTCTCTTAGAAGTCAGTGGACACTTTAAATAGCCACCTTAATTTTTAATGTTACTATCTAGCAAAGACCGCAGCAATAAATGAGACACGAACAGTGAGATGTTCATTGACTGCAAGTTGTAAAGTACTTTCCCTTTTAAATATCAAGTGGTGATTGGGTCAATAAATGCTCGGTTGCACGTAACATAAATGCATTCAATTAATCTGAAAATAAGATTTTATTGTAACTATAGAATCAATTTTAACATATGATTTAGATATTTATCAAGCAACTGCCTTTATTAAGTCTTTATGATCAATAATAAAATATTTGACAGATATAATCATAATTGTAAATAGATGACGTGGTAGAATAGTTTAGATTAAAGTTACGTTATTCTGCAAATAAAAACGTCATACATTGGGTACATTTTTAAGAAAGTATAAATATCGCCATTTAATGACTTGCTGATAACTCGTAGCAGCATCATATTCTTTTGGTTTATAATGGTGAAGCTTAATCAGTAAAAGAGGCTTGATTTAAGACAATATTAGGAGGCTGTTATGACTTCAATTCCATATCTATGATATAAAGAGTTTCTTTATTAATCGCAATGCATATGGTTAAGGCATGCTAAAATCTCGCTTGAGTTTAATTCAATTTTTTCATTTTAGTAGACCATTATGCAAATATTAGTGAAAATTTATATCTATACGAAATGGTACAAACACAGCATCTGGGCTGTTTCATTATTCTGCTCATTTTTGGATTGGAGCTACAAGAAGAGATTCGTTTTAAGAATGCTCGCACCATTTATTAGCTGCTGATCACCGTTATTCTTCACTATGCTTGCTTCATCTTCTTCATAGAAAATCCTGTCACAGATGCAAGTAGCGCGACAAAGCTTGACACTAGGAATAACTGTCGCTGTTAGTAGAGCCCCAATTAGATAGGAAAGGAAACAATATGACTTTCGACACTCGCTCCGTTGTAATTAGCGATTTATTAAGTTTGGAAAAATAATTCGTCTATTTTCTCAACAAGAACTATGTTAATTAAAAGCAGTTTGTCCAAATGACCACTTTAACCAAGGGAAATCTTGCACAAAATATTGCGAAAAACAATAGCAGAAGTAGAAATTGGCCAATTTTCGGCATCGGCAAGGAAGGCTCAACCCCCTGAGCCCCCTAGCACTACACCCCTGTTTAAATGACAGGCTATTTTTCCTAATCCAATCAGTAACGCATTTTCTGATGGAATAATTTTCAACAATTTCTAAATTTTAAGTCCATGATAGAAAACAGATTATTGTTTTACACTAATGGTTGAAAGACGTGACAATACGCAAGTAAAGAGAAAGTCTCTCACTGCATCGAGCAAATATACCAGATGATAAACATTTTTCTTCCAAGAAAGATTTGAGATTGCTTTAATTTCAAGCTCAAAGTATTCAGTTTAATGCTAAGCATTGAGAAATTATTGATTAGAATTAAATAGATTGTTTTTAGATACAATGTAAACGAATTGGCAATAGAGTAGTATAGGGAATATATCATGAACTGTAATTAATATTGATTTATAGTAATGTAGACTGCATGAGCAGAAATAAAGACAAATAATTGCGAAATATCCTGTAAATAAGAAAAAAAATAAGGAAATCTGGTGGATTTGCATTCTATGTTTCCTTTCGTTTATCTCTGTCTGTGTTTATAAAAATATGCTTAGTTTGAAATCGCTTCACTTTTGAATACTGTATTTCCTCTAATGAACGCCGCCCTCTGATAAACGCCACCCTCTATAATGCCACACCTTCAGCCACACCTTCAGCCACACCTTCAGCCACACCTTCAGCCACACCTTCGGCCACACCTTCGGCCACACCTTCAGCCAACCATTTGGAAAAAACGCCGCCCTGAGATAAACGCTGCCCTTTATTGAATCTTGAAAAGCAGTGTTCATTAGAAAACACACCAAACACGAAGTAACGAATAGTTTATACGCTTGCTATTCCAAAGCTATGAAAGTTTTTATCTCATAGAGACGAGGACTCTGACGGAGACAGGGATATTGAAATTCCTTGACATTTGACATTTTTCATTTGACAAACTTTTCATTTTGTATTAAAAGCTGCCCTCTGATAGACGCCGCCCTTTATTGAATGCCGCATCCAAAATTTGGATTTTGTAACAAAGGCCGCGGCGTTCTTTAGATGAAATACGGTAGATCTTTTTTAAAGAAATTTTGTGAATTTGCATTTATAGTTTCACAGAGGGAGTTCGGATGGTTAGAACGAAGTGTGAGTTGAGATAATTTGACAAAGTAGAATATGATGGAACTAGAAGGTCTCTCCCAAGTCCGTCACTAGTTATCGAGTTATAAGTTATATATAATCTTTGCTCTTTAGTTTGATGTCATATATTCAAATATTCTTTCCCTTCCGTATATTCATTTTAAACCCTGCGAAATAGGTGTTTTGCAAAAAGGAAAGCTAAATTTTGTATGCTTCTGAATCTAGTAGTCGACTAGCCTAAATACCTAATGTGTTGGGAGAACGAGGGGAGAAGGATGATATGTAGAAAAAGAGGTAAGAGGAGTTGATTTTGATTGCATTGGTTCTACTTGGAGTAATTCAGCCTTTCTCTCCCCAGAGAAATTCCCTAGCGCTCTCTAGTTCTTCTTTGCAGCCTTAAGCCTCAATGCGGCATCAAGGCGAGAGGAAACGGTATTCTCATCCTCTGAGAATAATTCTTCCATTGTGAAAACTCCCAATGGTGAAAAGTATGCTGAATATGGCTTGACATTGTCATTCGTTCTTATGGCTGACTCGAGTACATATATAAATAGTTGCAGGAATAAGTTCTCAAGATAACGGCCTACAGATTTTGGCATGTTAGGAAAGATACTTGTGTCATTCGTTCTAGATTTAAAAATATGTCCTAGAATTGTCCTACCTGGTAATAATATCATACCAAAGGCATGGGCAACGAAAGTCATACTAGAGAGCTTAAACCATCGAAACTTGCGGCCACGTGTTTACTTAAAGTCTTTTGGCCTAAAGAAATGCGGCAGCGAATTTTTGGTAAAGAGAGACCCTCATGCATCATCGCTAAAGGAATCAGGCTTGATGATGTATAGCTGTAAGTAACTACTTTTTCAATTCTCAAGAAGTATATTTTGATTGCTTTACAGTTTGTTCTATCTTCATGCGTACACGAAACAAGACAACACTGCGAGTTGCAGATCACTGCTATGTGATTGGAACAAAGATAAAAAAACTGCATATTCACGATATTCCAGCCAAAGGACTTTTTTGGCTTGAAGGACTGTGTATATTGATGTGATCTTTAGCGTAGCCAGGGATCTTATACAGCGTTTACACGAGACCGGTTCCATTTGGAACCGTACTAAAATCAGTACGGATTTGCACGGGACCAGTCGGAACCGTTCCAAATGAAGCTGCTAGCCGTACCAAAAAGGGATCGCTTCGAAAAGAGTTCCATTTGAAACCGTTCTAAAATTTGTCGTGTAAACACAGCCTTAGTCTCGAAGAGCGAGAAGCTATATTGAAGGATTGAAAAACGGTCTCGATCTCTACGACCTTGATAAAAACTAACGATTCGCAACTTTAAAAAGCCTTTAGGCTTCGCTCGCAATGCTCTGTATTGGTCTTTGTGAAAAAGATGTCCGTTCACACTGACATCTTTTTCACAAAGCTTTAACTTAAATACAGTATGTGTTCACAAAGAAGATGTTTGGAAATTGTTTGGCTAGAAAGCATGCATGTTGATGCTGTAGCGGACCTAAAGTTTCTCTGTTTTAGGTGTACAAATCTTTCCTACTTTAGCAGCATAGCACGTAAATAAGGGGGTATCCTAATTGACTTGATCACACATTTCCAAATCATCATCTATTCAGAACTATCAATTCATTTTGTAACTATCTTGCATGACTATAGCCGGATCGACCAAAGGGCAAGGGGTTAGGCTTGAGTAAACGGGCATTTGAAAGATAATTCCCAGCTTCTACAAAGTCTTTCATAACTGCCATTTTCTTTCGATTATCTATAGGTACCTTGAAAAGTTTTGAGAAATGTCGAAGAGATGCAATTTTTCAGATTCTTTTTCTTAAATGAAAATGTAGGTGGAGAATCTCTTATAAATAAATGAATAAATAAATTAGTAAATAAATGAACAAACAAACAAATAAATAAATAAATGGAAAACGCTTAAAACTAATATGTGAACAAAAGCAAGAGAATGTCTAAAGCCTTGGCCAAACTGGGCAACATTGTTGCCCGACAATGTTGCTTGAAATTTTGTTGATTTTTTGTCGTCGAAACATGGTGGCCAAACTGGGCAACATTGTCGTGCAGCATCTTTTGCTGATGTTGTCAAAACAGCGCGCCAAATTTAAATTGATAAGTGGTTTCAAAAGTTTGGATAAGTATGGCTGAAAGAAAGCAAGCTGCAGCCACTGGAAGCTGATTTTGACTCAGCACAACACCATCGTGTGTTGCTTTTAGCACCCTTTGGTTGAGCACTCGTAGAAGCAGTAGCATTTGGCTGATTTGTTGTTTTCAAGAACTTGCACTTGGATTTGTTTCAGACGAGACCTTTATATTCTTCCTCTCCATGGTTTACTTCCCATTCTGCAAAATCAACTTCGAAGCTTAAATTTTGACAGGCCATTTTTATTGAATCGAGTTGAGGATATTGTTTTGCAATACAACACTGCGCATGTTGATTTTTTCTCAGATGGTAAATTGAGGTGAATTGTTGCCCGACAATGTGGTTAAACTGGACAACATAGGGCTGAGCAACAAATGTTGCTGAAAAATGTTTGACCATGTTCAAACATTCGAGCAACAAATTTCTTAATGAATTTGTCGGCCGACATGGTGGCCAAACTGGACAACATTTGAGCAACATTATGAATTTGTGAATGTTGCCCGACAATGTTGCCCAGTTTGGCCAAGGCTTAAGTTTGTTGGTCAGCAAAGAATAATTTCATAATGAACGGAGTGAGCTCGAATTCTTTGAAGCTTTGTTTTCAAGTTTTGTCATTCTATCAAGTTTGTTTTTGTTGCAGTAATGAGCAGCCTCTCTTGCATTCATTGAGGTAAAACAAGCCTCCCTCTTTCTTTCAGTATAAAAGGCATGTTACACTTACTAGGCTAAACTTGTAATCAGATCTGATTTTCTTTTAGATGTTGTTCTCATACGTAGCTCCACATATGATCTCTACATGAAAAGATTGTGTTACAGACGATAGTGGACCCGAAGACACAAAGGAAACGTGACCCCCCCTATTTTGGAAACAAAAGTAAAATAACTATTTGCAGCTCACGGAGGCATGGAGGGATTAACCGGGGGTATTGGGGTGCGACACCCCTAAATATATTTTCGCCACTAGGTAAATTTTCCCTTGATTCGGTATAAAATATTTCAGTCACCTGAAGGGTGTGGCACAAAAATCCAATCTTTATTAAACATCCCCAATCCTCGTCGCTTAATTCTGCCCCTTCACGGAGGTGCCCCAGGTAACCCCCCCCCCTAAGCCCCACAAAACTATTAAATTTCTACTTCTAGGTTTTGTAACCGATTATGATCAGCAGCACTTTATCCATGATTTGATTAATTAGCTGATTCGATTCGATTGAGAGCGATCAAGTGTATCACAAAGCAACCATGTCAAGAACTATCAAAAAATCGATTCAGTTCTTCAGTGTCGAGATAACATAAATCCACGGTAGGTCATGAAACTTTTTGGATAATTCTTCAATTTTATGTTTACATTAGTAGCTGATACTTTATGAATAAAAAGTATTTTTGCTAAAGATCAGAAGGGAGAATTTGATTTAATTAAAACCTTGTGAGTAACCTTTAAAAGATTGATCCAAGAAAGAAACATCAGTGCAATGCTACCAACTGTATCATTGATATCTTCATGTATCATACCATCGGTAGGAAATATACATACAATCACTGCCAAAATTACTTGGAACACCCAACACTTTGCGCTGTGCTTTTCCATTCTTCATTTGTTTTCCCAAATACAACTACTTCCGTCCCCTTTTTCCCCAAAAAACAATGTTTAAAGTATAGAAAAATATCATACAAGGCACACGAAAAAGTGTACTCCACAATCCCTTCCTTTTTTCTATAGTAAATCAACATTGTTCTTAGGGGGAGAGGGGGGTGGCTGAATTTGCCTTTGAAAACTGACGTTAGTGTTCCAAAACTTTTTGCAGTGATTGTACGTCATCCACGTAAATTTAAAAAACGGTCCAACATAAGATTTTTTAGGTACCCTAAAATTAATTGCCTACCAGGGTAAAATCCATGTTTATGATATGGCGGTCAATGCATAGTGATCAGTCAAAACTTGAAAGTTGTCTTAAAGTACAGCACAATAATTGAGTCTGCAGGCAACAAGAATTTAAACGCAATTTGTAGAATAAGACTATTATTAGTGATGGCTTTACTTGAAGATGTGAGTTACTTGATGTGAGCTACACATCTTAAAAAAGGTAGAATTTGAATTTTGACCATAAGCAATGCCGATATTAAAACAACATTTTGAAAGCTTTATCATGTTTAAGGCCAAAGCTCTCATGTAAATACACTTTTGAAGTATTTTTCTGCTTGCATTTGCTAAATTTTCAAACAACTCAAATTCATATATAATTATAATCTAGTCCAATCGATGTGGTATTCAATCAATAATGAATTCAATAAATTGTTTGTCTGTCTAAGATATTCAAATTCGCTTGATCGATACATACGGCAAACACATCCAGTACCGTAGAAAGGACTGTTTGAGAGCAATGGAAACAAAATTAATTGTCTATTGGAAACAATGGATCTTTATAATTATTGTAGGAGCAGGAGACCCTGAAAACAATAGTAGTTACAGACCTAAAGATGCTCTCATACTATTAGTGTGAGTGCAGTTGTCATATCGGCCAAGATTCCTTTGCAGATGAACAAATATAATTTGGCATTACAAGCTGGAAACAAAATTACAAAATTTCTTCACAGTCTTTCAAATAAATAAATCTATCCTTAAATTTATCCTCGCTGCAGTTTCTACATAACTCGCCTATGCTTTTGAAATATATCGAAAGACAAAAGCTGAAGGCGAAGAAACCTCGTTGGACTCGAAATGTCGGGCTTCTGTATTTTTGTTGCTGTTGTTGTTTGTGACAATGAGAATGGTTGCTCGAAGTAGCTTTTCATGTTTGTGCCTGATTCTTAACATAACTTTAAATGTGCTTCTCCCAATAAACCATTGCTTACTTTGATCGTTCTTCGCAGAGGTAGGCCAAAACTTAGACGATCAGACAGCTGAAAAAAAGTCGAAATTGCTTGATATAAAAAGAGTAAAGTGAATATATGAATATTAGATGCAACTAAATGTTATTAACAGAATGACAAGCGAGGCTAAGAAATACATTTATCATTTTTTAATAATGGGAGAAAAATGACATGTTTTTCCGTAAAAACGAACTAAAATTCTGGTTAACTTCATGAATTTCGGTACACTTTTCTTATTGTGCCTACCCTCAAAGAAAAAGTAGAGATCAGAATTAGCGGGGTCTGGAACAAACATTGAAATTCTAGAGCCTCTCTAAATACTGATCCCTGCTTAGCCTAAACGAGAAAGCGGATAGCGTCATTTTAATTGCGTCTGAAAAAAATCTGACCAATTTGTACTATAATGATGATGACAACTTACAAAGCAAAACTTTTCCAATCTTCTCAGGGTTGTGTCTACTGACAAAATGTTCAAACTCGTCCCAGCCACCACCAACTCTAACCATTACATGTTTACGCAGTATCTTGAAAAACAGAAAATGATTATGATAATGACAATGATCTAGCAACTATGGCGTAAATGCTTTCGCGTGGGAGCGGAGTGGAGCATCAGATATTTGAAAGAGGAAACGGGGCGTCTAGGTTTCATGACATACATTGGTTGATAATTCCATTACTAAAATCTGATAATTTCATTTATTCCTCATTTGACAGGCGGCAAAAGTTATCATCTAATTGTTTAGGCTTCACTTTACCACATACGGTGTTGTTCTTAGGTTGTCCTTAGGTAGTCCTGAATATCTCCACGATCTTTGGAGAAAAGAAGAAGACTAATATAACTTGCGATAAAGTCACAGTTTGTTGCTAGCATGATAACTTTAAAAGCACAGAAGAAAACGCTCCCTAGCGTCTTTTTCAAAATTTTCTAAGAAAGACCCACCTGGTAATTGCTGATAATGTCTGGCTTGTATGAGTGTTTCAGACTACAGCAAGCAGTTGCTGACGGGTGACAGGTAAAGTTTACACACCACATTTAGGTTAGGGCCTCGTTGCAGGTCTTAAATAGGGGACCAAGGAGCAAGGAACAGGAAATTAGGGAACCAGGGAACCTCTAGAAGAGGAGGATATACTACCACATTACTATATATAAATACCATCTGATGAAACATAGACCTGCCTTGTTAACATTTACAAAACGAATTCCAAAACTATTTTTGTAAATTGCTAAAAAGATTACTTCCTTTAGAAATAGCTTTCTCGAAATTGTCAAATAGGGAGACGAGAGAGCTAAATGTCATATGAAAACTTTGATAACACCGATCTTTATAAATGCATAATAAAATCTATATTGTATTTATCCATGAGAATTGTACAATAAAATCACAAAAAAGCATCCTAAAATTGCAAAATCTTCCTTGGACATATAGGGAAGTAAGATACCTACACGCACAAATATTGTTAGTTTGTCATTCAAAATATATTTTCCTTCTTTAACTCTTTCTAGCTTTACATGATACTTCGCAGCCACACGTTTCACCTGAAATTTAAGCATTCAAAATGAAAAGAAAGAATCAATTTTCTGTAGTGTAAGATACTCGGTAATTTACGTGTCTTGCATCCTGTGATAGGTATAGCTAGAACCGCAAAGCTAATGTTTCAGGTAACTGCCTAAATACGCTTCAAAGACAAAATGGAAAATTACAGCAGCAGTGCTATGCTTTTTATTACTGCGATGGTGCAGACGATGTTTCTTTGTTATGAGATTCGCAGCTACTCTCAGTTCTATAGAGCAGTCCCAAATTCTCAAAATAAATACAATGTCCGAAGCACTATAGACAGAAAGAAGAAATATATCTTCTTGAATGAAAAAAAAAATTCTTACAAAAAGCATACCTCTGAATCTAATGGCCCAAGAGATTTATTTTTCTTCCCTCCTGCACTTTTTGGTGGGATTGGCTTTTTCTCTTCCTCTTCCTTAATTTCGGTCTCAAGCTTTACTAGATTTGGAACAGGTGTCATTCCATATTTTTCACCAATCCTACCCAGCTCTAACAATGTCAGAACTACATTCTTCACTTGTCTATGAAGAACAAGTCCATCAGATTCAAATAGTGTTGATTCTTGAATGCCGACTTCTCTGCACCAGCTATCAAAAGGAAAAGCTGTGTTATGCTGAGAGGGCAATTGGTTTTGGGGTTTTGAAGTAGCAATAGTTTAACTGGGCATATGTGAGTTGATTTGGTTGTAATTAGCTAGTAAGATGAATCGCAAAAAATTATTACTTTTTTTACTGTAATTCTTCTAAAGTTTGTCTCACCAAAAGAGCCCCTTCATATGAGCACCTTCTCTAAAGATAATGCTTACAAAACAGGGATCCCCTCCTCGAATGAGCACCCTGCAATTATTAGTGATTTGAAATAAGTAATCACCGCCACTCAGAGGAGGTACAAAAAGGATTTTGCTGACAAAAAGGGCGTTTCTCACTCTTTAAGGGTGTGGTCATAAGATAAAAAATCTTATAGGCTCTTTTCATGCGTTTCTATTTCAAAATTCTTGTTTTAGTGCCATACTCTGAAAGTTTAACTGCTACAGAAATATTAAAACGTTACAGTTATTGCAAAAAGGCTACAATACTACAGGATAAGAACAACAATTCATTCACCTAGGTAAAATCCTTTATATGCTGACAGAAAAAATGCTGGTGGGTACAGCACCCCTGTACCCCTTCCCCCTCTTTAGCAGGGCCTTTGAAAGCTTGGGATTAATGTGATCTATGATGTAACTAGTGTGGCCTTGACAGAATGGGACTTCTCATGAGATAGAAGGGAGCTGCAACAAAAGACCTTTTGTGCTTTTGAGCAGGATTCCTTAATGCAAAATTTATTGAATAATTGTATCTCAGAATGAAAGCAAATTTCATCAGTGAATTACAAACAATCTGTCTGCTTGATGCTGCACCATCATTGATGCTGATATTGTATCAATAGCAGAGCCTTTATAAGGTAAATAAAAGGTCATTTGCCACCCTGCAATGAAGTTGCTAATGAATGGTCTCCAACAGAAATGAACAAAGCGTTAAAAGAATATTGCATGATAGAAAACATTATCGGATTTAACAAGGAACACAGTTAAAAATTCTTAAGAACCTTTGAATAATTTATATGTCAAATAGTCCAGCTGTTAATAACAAGCTCTCTTTTTTAAAAGATCATGCTGGAGGAATAACAGATTATAGCACAGTAATACTTCATGAAAGGAAGGATGGGTGGGAAGTATTCAGGCAGAAAAAAATTATCCAAATTATCTAGTATTTAAAATATTTTGTCTAGCAAAGCAGCAAAAAGGGCTTGCAAATGAGCATAACAATGCAATGTAGATTAGGATGGCAAAGAAATCCACTGATAATAAAATAGCCAAATGTGGGTTTTTATATGTATCTATGCATATAGATTTTCTAAAGGACGTAATTAGTCACTTGTGCCAAAACAGAGTTAATGCTTATATCAGGGTGCAGATTTTCTCGAATTTTGATTCCAAAGAGGTGATATCTACACCCAAAGCCTTTTTTGAAGATAGGCATATGGTACCCATGTTTCCTACCCAGAAAGAGAACATTTTAAAACCATTGGCCAAGCAAGATCATATTTTTATTAGGCTCAAACTGATCAAAAGCAAGGTTACACGAAACTTTAAAAGAAGTTGCACTCCTGTTTTATCAGCTCCCCATACAGTACAAGGAAATGATCAGCAGTGCAAAAATTGATGCATAATCTACAAACCTTAAAAAATTTGCAGCATTCTCTCTTGCTAGGAATGATTCTTTGGTAGCATGCTTGTGCTTTTTAAACTTCAGCTTTGGGAGCGGAGGTGTTGAGTTTGCTTCCAGAGCCTCCTCCTTGAGATAGAAACGGTCAGATGCCTCTAGAACCTTCTCAGCCAGCTGGCATATTAAGTATCCATTGTCAAGCTCATCCATGAAATTGTCTACATCAATATCTTTCTCGAAGAGCTTTGCAAGCCATTCTGCGACGTCTTCGATCAGAGGAATGAAATTCTTTGCGCTTTGTTCTGATATTTTCGAAGAAATTTCATCAGACACTTTTTCTGCATCTGTTCCAACCGTGTCAGCCATGATGACTCCATGGTTCTTGGGAAGTCAATTGAAGTGAATACAGCGTCATCTGTCTCTATAGCTACCATTTTCACGGTCACAAAAGATTAGGCGGAGATCTTCCATAAATTGTCTAAACATTTGCCTGCTTCTTTCGCTTAATAGTTTTATCTTCATTTTTTCAAACTAGGATATTTTGAAGACACAAAAGGAGGATTCAAAAGAGCGTTATCATTTCTCTATCCATCATCTGTTCTAAAGGAGGGATTCTCACGAGAAGAATTCAAGATTCTCCTTATAGTTTTCCTGTTTATCTAACAATATAATGTTTAGATTTATACTTTCAAAGGCCTCTAAAACTATTTATTGAAAAAGCTCAATTACCTTCCATGGCTGCGATTTTATCGTAAATGAGATTCTCAGGCTAGCTATGCTGATACTTTTAAAAAATGCAAAAGTAAAATGGCAAACGTTTTAGAGGCAAATTCATATTTTCTAGCACTGAAGCATTTAATTTTTCCTCTTTCTTGAAACAAAGCAAAGAATAAGCGAAGAGTGGGGACGGTAAACCTATGTTGATGGCTGCCGTATATGCATCCCCTGATAACCCCAGTTAACAATCCAAGATAACACATAGCCATGAAAATGACTACTGATCGGCCTAGGTTGTTATTTGATAAGTCCGTCGAAACATCTAAAGAAATTAACTCAGTAATACAGCAGCACATCTTTAGAAAAAGCGGCAAGAGTAACTGAAATGTCTTCTGCATTGATCTTTATTATGATAACTTGCCAGTCAACGAGGCCAAAGACAGTAGGACATTTATACTGATCTCTCAGCAACAGTGGCGGAAATTCAAGGGGGGAGGGGGGGGCAATGCCCACAAAAGCAAGCAAATTTGCCGAAAAATGACATAATTTTGCCGACAAAACCGACAATTTGGCAAAACCTGGGGGGAGGGGGGCGGTTGCCCCTCTATAACAACGCAATTTCCGCCACTGCTCAGCAATAATTAACCAATGAACATGAACTTTTGCCGAAGTTACCCTTCAGCTAACGCGATTGTCAAAAGAATTCGATCATACGAGGAATTCAGAAAAGTTTTGTTGAATCTGCCTCTATCTGAGTGCTTATGGAGTTATAGAGCAGACACAGCAGCAATGATATAGAACCAATTTAAGATTTGAATATGAAACAAGCATGTTCAAGGAAGGATCAATGATCAAAGAATTCAGATCTCTTCCAATTAGAAGATAAAATCAATAGAAAAAACAGTGTAAAAAAGCTTCTATGCACTTAATTTCAGCAGCTGCCTGCATAGGCAGCTTATATGAAAGAAAAGCAAAGCGTCTGTAAAGTTAATATTCATAAAAAAGATATGTTTTTGTATTCCCTTGAACCAGTATTGAAAAAAGAATAATATAACTACTGTATAAAAGGCATGCAACCTCTCATATCATCACGAAATATATTTTTGAAAACCATATCATGAATGGTCAACAACAAAATCCACTACCGATGTGAACAAATTCTTTGTAGGCATTGGTCTCGAAACGTCAAAGAACATTGAGATTTTCGAAGCAAAGACTTCCTTTTAATTTTACATGTTAAATCATGGTTCTCGTTAAAACCTGTGACGATGAATGGAGTTCTGGAAAAATTATAAAGGAACAGAAGAGATTATCACATATCAATCTAATAGCTTTGATGGTATTAGCGTAAATTCGCTAGGATTTGCTGCCGACATTTTTGACCACCATGAGACGTCTGATAAATTCAGCACTGATGCTGGTGAATTCTCGGTACCTAGAAAAACAGCACAAATCACTCCATGAAAGTGAAAATAGTTTGCAAATCCTGCTAGCCAAACAAATTCAAGAATATCTAAATACAAACGGGATTTTTGACAAATATTATTCTGGGGTCTGGTGTTCGAATTTTATAACTATACTTGCATATATAACTACAAACACGGAACAGAAGCTTGTCACATCCCACTTTTCAAAGGACCTGATGTAAGTATTCTATTAAAGCGAACATTCATTTAATCTACCAAAACTATTTAAATATGGATTTAATTGCATTTCATTAAAATCGGCTGCAACTTGTCAAAGTAAACTCATTGGTATCGGAACAATAAACTTTATATTGCGGTGCTCCTCAAGGTTCCTTTCTTGGATCGATACTTTTACATCTCTATGTAAATGAAATCCTAGAAATTATTTAGAAAGGAAATGCGGTTGCATTAACTTAAAACTTGTATCCTTAACCTGGAATAATATGGGCAAAGAGTATTAGATCGGTTCTTCCAAAATAATTAAAGGCAAACCCAGATCATATTCTATCCATTACCTATGCAATATAACAACAACACAAAACATTCATATCCTGCTAACTATAAAAGAAACAGGTTTTATTCGTCGTTTATCGGCGTGACCGAAAAGTCTCTTCTCTCTGTTTATTCTATACCTCAAAGAAAGTATACCATATAAAAAAGTTTACACAGACATTATACAAGACAAGCAATTAATTTGCATATACAAATATCAACTTTGTCGAGCCAAAAAAGACATTTCTACTGCAATGGAATTCAGGACTTCAATAAAATAAGATTTAAAAACAAAGACAGTATATATCTTATCATGCATTTCACAATTAAGTACATTGATAAGTTTTCCAAAACTTTCAAGCTGACGATTTCAAAATGGAAATTTGGTCTTAAACCGGTCTTAAACTGGTCTTAAACTGGTCTTAAACTGGTCTTAAACTGGTCTTAAACTGGTCTTAAACTGGTGTATTGTATTCGAAATATATCTTATAAACTGTTGCATTCACCTTTATCAAAACAAAAAAAGAAATATACAGAAAAATAGACAACAATATATTTTGAAAAAAGCATGTATAATTTTATTCCACGTGATGAAAAACCCTTTTGATCTCTTAAACTACTATTACATCAAATACAAATTTCGTAATTACAATTGGAAAGTATCAACCATCATATATATATATCAACTTCACATTTTGCAATTCTGTTGAAAAACAATTAAAAAACGGCTACAGGGCAGGTTTGCCAAAGTTCTTAACGTCCTTAAGCATTTCAATCTTCAGTTGAATTTCGTTCATCGCATTAAAGTAAGCATTTTTCTCTATCCTTTTCAAGATGACTAAGTTCCAAAAGTATGAAACTGAAAGGACAATACACACGATTTGCAGTAAGAAGACGATTTCACCAGACAGCTTGCTCAGAACCGGAAGCAGGAAGTAAATACCGTCTTCCGAGAAAACGGGCATGAAGATAAACACGAGAAGCAAAATCCAGATAGGTATAATCCAATTCCATTTGTACTCTTCTGCTAGCTTCCTACCATAAGCAATAGTATCTCTCAATTCCTGCAGGATTTTTATGCTGCTTTCAGGAGATGTTTTATCGAATTTGCTTTCTGCTCCAGTTTTGGAAGAATCTAAAACAGATCAGCAACGTTTATAACCAACAGATTTCCTTCCGAATTTCAAAAATTTACTTTTCAGAACACTTTTCAGCTATGGTCAGGAAACGAGAGAAAGTAAAAAAGAATTAACTATTATACCATATACTGAAAGTGCTGTCCACCGGTCTGTCATAAAGTGCTCGATGCCATAGAGGCAGAGCTGTACACAAAGTGGAAAGTTGCTACTGTTCTAAACAATTCAAATCACAGAACTGCTGAAATTTTGGTTCATATATTTTAATTGGTTCAGTTGCCTGACGATCGCACTAAGCGTGAAAATTGGAGTAGCAGCTTAGAACTGTTCTGTTCTGTACACTAAAAGTGTATCATACCATATACAATCACTGCCAAAATTACTTGGAACACCTAACACTTTGGGCTGTGCTTTTCTATTTTTCATTTGTTTTCTTGAATACTACCACTTCCGCCCCCCTTTCCCCCAAAACAATGTTGAAAGTATAGAAAAATATCAAACAATCCACAAGAAAAAGCGTACTCCATAACCCCTCTCTTTTTTCTAAAGTAAATCAACATTGTTCCTAGGGGGAGAGGGGGATGGCTGAATTTGCCTTTGAAAACCTACGTTAGTGTTCCAAGACTTTTGGCAGTGATTGTCTGAAGACAATTTCGAAAACCAATGGTTATGACAGGAGAAGTTGGTCTTACTATAGGGTTTTCGATGGTGCTGAATTCATTGGTGCAAATAAAAATTCAAAATATTTACTCGCAATGTAGTTTTTGGGGGGTGTGGGGGTGGGAGAGGCCTGTATAGAGGGCTTCTACGGTTGACTCTGCAGCTTTCTCTTATAGCAATGATATACTTCAATTTTTTGTTAATATCATCACAACTATCATTATTTAACAAACCTTAGCACAGAATGATTGGATAGAATAAAATTACCATGTAAAAAGCAAAAATAGTACACTGCAGAACTTTTTAAGAAATGTGTTTTACAAGCAACTTCCGTTCTTTACGGCTCTATTTATTAATTGAAGAAGATGAAATACGTAGGTTTTTCTATAAATAAGTAACTTTATATGATGTTGAATAAAATGCTAGTAGGAGATTCAAATGACTCGTCTTCATTTATCATAACCCTTCCAAAACATTCCAAAACCATGCAGGACTTGAATTGAAAGCACGCTCCTTCGCATTTACGCGTGGCAACAAGGTAGTGCTCAAAGATACCCCCATCCTACCCTCTTCATTTCTGTTCTTTCTTTGTCTCACTAATGCAAAATAATGTGTGTCAATTATGTTTCTGTGTCCGTCATTATCAACGTATGCGAGGAATTAGGAGAGCCTTCGTTCCCAAATGTGAATGCTGTGTAGTATGAGAATGTCTACTGCCCACGGTTAACAGTCACGGTCTACACTTTTTAAAATGTTTATAAAAATCGTACTGTTCAATAAAAATAGACGATAGTTTGCCAGCATGTGTGCAATGTGTTTTTACAGGTGTCTGTAGCCTTTCAGCTTCATTCCAGTTACAAAACTCCAGAAATGCAGGAAAATGTCCACGGTTAACACTTTTCTGAAGAAGGAATTTCAAGAACTCAAGATCTTTTCTCGTTTCAAGTGTTAACCGTGGGATTTTTCTAAAATCTTGCCGTTTTCATCACGGAATTCATGCAAAACTTAGTCCTACATGTAAGTTAAATTATGACACACCTTTGTGGTAAATTTGGGGGCAAAAATGCTGTTGACCATAGAGAAAACTGCAAAAAGCCTCCACGGTTAACAGTACGGTCTACAGTTTCTCATATCTGTAAACGACAGTGGGCTTGCGGGGCCTTGCCTCTGACAAGGATGCAATTTGCATTGGGTGATGAAATGTGTTTTGGTATGCTAAATGACAGGCAAACAAAAGCAGCAAGTTATTATTGTTGAAATAATCGGTCCAGCGCTTTTATGGATAAAAAGAGGGAGGCACAGTCATGGTTGCAATGGCATTTTGGCAAAACAGTGGAAGCAGAAACGGAGCCTTTACTTGGCGTGCAACTAAAACTGGAATTTTAGGGCGCAGAAGTATGAGTGGACGTCAGTTGTATTTTAGCTCTTTTAAAGGCCAACGTGGAATCGTAGATAAGCCTGTTGAGAGCTCATTTGCGGGGAAAACGGCGTTCTTCTCTACGAGTTTGATATGTTCCTTGAAAATTGCCATTTGGGCAGTGAAATGCATGGGAACAACTTGTGACAGCGGCAGCTTGTAAATTCGTGGTAAAATCATGGCAGCTACCCAACATAATTCTTAAATAAGACTTTTTCTACAATTTTAGAAATGCAAAAGAAAAATCGACTTTCATCTTTTAAAATGGCACCCTTTCTTTTTTCAAGTATTTTACTAGCTGCTACCCTGTAATCATGTATTTCTTCTGTCCCATTATTTATTAATGTTCAAATATCCATGAAGTTTCAAATAATTTAAAAATGTCATTTTGACCATTCTGATCAGAAATCAATTTTAATTTTCTCAATTTAAACCATTTTTGAAACATGGTACCTAGTTCTATGAGGGTAGCTTACCCCAGCCCCTGAAAACAAAGAATACCCCCATATCTCCTTATTAGTAATACGTACGGTTTTGAAAATGCCGTAAATGGACTCAGCACCATCGAAAACCTATGGGTAGACATAACATGTGATAGTGTATCTGATAAGCTTCAAATTTCCATTCAGACAATCACTGCCAAAATTACTTGGAACACCTAACACTTTGGGCTGTGCTTTTCTATTTTTCATTTGTTTTCTTGAATACTACCACTTCCGCCCCCTTTCCCCCCAAAACAATGTTGAAAGTATAGAAAAATATCAAACAATCCACAAGAAAAAGCGTACTCCATAACCCCTCTCTTTTTTCTAAAGTAAATCAACATTGTTCCTAGGGGGAGAGGGGGATGGCTGAATTTGCCTTTGAAAACCTACGTTAGTGTTCCAAGACTTTTGGCAGTGATTGTAGATACGCGTACAAGATTTGATTTTTGTAAAAATTATAACAGGATCGGGATAAGAAACACAATCTGCACTAAAAACAACCTTGAAATAACAATAAAATGAAAACCGAAAACCCTGCACATGATAGCAGTAAATTTCCTCTCTTTCACTTCCTTTCCTTTCTTTCTGTGCTTTCCCTTTCATTCCCAAGTGCTGACTACAATGCCTGCCAAAAGTCTTGGAACACTGACATCAATTTCCAAGGTCAAAATCAATCATCCCCCTCTCCCCTACAGAACAATGTTGGTTTACTTTCAAACGGGTTAGGATTTTAGGAAGCACTTTCTTTTGCGCTTCTTTTATGATATTTCTCTAAGTCATCAACATTGTTTTTGGGGGAAGGGGGCGGAAGTAGCAATTCTCTTTCATGAAAGGAATGACAGATATCAAATGCAGCGTAAACTGCTGGGTGTTCCCAGTACTTTTGGCAGGCATTGTAGAGTTATTAGCAGCAATTAAGTTCCAAATGATAGCCAAAACTACTTTTCAGAAGTTTTTGCGATAAATCAACTCTATACATTTGTCTTCCTTCTTATTTCAATAACACTCTGTTTTTCCCTCACTTTTGAAGACATTTCATCACTAATCTTTGATCGCTGAACATAAAATCAAGTAGCTTTGCACTTACCCGTGAAGATGAACGTTGATCGGACACCTTTATGGTCTGAGAAATGATGCTTTGACCCAGGAATGCCCTCCAAATCGATACCATAATCGATGCACTGAAGACCATTGCTGTGAAATATAAAGTCAATCCTCTTCTCTGTCTCATTTGCATGAATGTATGGGTTATCTGGGCTATTTATTGTGAAACATTGCCTATCCAGCTGGAAAAGAAAAAAATATCTAAAGAAAGGCAAGGCACAGAATAACAATATGTCATCACAAAAATTATTTTTAAATGGCTTTGAAAAAAGCAAACATTTAGTAAACTAAAGCTTTTCGTCTGACACTCTTCAGAGTTTAAAACGTCAGAACACAGAACGAAAACTCTACGCTAAGAAATATATATACCCAGTTGTGGATCGAAATAGGCCAATCAGAAACACGAGCACATGACTGTAAAGGCTGACCAATCAGTGCCGCTTGCCTATTAGAATGTCACTAAGGTGAAAACGAACTCCTTTTGTCTACACAGGAGACAAACTCAGTCAGAGAAATCAATCAAAACCACCATCTAGAAGTTCGACTTTTATCAGATCCTCCCTGATTGCACTATCTATGTTTTCAGATTCTGTTGGAGCTTCAAGAAAAAGTCTCTTACTCGGAGGCTCCTCTATAACAGCCTTGCGTTTTTTCTCCAAATAAATATCAACAGCTTTTTACTAAAGTATTTCTTGCCATCACTGTCCATCATTGTCGCTTATTATCAATATTTATTGTTCCCGCTTTTGAGTAACTGACATTCCATGCGAGGGTTATCAAGGTTTACGGAACAATGTAATTTGAAGAAAATTGGTCGCGGATTACGGAAATCTGACAATTTCTGTAGGGAACGACGGAATTTCACACACTTGCCAAACGCGGATTTTCTCGAAAATGATGCACGGGATACGGGTTTTTCACCTGTTGCCTTCATCTTTAAATAAAGGTCATATCAACAATTTTAAGGCGCGGAATTTTGGCTAAAAATGACCGGAACGGAGGATTTCTACAGCCCCCCCCCCCCCATTTATGGCCCCTACTTCAAAAATGCGTAAGGCTCGAGGGAAATCCTTGACGAGGCCGCAAAAGGTGTGAATTGAATGAGAGTGACAACAACAATAGTGACATTTGTTGCTAACTTTTCCCTAAGTGCTCTACCTTTCTCTTGCGGGCGATACATGCTTTTGCGAGGGCGGTCAATAGCCTGCGTCAATAATTTGGCGAGGGCGATCGCCTGCGTGAAACGAAAAGGCCTGACAGTCTTTTGTCTTAAACAAAGGAAGACCAATGGTGCTGGAGGGGCTATGGCTCCCTAATTGGAATATAAAATCCCTGGTTACTACTAAAAAATATAGGAAACAACCTGACCTTTTTCAATGCACTATGCCAAGCATCCTGAAGGCCAGTAACTGATTTCAATGCTCTGACTCCAATCTCTGTTTCCTCATGGTTGAAGTCACCACAAAGGATAACTGAATCGCCAGGACGGGTTATTTTCTGTACAAATTGGGCACACTGGTATGCTTGTAAAGTACGAAGCTCAGTGTAAAGGTTTCCCGGGTAGTCAGCATGCAGCTGAAGATAAAAATGTGTATTTGATGAAGTACAATAGCAACAGCAAAGGCTGAGAATTTATATAGAGTAAAGTTGGATGCACAAATGTCAAAACTGCTGCGAAATGATGAGATAAATTCTGTGATTAGATTTGCTAAGGCCTGGCTTCTATTACATTAATCAGAACCAAAGCATGCCTCTCTGAATAGAAATACTGTTCCTAATTTTTAATTATATGTAAAGAGCAACATCTCAACTTTCATATGATCATTGACTTCAGCAATCAATAAGACAATATTCTATGTTACATAATTGCTCAAAATCATGCAAGTAATGCCTTGAAGCAATTTTTTTGAGATAGAAAAGGACATCCATATCATTTTACACAACTTTTGGCAATCAAAAGTAATAAATCCAATTATAGTACTGGACTGATGTTGCCTTATATTACTTCTTCTATTGTTAAGTCTGTTGGTAACTTAGTAACTTAACTTAGTATCTTAGTATCTTCTCAACAATCGATAGTTAAAACAACTCATGCCCAAGATTCTCTGCAATTATAACAATCATTTACATTTACCAAGTAAAGCTGATAAAACAGGGACCAAATTGTACAGTATATATATAAATGACTTAATGCAGGCCTGGCCGTTTGAGGCGAGCGATAGCTCGCGCTCGCCTCCACGCTCCCCTCGCAACCTGAGGCGAGCTATGAATTGCTCTCCTAAACAGAACATGAAGGAAGAATCGCTCCCCTAAAATTTCCTATTCAGAGAATTATGAAAACGCACGAGGGTTAATTGGTTTATTTTTGTAACAGCGATTTCTCCTGTCATTGCATTTATTGCAATTAACTTTTTGCTTGTTGGGCGGTTTTTTATGATAGGCATAAACTTCAATCTATTCTGAAAAGGATAGTTAACGGGAAAGTACGTTTGTAGCGGTTAGAACCTTTCAATTTTAATAAAACAGGAATATTTTTGGAAGGAAAGTCGAAGAAATTGGCAGGAATTGTAGATTGGGGATATATTAAGACAGCAGGTCCCTTCCAGCAATAGAAACAAAACTATCCCTCAAAGAGAACAAGGTACTCTGTCTTGCAGATCAAAAACGACAACCAAAACATGGAATTCAACTATCCAGCGGCATTTACTGAAAAACCCATAATTGGGTGAAAACTATAACGGCAACATGTTTGGCATAATTGGCAAAGCCTGATCATCGTTCCATCTAGCAGTTTGTGAATCTATCTACTATATAAACATGACGAACCGCTTTTGTGTAGACATAAGTGAGTTCGTTTTCACCTTAGGACTCCGTTGGTAACATTTTCAATAAGAAAGCGGCACTGATTGGACAACCTCAACAGTCATGTGCTCGCGCTTTCTGATTGGCCTATTTCGATCCAAAACTGGGTATTTTAGCGTAGAGTTTTCCATCTATGTTTTGACGTTTTATTATCTGAAGAGTGCTAGACGTATAACTTCAGCTTGTTTTAAATTTTTTTTTCAAAGCCATTTTCAAATTCTGTACAACAAAAAGATTGTTTTGCAAGATAATTGTTGTTTTTGTGTTGTGCCAGCTTTACATGAAACTGAAAGAGTCTGTTCTTTTAAATACTTCAATTAAAGGGGGTGCCTAAGTCACGGTTAAAGCAAATGCAAATTGAAAGAAGTAAAACAGCATACTCCTGACTGCGGCTATTACATCAAGGCAACCGACAGATACTAGAGGGGCTTATTAAGTCATCTGTCGATTTTCTTTAAAGTACATTCTATGTGTTACTGATTTAGCTCGCCTCAGCAAATGAGGGGAGCGATTCACAGCTCACCTATAAAAATACAAACGGCCAGGCCTGCTTAATGCCTTTCAAAATAATAGCAAAACTGTTGAGGCATTATTTACTTTGTAACTTAGTTTGTTGTCAGTTTGAAATCAGGGAGTCTAGATACCATCTCAAAATTAATGCCTCTTATATAACTTAACTACCCTGGCTTTTACTTACATGGACTGCAAAGAAGTGTAAGATATTGTTTGTGGGAATGTGATGAATATAACAACAGCATAGAGCAGAACCAGCTAGCCAATCCCCATAATGAATGGCATAGTAATCACCATTTATTGGAAACTGATGAAGTGCAGCATCAGAAATAGGAAATTTTGAGAAGACACAGATACCAGTCCCTATAACACCACTAGAAGGGATAGGAGAAGGGTTTAGAAAAAGAATTAAAAGATAGTTAACAACAATGCTTTCTTGTCAAAAATATTTGAATGAAAGATAATGGTTCACAAAAAGGTTTAGACACTAAAAAACCTTCAGTAGTGGAAAAGCATTTTTGGGAAATAATGCAAAATATTGCCATTTAAGCATTATTTTTTTTTCAGATTCAGATCTTACGTGAAATTCATTGTGAAATAACGCTGCATTATGTTCATTTATTCTTTCAAATGTTATCATAATCATTCAAACAGTTTGACAAGAAAGTTAATTGTTTTCATAGGTTTGCCCTTCAATCGCTAGATTAAAAATATTGAAGTTTTTCCCTCTCAAAGGCCACTCCCATACTGGAAATAATCTTTTATTTTTATTTCCAATAAGAGAAAGTTACTTTATTTCACTTTATTGCTTCCAACTAGGATATCATCAGCCCTTTAGTAGCTACTTACGTGCACATTAAATACATGTGCTATTCCATTTGGATGTTTTATCATGCAATAACCAACACCTTTGCCTGCAAACCAGTCACCTTGCGCTATTGCATAGAACTGCCCATTTGTTGCGAACTGGTGCAGGAATGCATCAATAAGTTGATATTTTGAAAATATACAAAGGCCAGTGCCAATAACACCGCTGGAAAACAGAATTTGTGCACAAATAACTATATAAGATTTATTAAAGCAGTTTTTTTTATTTTAATCTTCAATTAAGAACTGTATCAATCTTACAGGCAGTAAAAATCCTTGTTTAAATCTGAATTACAATAAAAGCTTTCCATAATGTGCAAAGAATAATTGAAAATGTTTTACACATTTTTGTACTTTACAGACTTCTTTGCATATTTTTTATTTAGCTATAATAATCATTTTATTTTGCATTTCACCTATCATAATATTTATTCAGTTATTTTGCATTTTATGGCAGTTTATCAGTACAGATACATAAAAGATGGCTAATATTTTTTTAAATGGTCCTAGGAGCTATCTTTACATTTCAGCAAAAAATAATATCAAAGCATTCTAGAACAAAATCAAATCAAATGGACACTTTTAAAATCTAAGGGCACAGTCACAAACAAGTTGTGTGTCTGCCAAAGTTGGCCACTGTACAACAATATCTTGAGGTTCAAGCTCTTTTTGCATTTGTTTACATGAAGCATAACATATATAACTTAAAACTTTAAGCAACTCAAAATTTTTTATCCTGTTAGCAGTACTTTCAAGAAAAGAAAATCAAGAAACCTGTAGAAATAATGGGAATAAGGAAGCACTTTGGCCACTTTTTTCTTTATTTCTGCATACTGATATTCTGTCCATATCTGTAAAATTGATGAGTGTTGTTCCAATAAAAATTGAAGAAATTATCTTCAAATATAAATAGACAACAAAAATGTAAACAAAGTACTACAATAATAATATCATGGCATTTTGCTCAGTAAACAGACAATGTTTTTAATTGTTTTACTTGATGCCTTTACATTTTCTCACTAGGCTAATCTTCTGTATCTTTTTCCAAGTTTTCCAAAACCTCACTCATCACATTCAAATTCTCCTTGTCTCCCCATAAAAGATATAGCTACACTTAGCAACTTCTCAAATGGGGAATGAGCCCATGTAATATTAACATGAATAAAACATTGGAACTACACAGATCATGCAACATGCACATAGCCAGCAGTCACAATAATCAAAGCAAAGATGTTGCATATGAAACTTCAAAATTGCACACCAAAACAGTATAAGTTAATGCCATATTCTGAGTATAAATATGCTAAACCTTGCATGCAGACACACCGCCTAATTACTGTGCAAGCATATCACCCCTTTAAAAAAATGTATGAACTGCACATTAGGTAATAAAAATAGCCATAAATACCTCTTGAAGGGCAACAACATCATACAAGCCCTTGGAAAGTTCATCTGCAATGGCTGATATTCTAAAACTACATGCTTTTGTCAAGAATGGTATACCCCTGAAAAGGTTAAGTTTCTTTAATTCAGATATCTGAAACATTTGTTCTTTTTAATTAAACAAGACTGATTAAAAATAATGTAATGTACATTTTCCAAGTAACTAGACCATGGACTGAAGGCAATATCTTCATTTACATTTAAGAATTTTTAAGTTGTGGTTCTTTTCATGTATCAATCAGCATTTGAATTGATTTTGTCATTTTAGATCATGAATTTTCATTTTTTTATTTCACTTTAAGCAATTGCTTCTCATTCTTATTCCACAAGCTTAACTTTGAAATAATTCTTGGAAATTTGAAATATCAGCCTTGAATTTTTCTTTGCTTGGAATTTTATGAATCTTTTTCATTTAATTTTTATCTACTAACATAACAAAGATTTTTGTTTTTCTCAAAGTCACCGGGGTCCTTTTGATACTAGCAAACTATGTCCTTTTTGCAAACAACGGCTAGTTGTAAGTCATACGCTGGTCCAAACACAGGCAGCAAACCCATCCACCTTTTTACGCCCACACATTTTTTTAAATTTTGACAGTACGCCAAGGAAATTTATAAAGTCTGCACCGGATATCTCCGGCGCAAGCTACATGGATTCCACCTTCATATTTAGTCAATTTACAGGGTCGGGGGTACAGGCGCTGTGGGACTAATCCTTTCGAGTTGGTAAGGATTTTCCAAGAAATTTCTTGATGCCCGAGAAAGTGCATTAATAAGGTATAAATTTCACTTAAATTTCCTCTTCCATATTTTCTCGAAGTCCAAGCAAAGACAGGTGGTAAGGTTTTCGTCACTCGCTTAGGGGCCAAGGGGCAACAATCTTAACACTTACTTACCAGCAATTCAAGGAAAGCATACGAAGTTTGTCTGATTGCATTCCTAGCCTGAGGTTCTCGTGAACAATTGTTCCATTCATGTCACGCAAAGGAATTCTGGTATTCGCAAACAAGTGAAGTGAAAGTAACAGGAAGATGAGAGAAATCCTAGAATGGAACCATGTCAGGTGATCGAAAAATTTCCACGAGACTCGTTTTGAAATCTAGATTTCAGCAACCTCGTCCCCGATAAAGAGCGCTAATTTTAAAAAGGTGATTGCAAATGAGATGATTCTCAAACTTTCAAGAGAAACTGAAATTTTGTTCAATATAGCGGATGTTAGATACTAGCCACCACATTCACATTAACTTTCGTACCTTGCGTGAATTGAACATAAGAAACTATGTAAAATCAAAACAAAGTGAAACTTTGGTAGCCTCTGTAAGCATGCATGCAGTGATAAACACTTTTTGCAATGATAACACGGTTTTTGCAGTGATAAACAGTAGTAGTGGTATGCAGTGGGAAAACTATTTCTAGCCATGGAAATAGTTTTCCATGAAATTGGGTGTAACCTTTATTTTACTGACGTGAAAATAAAAGGCGTTGTCAACAAACATCCCGTCCATAATCCCTTTATTCTTATCAAAGTGGGAATGATAGATTTTCTGTGCTGCATCTAGAATGTCATTTTATCACAGAATATTCACGTTAGCATAAAGCATTTAAGATTCTCGGATAAGAGTTGCACATAGCCTCGTCACTGTACGTTTAAAGTTTGAGAACGACCACTCACACATTCTAGCTTCTGTACATGAGTGAGCAAAAAGTGCTATATAAAGGAAATCTCTAAGTGCGCTGTGCCTTTGAAATTGTAGTTATAAAGTACTTCGTGGGAATGAGCAAGCCATGATCTGCTTTGCATATTTAGCTAACAACACGAGGCCGCCTTTGCGCTGCATACTCATCCTGTGCATCTTTTTTTATAAAATTTTTGATGGAGTTCTTGTTTTCTCGACAAGATTTAATAATTATCTGATACTTATAAACAGAAATTTTGTGTGTAATTCATCTAGTGCAGCAGAAAATTAGCAAAATTTGGAAAATTGGGCATTTTTCTACACGGCAAATATAAAAGATTCGAACAGCAAGTTTTTGTGATAGCTGGCAGTCGTGATAGCAAGTGACTTGTCAATATAAACCCTCGCATTAAATCGGGGAGAAATTAAATAAATATCGAAGTAGCGATTTTGTAGGTAACGGATTGTCGAGACGGCGAATGTCAACTGTTCAACATGCATGCCTGCACAATGACATCGTGTTCTTTTAAGTCAATCCAGCTAATTTTAATTATGAATTGATATTGTGCTGCGACTGAATTCTATAGCTTGATAGGAACAAAAGAAATGAAACAATAAATCTAAAAACAGCAGACAAGTCTTAAACCAATGGTCTTATAAGTGGGAAACAATTTCAATGATGTTTTTTAAGAATGTTTTTCCTCAAAACATTTTATTGTAAGAATTCTTTGTTCTAATAAGCAAAGGAATTGCATTAAACTTTTTGTTCTGCTAAAAACCAACAAATTTCAACAACTATCAACAGTTAATAACACTCTAGATTGTTATTATTAAAGAAAAGCATATAAAGACCTCAAGAAAGGAATATTTAGTTGATTTTGAACTGATCTGAACAGGCTATCTAATAGAGTGAGTGAACAAAGGAAAGTTGTCCAACAGAAATACCAGAATGTCGTTATCATAATTTTCGATATCATACAAGACAATTTCGGGCGTATTTGCCCCGGGACTACCCACGGTACCAGAGTTGAATTCTAATAGGTACTAGGCTACCTAGACTTCCGTAGGCAAAATATCGACTACCCTACCATCCCGGACAAAAACAATCAAGACTTTTCCTATGGAAAATAGCCTGCCCTCTAATGCAATGTTGAATTCATGATTTCAAAGGAGAAATGATAGAACTAAAAATCCAACATTGATTTATGAGGAAAGGCAATGTAGAGTAGATAATTGCAAAAATTGCATTTTGTCTCAACAATTTTGTCCGGGATTGTAGTACTCGTGACTACCCTAAGCAACAGATTGACTGCCCTACAATCCCGAACAAAATAGTTCAGACTTTTTAAGGAAAGTTGATATTTCCTCTTTACTTTGACTTTTCCCCTCCTTCAATGTTGAATGCACAATTTTAAAGCAGAAAAGATTGAACTAAAAATCCCAACATTGATTCCGTGGGGAAGATGGACTCGAATTTTTTATTTCATCTAAATAAAATGCGTAACGGGGCAACGTGAAGTATAAAATTGCTAAAATTACATTTTGTCTCGAAAATCTTTGTCCAGGATTGCACTACTCTAGACTCATTCTTTCATGTGGACTGAGGTACGCAGTATACTGGCACTAATAGTGGCGCCATGGAAGGAACTGCAGGGACACGCCCCCCCCCCCAAGATCAATTTTTTATTTCATCTAAATTCAATGAGAACATGGTGGAGGAGGGGTAATATTTTGACAACATACTTTTTGTGATGTAATCCTATGTTTTTCTGCCTTTGCATAACCAAAAGTTAGTCATGGCCGTTCCTTTCAGATGAAATTGTCGTTTTCTGTCAGTAAAAAGGCCTTTTCTGGTGATAAAAAGGGCGTGGCCTAAACATTTTTGCCCCCCCCCCTCAGAGCATAGTGGCTGGCGCGACCATTGATTGGCACCACTACAAACGTTATAGCAGACTGCATACCCTCATTCCTTCTTGGTAAATAATTTTTATTAGAACAGGCTCTCTTTGCCATCGAAATCAGAGATTAATAGGGATTAATGCTATATGGTTTCCTCGAGATATGTTATATACGTATGCGAGCACATTACCTTAAACTTGACAGCGTCAATCTTTGTTTGAATGTAATAAGATTTGTATATAACTTTGGTGAGAAAATCAGAACAGGTTATGAAATAATTTCAGAATACACGCTCTAAAAATACACATTTTTATTACACTCATGGTATGTGAACCACTTATCTCTATAAAAGATCAATGATTCACATACCATGATCAGTGTGTATGAGCTTGTTATTATTCATCCAGTTTATGTGTTAAAAGCCCCCGCCTATTATATGGGGTCTTAGAGCCGCAAAACCGTACAAAAATTCGCCAAACCCGCAATCTGCAATGAGGTCATGTTGTGTAAAATGGCCAATTGTAGGTCATTTTGTTTTATCTATGTATGAACAATAGGTTTTGAATCCTATCTATATTTAGAGATCATGACATTGGAAATTGGCAAATGTTTTTGCTATGTGCAGAGAGCATGCTAAAAATGTTCTTGAGACTAAATACCGCTTCCCGCTCTGGTTTCAGTTTCAGGTTCTGATTCATGCATCTCAAATTCGAGCATGCAGAACGCATGAAAACAGAAAAAATCAATTGAATACAGTTTTACAGGGGTGCAGTCTTTGAAAAAGTAGGATGAGGGGCTGTGCTATTAAGAACTTCTTAAACCCACACTCAAGACCAAACCCATTGTCACACCCCATCTACTTTAACATTCTCTGTTGTGTGTATAAATCTATTCAGAGGGGCGAGTCTCACCCATAGCAAAGTTAAGGGTTAATTCACATTGCAAAAAAGAAATTCCCTCAACTAAGCATTAACTGGCTCGTTAAGCGGGAGCTGAGCTTCCCAAATCATTTATAACTATAACTAGGGGACTGAGCCCTCGAGACACTGGGCCTCCTCCTCTCGTTTGCCGCATCCCTACAAGGCAAAAAAATTCCTTTTTTAGCAACAGAACTTTTCCTAGGAAGGTCACATCCCAACCTTGCTCGCCTTCCCGTAGCAACAACCCTGGTCAGAGCTTTTGGTTCTCAAAGTGCCCTTATCCTCGTTGCAGGAATTCAAAACGCTCTTTGGTAATTTCACTGCTTTCTTCAGCCCTGCACTCTAAAATTGGCTTCAGCAAGGTGTCTTTTATGCCGAATCTGTATCCACGAAGAATTTCATCTATTTTACTGATGAACCATTAAAATTTCAAAATTTCCAATTGGCATCTAATCGATTATTTTTCTAAATATTATTTCACTGTGTAATTTCATTTTTAATAAAAAACAAGTGTCTTGTTTTTGCACGAGAAGGCCTGTGTTCACAAAAAGTCTTTTGGCTATCTTCAGATAATTAACAAAACGCTTTCATAGGCCAACCAGTCCATGAAGCCACAACCACAATTTATCTACATTGTAAAGTTTCCCGACTTGAAAACTTTCTTTTATCTTTAAAATGAAGTTTGTCTATGCTGTCATTAACTTTCGTTGGGTTTTCTGTGGAGACAATGTTTACTCTGAAGCAGTAGAAAGCTCCTTAACCTTTCTCTAGATGAAATCCCTTCCCATTTGCCATCCTCAAAATTTTCCTTGTATGTTCTCAATGAAAGCTTCTTAGAAATTATTTATTCTTTCAAATTGGTCATGAAAGGAAGGTTCAACCACAAGGGCGTATTCCTCCAACTTGCAAAACTCTTTTCATGTTAAGCCCATACCTTGTAATTCCTGTCTGCGAGGGGGGTAAACCATTTTGAAAGACAATCGTATTTTGTTCTCAAACAATAGGAAATGTGACGTCATGCTATCAAAACAATTGGCTTGCCCCCCTCCAATATTCGATCAAGTGCCAGCCACTGTGTAATTCCTTCCTTAATGTAACTGTGTTGATTAATAACCTTCCTCCGGATCACAGCCAGGATTTTCAAAACAGTCTTGCGATTAGCCAGTCATAAGATGCTTTTTATAGAATAAATGTTTGGTTCACAGGAAAAAGTAAGTAACTTTTTTACATGGTATTTTATATGAAAGATATGAAATATGTAGAATTTTTAGTTGCTTGGCAATAACTTTTGTACTGAGCTGAAGAGGGCGAAAACTAGACCTCTTGTAACCCTGTGGTTGACCTTGGCTGAGTTGGAAATAAGATTTCCAAAAAATTTATCCGGGAATGCAGATTTTCGTCGACAGTTGCAAGTGCTCTCACACTATCCATTGCAAGAATTTATTTTATTAAGTATGTTAACAACTTTTATCTCAGCCTAATTAAGCTTTTTTAAAATGTCTTAGCAATTTTTGGTGATGGTTTGCCCCTCCCATTCTCAAGAGCCGTCGCTTTAGGCCCCGTCATGAATTCAGCACGACAAGTTTTTGTTTTTATTGTGTTTAAGTTAACACGTTGCAATGAAGGTCACTTATGTGAAATGTTTTAAGTATTAAAATGAAAATTTGTTTCCTGAAATGTCAGTAGATGGCTAGCTAAGTGATCCAAAAAACCAACACTGTTTAGAATTTTTGGAGGGAGGCGGAGGCTCAAAAAACGGATAGGGGCAAATTTCACAAGAATAACAATAATGATTTGAACCCAACACTTAGTTTAAGTAGGTTTGAATAAATGATACTGAAATTATATTTTGTTGAGCTATTTGCTATTTTTTGTATTTCTTAATAGGATTTTAGGATGTTAGATTTTTTTTCAAACTGCATAACAAAATATTTGCTTTTGTTCAGATTAATTTGAATATTTAAGATAAAGAAATTTTTGACTTTAATTTTCAAAGAAACTTGGAAGCAGCTAGAGAATAAAAATTTCAATTTTTGTTGATTTATGTAATTGATTGTTTTCATAACTCAATGATTAACTCACAATGATACAAGTTATTTTGACTGAAAATAACTTATGCTTATTATTTGTTTTTCTTTATCCTTTCTCAGAAGAAATGGAAGAGGAAGGAAGCAAAGAGGCTACTAATGCTAGTCCAAATGATGGAGGGAAAATAAAGCAGATTTTACTGACCGTGAAGTCAAATACGAACACTTATGGATCATTCACAAATTCACGCAGTGGCACATCAGTCTCAAGTTTAACATCAATTGATGAGCTTGAAAATGACGATAACATTGAGGGTAAATTTCATTAATCCTTCACTTTTAAAAACACATTAATTATAAAAACTGACAGAACATCATTATAAAAACTGACAGAACATCAGAATTGGAAAAATGGTTGGCCATTTAAGACTTCTTTCTTTACCAGTTTTAACAATGCACATATTTCAATTACATATAAGATTTTCTGGAGAAAGATTAGATTTTGTTTTTGAGCACTTTGGTTTTTTGGTCTGCTTTTAATGGTATTGCATTATCTTTGTTTATCAACTCATTGTCTCTGGCTATATCTGAATTTCCTGAATAATAAATGTTAATGTTTGGCTGAAAAAAAGTCTTGATAAGGATGCATATGATTACAGTAAGTAACATTTGTTTGATACGGATTACAAAGGAAACAATAATATAAAATCAGTTAGCTAGAGTTTCTGACAATTTATTTTCACAACTTGCTTGCAATGTTATGACAAGCAAATCATCATGCTTTACCTGATTTGCTTCCTGCAGTTGACTCAGATAGTTTATTTTCAGACTTATGGTTGCAGCCATTTTAAATCTGCACCCAAGTCTCTCTCCACCAAACAATGTTCAATAATGTTTAGCTTGCAATGACATGACAATGAAAGTTGCATTACATTTAAGAGGCATTCAGGTTCATGAAATTTAGATCTAAGATCAAATTATAGTGATTTGATTGGCCTGTGCTCAACTGGCTATCATCTGGCACTTTATAACATATTTAAATGGTTTTGCACATTTAGATGGGTTTTGCAAAATTCCTTGAGATGATGTTATCTTAATAGAAACACTGTTGAGGAACATTTATGATATTAAATTCAATCTTCTTCTTAACTATTCTAAACCCATTGGTTCATGTTATTAGTGATTTTTTTGTAACAAGATTTATTAATTTTTTAAGGAGGTGTTGAAAAGAAGGTCATGGTAGCCACAATTTTTCAAAAGAATAAAGATGACATTGACTGTTTCCTGGCTGGAATCCCTGTCAAAGTGAAAGTAACAGAATTGATTAGAACTCCAAGGTCACATGTTCTCAACCCAAACCTGTAAGTTGGCATTTTTTGTAAGTGTGTAGCTATTGTGTGATAAATATGTGTACTTTGAAGAAGGCGTGAGGAGCTGGCCCTGTATTTTTCAGCAATATTATATTGTCCTCATAACCAGGGACAGGCACTTGGTCAAATGTAGGGGGAGCAAGCCTATTGTTTTAATAAGATGACATCACATTTCCCATTGCTTTAGAACAAAAGACCATTGACTTTTTAAAGTATTGGGGGCAATCACCCCCCTCGTCCCCCCAGGTGTCCGCCACTGCTCATAACAGATTTTCCTTGAGTAGTAATAGCTTTCTTGACAGACCACAGTCCACAAATATTGATTTTGCTTTCGCTGCCTTAATTATTGCTTTTTTCTTGATAGACTTCTTTAATTTATTTCATGATATTGTAGCTTTCATAGTTGCCAAATTTTGATTTCCCACTGGTGTCTAGAGAATCAAAATGATCTTGAAAAGGCACCTGTCATTTCCAAAATGATACAATTTATCTTAAGATTAGACAAGTAAAAGTAGCAAAAAGGTTCTTTGATGGAGAATCTTTGTCATTGAATACATCCTTTTTATTTTCTGGTAATGAAATAGAGAAATGTACTTTGGCTGACGACACCCTTTCCTCAGCTGCCTGATTTAATCTCTGAAATCAGAGGGAATTCAGAAAGTTTGATAGTCATTCCGTTACTAATTTGGTTATTAATGTGTTTCCTAAACCCACATACCCAAGGCTAGATGAAACTGAAACAATAAATGTGTATGTCATTTCTTTCTTTTGTTGTTGCTGAAAATAGCTTATGCTACTCCAATTTTTGTAAATTATGTATCTTATACACAAAATGCTTGTCTTAAATGTTTATTAACAGTAACATAGTTTGGATGTTATCCGTGTTTATCTATGATTTCCTTACCTACTTATCTTTCTTGATATAAGCCAACATATCTTTGACACCATCTCTTTACCATGCCTACGAGCTAGTGTAATTTTCTCTTTAAATCTTTTGTTTGAAGAATGCACGGGAAAGTAAAAACATAGCATAGATAAGTGCTGTTCGTTTGACAACCCTTAGTGGAAAACGCTGGATGATGACCAAAGATTAGCAGAATTTTATATCAATTTTATACTTGTGTGACTCTAAAGGAATGAAAACTGAAAGTCTTTTATTACCCTCAATATTAATTTATCAGCTACACAATCGAATTGCAACACGGTGGATTTCATTGGACTATAAGAAGACGACACAGGCATTTTCTAAGGCTGCATACTGAACTCGTGATCGCCAAAGCAACATCCCAGCTCCCAACGACTAAACGAGAAAAGATTAAATGCAAGTTGCCAAGCTTTCCAAGAAGGCCTGAAATAGCAGTGATTGGACAAAAGCAATTAGAGAAGCGGAAACGAGCTTTAGAGAAGTACCTGCGTGGGGTACTCAATCTACATGAAATCAGAAATGAAAAAGAAGTTCTCGAATTCGCTGAAATTAGCATTGCATCTTTTCTGTATGACTGCGGGCAAAAGAAGAAGTAAATTGTTTAGCCCGTTTTTTGTTTCTTATTAATGCTGGTACTTTAATCATCCTTTAATCTATTCTATCGCAAATGAAGAATGGAAACTTTGATTAAAGAAAGAAAGTCTTTATCACAAAACACTTCTTATGCTAAGAAATGAAATGCACAGATCTACATCTCATTCTCTTGGTGATTGCACGTTCTTGCATAAATTTAAAGTACAGTGATTAAATTCACCGTTCTTCGCTGGTATCTTTATGATAACCTGATATTTTCAGATACCGCGCTTGATAAAAAAAGAGTGATGATAAATAATTAAGTTTTCTTTACAGTACATGGTAACTGCAAGAACTTTGATTACCGAGCAGTTATCAAGTATGATATTTTGGTCCGCATTTTAGAGAGTCCATGGTTGAAAAGAGAGCTGGAGGCCGCCGTGCTGCAGCAGGAATCTGCGGCTGCATGAATTGTGGAAGCTGTCATTGGAATGAACGGTAAGTGACGTGTGATGATTGCACTATCGTTGTTTGTTTATAGTGTTTTCAGCTTTTATTTTGAAGTTATGATAAAAAATTGAATCAGACAGGTAGAAGATTCACGATGTAACAGTTAGATTCTCATCTTCTGTAGAAACGCTACAGGTCTTGCCGAGAGTCATCAGAACACCCTGAAGGTATAAAATCTTTAGATACAACCAACAGTTTCTGATCCTATGAAAAGGCACTGCATCGCCTTCCCCTTAAAAGCTCAAAGCTTTTTAAATCTTATGAACAGCATCATTAAAATGCGTAGATCAAGCAACCATTGGCAGGCCCCATTTGCAAGATACTTTCTTTATTTATTCGTTAAAATACAATCACTGCCAAAATTACTTGGAACAGCAAATACTTTGCTCTGTGCTTTTGGGAGAGGGGGATGGCTGAATTTGCCTTTGAAAACTGACGTTAGTGTTCCAAGACTTTTGGCAGTGATTGTAGGTTGATGGTAAGAGATCTTGTCCAATCATTTGGCCCAACCTAAGATTCAACGCTGTTTTGCTTCCAAGAACTGGTTTTTTTACTTTTCTCTCCTCAGTAAGCTTCCAGTATATTGAAGCTGCCAACGAATGCCAAAGATCTGCTCCTTGAAGAAATTTTCAAGACTCTGCTTTTTGAACAAAAACTTTGAAAAATTCATTTGTTGGTCGCCGCAACGATTAAGTTGAAGAAATAAGAGTTTAATTTTGTTTATTGTCCTTTCGCCTGACCTTTTTTTCCTTGTATTAGGCATCTTCACCCCATTATAACAAACTTTTTTTTCGTAGATGGCTGACTCTCAAAGACAGTTATGTTCTATATCTGAAGTGGGTGCTCACGTTTATCAATCGAAATAATTATATGCATTTTGATGTCTTACTTTGATTTAGAAAATGTATGTATTCGGTAAATTAAATACAACGTTTGTCAGTTGACTGTTTTTCGTTCTTAGCAAGCTAGCTTTTCATAATTGCTGGGAAACATTCTACACCATAAAATATTTTAAGAGGCTAAGTGAATTGTCCGCGATAAACACTGAAGTTTCTTTTTCAAGAACATAACAAGCCTTCGGTAAGAGTAGTTCTACTATGACTGGCCTTCACTTGATAGATGCAGAGTTTTTCTTTTAAGTTCTTAAAGATTTTCGTCTAAGGTTGTCACTGAACAGCTGTTAATCTTTGTTTTATTTTTAGTCCAAAGACCAGAATCATTCGAGACCTTCTATTGTTCGACTCAAACTTTACAGTTAAGTCCGGCAGAAAACACAGTGGTCATAGGAGTGGGCTTGTCATATCAAACGACTCAAGGTATAGTTAATACGAGCTATCAAACTAACAAAAGTTTTATGTATTCAGTTTTTTTGAACTTCTTTACACACCTGTCATTATTTGCCTTTTCATTTGTTCGATAGCGTGGGCTTGAGTTTCTGCAGTCAATGATTTTGTTGCTTCTATTGTATTTATCTCCTATCCCTGTGGCTCCACAAGATTCTTTATTTGCTCCACTCATGTTTATATGTTTAAAAGATTACATGTTTGCAAGTTAAAGTAATTTAGAATCAGTTAAAGTGAATTAAGTTAATTTTTAAAATGATAAGTGAAAGTATGCCAGGTTCATGTTGGGTATGATCTGGCTTACGTAGTAAAATTAAGTTTTTACCAGAGTCGAAGGTAAATATTTGAGATTTTTAATTTTATGTGGAATTTTGCAGGGATTTGACTGTCAAATGTCAATCGCAAAGGGATTCGAGGTATGTACGGATTCTTTCACTCTTAGGAAAGGCCGAAATTTCAGCTTAAACCTCTTAATTTTGAGAGATTTACTGATATTTACTGATATTTTTTTCGCTTTTTATGCAGATCTTGAATGGGTAACTTGGTATAAACAAATTCATTCCAAATTTTTAGTGATATTAATGAGTCATGTTGTTCCAGATAACTTTTCGAGCAGTCATTGTCGTGTTAAGAATTTGAAGTAAATCGAATCTTGATTATTGGAGAAGGCTCGTCCACACTACATCCTACCCTTTGTGATTTTAAAGCTACCTTTTCATAATCTGAGATATACTATCAAATCAAGAAACTATCCTTTAAATAATCGAATTACATTTCTAATTACAGGATGCAATCACTTTAAGGGCATCTAACTGTTTCTTGAAGATAGACAAGACAAAAAATTTCCGTTCCTCCGTAATGTTTAGAGAATTTAAGAATTTAAGAGTTGAAGTATGCAAGTTGCTTTACTTCAATTATTTTATTTCTGTCAGAGAATGGGTAACAGCAATTGCAAAAGCCATGGCCGGTTCAGGCTCTGATTGGCTGAAAGAGCATCACCATGATTCATTCGCCCCTGTGAGAAGAGAGAATAAAGTTCAATGGTACTTATGTTTTTTCAATTACGCCTGTTATTAATATGAATATTCATTTTTACACCTGAATGTCCAATTACACCTGGAACATTTGTTCTTATGTTGCTGTGTCTGCTAGCAGCAACTTGTTTCACCTGTGTTACCTTAAAATGCCTTTAATGAGATCTTTGGCTAGCAAAATCAAGTTCGTGGGAAGTCACATGTCTTAGAGTAAGGTGTACTTAGACTTAGGTATCGTTCAAATCTTTCCTCCTATTAATAAATTTTGTTACTACTGTGTCATCAATTTTTCACGATTGCACTAGAAAGGCAATGTTTTTTTGTTTTATTAGAGGAGCAGATATGTGCTTTTTCAGATGAAGTTTTTTTGTAATTACTGAACTTTACGGCAACATGCGAGTTGCAAATACTAGATTTATACTTCGTTATATTTGATTCTCGACTTTAACAAGGCTCTTTGATAATATTTTGACAGTATTTTCTCTAGCAGACGTTGATTAGGTATATCAGTATAATTTCAAAAGAAAGACGACGTATTGCAATTAGGATATGTGGGTTACAAATGCATTTTAAATGTTGGTTTAATTAGAATGTGTAAAGTATGTAATTTGTATTTTGTATTTGTATTTGTTTCTACCTAGCATCCGAAAGTAGTTTTAGGACACTGAGAAGCTATGCTTATCGAGCTGTGTCCTGGTCCTTCCTCTCGATGTGACCACACCTCATGATTCCTATGCCTGGAATTACAGAGAGCTGGCGACTCTCCTCACTCTGGGTGAAAGTTTGGTCATGCCAGGGACTCGAACCACGGACCCTTGGGTCTGTAGTCAGCGCCTCTAACAACTGAGCCATCCTCGTAATTACAAATGCAGAAAAGTATTTCTGTAATGGTTATCTGAACATGATAATTAATAATTGTTTGTAGGTTTGTGGATGCTCAAGGATACATGGAACAAGTTGCTGATGCAATTACAAATGCAGAGGAAGAAATCTTCATCACTGATTGGTGGTGAGTTATCAGTCCTTGACATTGGTTATGGATTTTTTCTTATTTTCTTCAACTTATGCTGCATTTAGTACTACTTAAATGTAAAATCATGCAGAATGTCTTGGCAATTTTAATGTGATTTTTTCCTTCTCAGAAGAAAAGTTATTCTTAAGTTCCATGTTTCCTTGTTTATACTGCTCAAACATTTAGCTGCTTCGATATTTTTTTGTTTCTTTTAGAGGCTATTTATAAGTAAAATTCAACCCGTTTCAACACGGGCTGAAATTTTAGGCCATTGCTTGTTTTCCTTTTTGTTTACATTAAAATTCTCATCATTATTTTCATAATTAAATATATAGAGTAGAGTAAAGATGTTCAGCTTCTCTTGTAATGAATTAAATAGATTTAGCTTCTTTTGTTTCCGCCTGAGCTGAAATTTATCCTTTCATTTCACCGCTTTCATTTAAACACGCCCGAGCTGATATTTTTTGCATTTCTTTCTGAAATTGGTTGTAAGATATTAGCCAGCTCTACCTAAGAATGGTTTTGGGATGATTAAGGGGGGGGGGGGAAAGGTGAGTATAGCTGCATCTCTAAAATTTTGGTAGGAATAGCCTTTGACTTTTGTTCAGGCGTTATCTGTTTGGCGCTACTAGCCTGGAGGTTGATTAAGTTTGTGCTGTTTTCAGGCTAAAACGGTTAAATTAACGCTCTTTTCAGGCTAACAGATTGAAACAGTTTTCAGCAAGTTTCTTTGTGCTACAGGGACTAGCATTTCTTTGCCTTTGTCAACTCTTTGCATTCTGAACCTTAGTAGCATTTATTACCCTTATCTTCATCCCCAAAACCAAGTCGGTCTCAAACAAATACATCATAAATTTACACTTTAATCTGGTTGCAGGCTTAGCCCAGAGCTTCACTTGAAACGTCCAGTCACAGACATGAATAAATGGAGACTTGACTTGTTGCTGAAAGAAAGAGCACACAACGGAGTTCGAGTTTATGTGATAATGTATAAAGAACTAGAAATGGCTTTAACTATTGACAGTAACTACAGCAAGCAAGTTCTGCATAGCCTTCACGAAAGCAATGTCAAGGTGAAAAGCAGCTCCTTCCTTTTTCTCATATTTTGTCGTTCTTATGACATTTTCTCCTAGCAACTGGCAATATGTGTTTTACTTCAAAGAAGGTTATAACGTGGAAGGTTGAATACCAATACTTCATTTTGTTGGTTGAAGATAAACTACAGGAGGAATCTTATATTTGAGAAACCCAAGCAAAGAGCGCTGATTGGAACATACAACAACGTCCCATTGTTTAAGTCACCCAATGAGAATTTAGTTGACCATCAAGGTGATCGGTGTATTTTGTTTTGAATTTTCATTTCATCAACAACATGAGATCCCTTATCTTTCAGCACGACCTCTAATAAATATTTCCCGATTGTTTGTCAAAAACCTTTTGTTTGGGTCACAGGTCCTTCGACATCCTGATCACCTACCTGGGTCTGGAACATTTTTATGGGCACACCATGAGAAGATCGTTTGTATTGATCAAAAGATTGCTTTTCTAGGAGGTGAGTTCGTTAGTAGACCGTATTATTTTTTCATTATATTTGAGACATTCTCAAAAGAGTCCAGAGCAAAATGGCCTCTTATGGTCATTTATCTGATCTCTCTGGGCATTTATATCATCCCAAATGTAAATTTTATGGTACCTGTATATTATCCCAAATGTAAAATATTATGTAAAGTGTTCGGATATTCAATTTTAATTTTTTTAGATCAATAAAACGAAGAAGATATGCACGCAGAAGATAATCATTGACTTTATCCCGTTTTAATGATTTATCTCTCAATTTCCTAAGAACAAAGCTCTATGAGATAACACTTGTGTTATTTAGGTTACACCTTATCTAAGTCAAGTATTTATCTAGCTGCCTCTGTAAGGATGTCTCCCAAGGTGTCTTTGTTTTGTAGGTGTTGATTTATGCTTTGGCCGCTGGGACAATCACAAGCACCCTCTTACAGACTTCGGTTCTGCTCGACCGAGTTTTCTGACAAAGACTGTAAATATCAATTGTTATTTTTTATGTATTTCCTTATTCATTTTTTAATCTTATGGATATCTGTGAACTAAGCCCTGCTCTTCAGAAAGCACCAACGATATTTTCATTTTTACAAAATTTTATACAGGTTTTGCTGTACAATTACAAAGTTGTTACAGTAGTGAAGGCCGTCTGATAAAAAAACATTATATAAGCTGCAATGATTGTTTCCTATAACATATGTATCCCTAATCCCCTTTTTATTGGGTCTAGTCATTGATTTTCTTCCCTTTGCTTCAATTATGCTCATCGATGTTTTTGTATTACAGGAAAGCACTATTGCTCACATGTCAAGATTCCTTGTCGATGCATTTGGCGCGATTCCAGCATCATCGTCTTCAGGTGATGTTTCTGCAGAGGTAGATGGTGCCGATAAGACTGACCAGTCAAAATTATTCATCGGCAAAGATTTCTGTAATCCATATCTGAAAGACTTTTATGAGTTACACAAGCCTTTTGAAGATTCAATTGACAGAAACCTGTTCCCTAGAATGCCTTGGCATGATATAGCTGCTGTTGTTTACGGGGCTGCTGCCAGAGATGTTGGAAGACACTTCATCGAGAGATGGAACTTCACCAAGGTAGAAATTTCAGATTAAAAACAGAATAGTTGATAGTCTCTTAAAATCCTTATGCTAAAAAAGTATGCCTACTTCTCAAAACTAGCTCTCTGTTTCACTTTCTTGAATAAGTTTTTATGTGCTGAATTTTGCTTCAGTTTTTTTATTCTTGGCCAAAATTAAATTACATTCTTAATGAAAACTGTCTTTGCCAGGTGTGACCCTATTTATTGCTTTTTTCGAAGACGAGTCCCTGTTTATTGTTTGTTTCGTAAATGTTTTGAAATATTCCCTAACAAGTTTGCATGCTATGAAAACTTCTCAAGCGCTATGAAAATCTCTAATGAATTTGGACTTTGGATTCTTTCAACACAATCATAGGTGTATTCCCAATGCTATTTTCTTGACTTTTCCATTTTTAGAGGCTTAAGGCCAAAGAAGATGAAGGATATCCTCTACTCCTACCGCGGTCATACTGCCCAGTTCCTGATGTTAAACCATTCGATGCTAACAACACCATTGTCGCCGACTGCCAGGTTTGTATTATATGTTCCGACCTGAAGAATGATGTAATCAGTTTCTCGAACAGCTCCTTGTTCAGTTTGCTTTTTCTTTTCGCTAGTAGATTTGATTTAAGTAACAGAGTGGCAGATAGGCAATACCAAGGTTTTTTCAACGCCGCATCGTGTGCTCGGGATCATTTTGAGGGCTGGTCCCTATAAGTATACCAAGTACCCTCATCGGATGATCCAAATAAAAAAGAAGTAGATTAGAGCTCAAACCCGAGCTCTGCTTTGCCTCTGATTATACCCATACTCTTCTCAGCTTACTTTAGTATTTTATTTAAGCTCGCCACCGTCTCGTAGATTCTTCGCTCTGCGTCCCGATGGTCAGCAGGAATTTCCACTGAAGATTCAATCCACAAAGCCTACATCGAGACAATAAGGAATTCAAAACATTTCATATACATTGAGGTAGCCCTGAAATTTCTTAAAGTTTCTCTTGTCTCCTTACATTGTATTTGTCTCATTTACATGTTCAGGCTGCTTTTACTTGTCAAAGGTATTTTGAATAAGTCAGTATAAATTGGCTCAACGCCTATAATAAAAAAAATGATAATAATAAAACAAATATTTACAGAGGATGGCCTCAGTCACTCGAGGGTGCTTCTCATGAGGGTCCTCTATTTAGCTATGAAAAGCATTGTATCAGTTAGAGAGAAGTGATCTTATTATTGCCATCTTCATTGTTAATAACAACAATAATATGAATTTAATGGTATATAAAAGCAAAGACCAAAGTTTCATATTGTAATCATTATATAATTTATTAACAGAACCAGTTTTTCATCACATCACTAAAGTCAGAGTATGTATACAATGAAATTGGGGATGCCTTAGTTGACAGAATAGTCAAAGCTCACCAGTAAGTTCGATTTCTGGAATTTTTTGCTACCTTTTTGTTGATGCCATTTGAACTATGAACTGCCCTTTCTTCAAACTTCTAAAACCTATAAAGCGCCGTCTTAGTGCTCAAAACCTTTCAGAATTGCTGGAACACCTGCATTGTTGCTAAATTTCAATGATGTATGGATGCCAGTGAGCATCTGACAGATTTTGGTCGCATAAACGCATTTAATGAAGTAATCAAAGTTGTTTAGAGGGGAGAAGAATTTAGCTGGTGTTGAGAACTTGGGTAGGGTGTTGAGTCATGGCGTTGCCATCACTGTAACCTTTGATCGTGGTGTTTAAGTTATTTATGGCAAAGGACTGTGTATGTTGAGGGAGGGGAAGACGGTGGAGAATAAAAGGCTAAAAGGCGTGGCACCTTAGAAATGAAAAGTTTATCTTACAAATGTATGGAGGAAACGTAATCTTTCATGTTTTTATTCTAATCACATTCCGAAATGAACTCTTTAACAAAAAATTTTAGAAACGACGAGAAATTCCTAGTGCTGGTTGTGATGCCATTGCTGCCTTGCTTTCCAGGTAAGCGATGTTATGTAATAGTCTCTGTTATTCACAGCCTGAAGGACTAGGTTTTTTTTAAATTGCTGAAAGAAAAGGGCTTTTTTGTGCAAAACATAACTTTATTGTTTCCATCAGTTTTTAAAAGAAGAAAATTTCCAGATAGCACTACAAGCTGCAATTAATACTTTGATATGTTTTTGATTGTTTTTCTGGGGGTAGGAAGAGGGATCGTCAACATTTATATTGTGGAAAATTGGATGTTGCGAAGGCGTGACATCTTAGCGTAAACGTGTAGTTTGCCTAAAAGCCGAGTTTGTGCAAAGCAAAAAAATCAAGGACGTTTAAGGATTTATATAAGCTTTAGAATTTTTGTAAGGATTAACCATTTTTTGGTGGTACAAAACTTGAAAATGGCTTTGCAAAAAATAAAAATGTTCTGGCGTTTTAAACTCTAAAGAGTGCCAGACGAAAAGCTTTAGTTTATGCAGCCTGATGGCGCGCTCAAGCAACTTCACATTACCACTGTTGGCAGAAACCACATAATAAATTCTCCTTTATCCACTGTGAACATTCAAATAAAATCGAACGATGATTACATGTAAACTCAGTCCCTTTGCTTGACGTACAATCCCCACGTCTTTCTTCTACCTCGCTCTCTTCGAATCGCCTCATTTTCCTGATATTCAACTAAATGGAATGTCTATTTTTATGGAGCCTACATTTACTCAAAACTTTCCTTAAGCCTTTGTGTTTGATATTTAGTGTCATTATCCTTTTTAACATCAGTTATTAGCATATAATGAGAAAAGTATCTTGCTACTGGCAAACGTGTTCACCTATGCTTTCAAATGATTGATATTTGTCGTTGATTGATATAAAAGTGCGTAATTCGCAAGACTCGGAGATTTGCATATTTGTCAGATTTAGGTGATTTTCCCTTGCCTCCATTTGGATATGTTGAGCCTTGTGGTCAATGGTAAAGAGCTTCGCTCTCCAGAGACATAACTTTAGGGTAGTATGATAAAAGGTTTCGTTTCCCCTTGCATTTGCCACTTATTCATAAAGTAAATATTATATGCACAGTGTACAAAACTAGCAATAGGTTTGTGTCCTTTTATGGTTGTGTCACTTGCACACATTTTCTCTTAGTTAATTTTACAAATCCTATTATACTATCGATAAAGAGAATTAGAGTTCTGACGTCACATATCATGTCTAGGTGAAATAGGCCAGCCAAGTGGCTCAGCAAAGCTGATTGTGGAGCACTGGAATTATAGGACCATCTGCCGAAGCCCTGAATCTATTTACGAATTGCTTAAAGGAAAAGGAGGTATTAAGTAATGACTTTAAATTGCGAAGGTTTCAGGTCATCTTTGATATTAAGAATTCTACACAACTGGAACATAACTCTACGTTAAGTTATATAAATTTATAGAAAAAAATCTGAATATTACATTTTTTGTAAAATAACTATAATTTTAGTGCGAGCTTAATATTGTTAAAAAAATTTTGCCATGAATATGTTTTTAGAGTATTCTTATTTTTCAAATCTGTTTTTGTTTCATGGGAATATAGTTAATAGATATTTCATTCTTCTGATAAAGCGAGTTATGTCAGTCATTCGATGCTGTGTTTTGACCATCGCAACTGCTGAAAAATGCTACTCGTATGAGCTGAAGCTGAACACTATTCTTAGAATACCGTAAATCCTCGAATTAGCCCTGGGGGCTTATTTTTTTATATTTTTGAATGGGGGCCTATTCGAGAGGGGGGGGCTTATAAAATTATTGTAGACATTAAGAAGACATTATTAAAAGACCTCGTTTATTTCAGTAGGAATTTCTTTATGAGCACTCAATTAATTACTACCAAAAGTATGAATTTGTTGTGGTAATTCAATAAAATGCCATAGGCAACCTTAGATGGCAAAAATCAACAATTCAAGGGGGGCCAATTCGAGAATTTATTGTAGCAGTGGGGGCTTATTCTAGGGGGAGGGCTTATTGACAATTTGTAGTTTTAGGGTGGTGGCTTATTCAAGGGGAGGGGGCTTTTTCGAGGGGGGCCAATTCGAGGATTTACGGTATTCTTAAAAGTTTGTTTATTCTGAATCTAAATAATTTTATAAACAATATTTTTATTCAAAAAAAAATAAAATGGCAAAACAGGCGAAGAAATTTCTTACTTGCAAACTTTTCAAAATATTCGTCATTAGACGCATCTTAATTTTATTTGTTATGTATAAATCTATGTTAATTGGTAACCAATTTCGTTGATCTTCCGTCTTACAGTGGAAGATCCTTGTAAATACATACGATTTCATGGGCTGAGGACTTACGAAGACCTCCAAGGAAAACTGGTAGGTGAAAAAGGCTTTCAATACTTTCCTTTGCAATTTAACCTGTTCTTTTTGTGGGTAAGTTTTCCGCCAACATTTTCATCATAACCCATTTGGTGCTCAATTACACAGAATATTTCCTTTTTATGTGATATTTGTGGGATATTTTGGGATATTTTTCTCAAAATTTGGCTCCTGGAGTTTTGAAATATATAACCTGAAATGAAGTATGAAACCTGAAAAACGAGTTTTATTTCCAGCTCATTTTGTATCCCAACAAATAGCACTTTGTAGCCTCTGTAACCACGCCTCTTTTGTACATGTATCTGCTCACTTTAGTCATGCTACTCTGTGGCCGCATTCCTTCACTCAAAGTGAAAAGAAATACATTGTGATACGGTCAACTCTTGCTCTTTCACTTCTCGCCAACATGTTATATCGGAGTTTTTACATCGTAGGTTACTGAAGCAATCTACGTTCATAGCAAATTGATGATTGTCGATGATCGTTTTGTTATACTTGGTTCAGGTGAATGACACTTTTATTTATTGATTATTTATCTAATCTTTCTTAAGGGAAAATTGCTACAATGTTGTTAAAAAATATAGAAAAATGATTTTGAATAAGTAATGCCTGGTAAGAATTTCCAGATCAAATGTTTCTGTTTTCAAAAATGTTTCAAGGAATTGTAAGAATGTAGCAGCTTCATCAGTCTTAACCAGCCCCCGCTGGCAAATACGGGTAAGAGGAAATCATGGATTTCTTGGTCAATCGTGCTTTGAATTTCCCAATCTTCAAATTCAGCGTGCTTTTCAAAATCGGATTAGCTTGGTCCTTTGCGAAGTCTTTTATAAGAAAATCATACAGAAAAAATGCCGATTGCCAGTTGTAAAAATCTCACATAATGTAGCTGATTCTTTGAATTTTCATAGCAAACATCAACGACAGAAGTATGCTGGGGAACCGAGATTCAGAAATTGCAATCATTGTTCAGGATACGGAAATGGTATGCATTTCCAGTTAGTTGAACCCCCCCCCCCCCTGCTCCCCTTGGATGCTAGTTGGCGCCTGTTCACATGAAGTGGGCTGGTCAACTCAAGTGGGGTCCGTGCTTTCTATAGATTCCTTTGTTCCCTGTATTTGCGTTTACATGGAGAATGGGCCAGCCCGCTCAGGTGAGATCCGCGAGAAGGACAGGTGGGATCCGCATCAGCTGGGATCCGCATCAGCTGGGATCCGCGTCAGGTGGAATGGAAATTGTCCATGTAAACGCAATCAGGTGGGCTACCCCACTCACTGAAAGTCATTGCGCTTGCGTAGAGAAAGTTGGCGCCAAACTAAACCAAATGGTAATGTCGTATGAATCAGCAGCAAGAGTTCGGGCTCTTCTGCTAAAACTGTAGTAAAAGCGTACAGAAACCTAGAGAATTCAAACGTTTCCTCAATTGAAATGACACTAACATATCGACCACATACTTTGATAGATCGAACACAAAATCAGAATTACGTGTAACTGAAGTATGAATCTGAGCATAAAGTATAACTGAACGGTCAGAAAAGGAATTCAATTGTTATTCGCCATTGAGGAAAACTTATATCCAATACTGTGGCGCCAAAAACTGAAAAAACCTCATTTACAATTTTCAAATAAGAGGCCATCCCATCTAAGTGGGATAAATCGCGTCCTCATTTAAACACATGCGTATACGATCTCACCTGCAGAAACTAGCCCACTTCATGTGAACATGTCCTTAGTTTCGGCAGTTTTTAGATTAATATAATCCAAGGGGGCTTATACAAGGGGGGCAATTCGAGTATTTTCAATATCTTCTGCATCACATTGTCTTTACGATTAACTGTCTTGAAAAATTTATGGTTTAGCGATTAGTCACTTCTTTCGTTTATAAAATGAAATTCCCATGTCAAACACCCATCAGCGTTTGGAATGTAAATAAGGTACAAAAACAACAAATGATACATCTGGATGTGAATGGAAAAAACCAAGAGGATCAATCGCCCATTCGATTGGCCAAATGTCAAGCAATCATTATCCTATGAACTGGGAATCGTTCCTTTCATTGAAGAGTCCCTCATTTTCACTGTAAGATAAAGTCATAAATTAGAAAATGGCTTTGAAAAAATCAAACTTTTAGCAACATACTACTAAAAGCTTTTTCGTCTGACACTCCTCAGAGTATTAAACGTCAGGATACTGTGTTTTGAAAGTTTGTTGTATTTTGTTGCGCTTTTAGTAGTATGTTGTGAAATGTTTACTATTTTCAATGCCATTTTCACGTGCTGTTATGCCAAGACATTGTTTACCGTCATAAATGTTTTTTATGTATTTTTCAGTTTTTCCAGCCGGTATACTTAATTGCTTGTTATGTTATGTTATGTTATGTTATGTTATGTTATGTTATGTTATGTTATGTTATGTTATGTTATGTTATGTTATGTTATGTTATGTTATGTTATGTTATGTTATGTTATGTTATGTTTTACATGACATAATAACAACTTTTCCTTGAAAATATGATTGATTGGCGAATTATACACCTGATGATTGTTTACATATGAAACTAAGAGTTGTGTCACAATAGTCCATTTATTTTAGTCAATCTATCGTATTAAACCGTATAAACTTTCGTGCGATTTATGATTGATTGTCACTTCAATCCCAATGATCGTGCATATACTTTGTTTCATGGCCATTGTATATCTGTTCAAACTGTTACTGACGAATCCTCCCTTTCATAGGTCGACTCACAAATGGACGGAAAACACTACAAAGCAGGACAATTTGCCCATACCCTAAGAAAGTGGTTGTTCAGGGAACATCTCGGCTTATTGTCGGACACAGAACGTAGTGTTGCTGACCCGATTTCGGATGAAATGATTGTAAGTAAAGACACTGTTTTTCCCACTGTAGGCCCTTGGTATATATGAACAGTGTTAAACTAAATATATTTTTTTCATTTTGTGATTTTGCCTGCTCTTTTTAAAACAACACACACGATTATATTATCTCGTAGCCAAGATCAATCTTTGATCAGTCGGCACTTAGCCCTACTTAGTACTCACACAGTGTGAGCAATAAGAAGCTAGTTTAGGCCACTCTGTTTTATGTTCCCAAACACACCATTTAATGTCAACCTTTTCTCTTATGCATTCCATTGTAAACCATAGTAGGCGTAGGGATATTCTCTAAAAAGCAACTTGCCTTGCATAAAAGTTTGAATATCGATATACGAAGGGCCTTATGATGAGTGACCAATTGTGCTGTCTTACCGTTGGCAGATTAACTGAGTATTTCAATTAAGTCAATTTATTTTTATCTGTTATTTCGCATTCTACATTATGCCAGAATTAGTGCCTATGTATATATTTATATATTGTAAGTAAATCTACGTTACACCTATACAAATATTGAAGTCTTTTAAATCTCAAATTTAGAACTTTTGGAGGACAGCAGCTGAAGAAAATACTAAGATATACGAAGAGGTAAAAAGTTAATTAATTTTTTTCCATTGTCTGTAGTAGTAACACTATCAGCATCAAATGAACTTAGCCGGGGAGCATAATGACGCAACTTGGCGCCAGTCCTGGAGCACAGAATAGGAATGAGGCAGAAGGGGAACTCCCATCTGATGAAGCCTAAAATTTCTAGCGCATGCGTTAACTTATACGAGGCTTAGCGTGTATCTGCCGGGGAAATTTAAAATAAGAATGAAAGAAGACAACTTTATTGAAACAAAATGCCCCATGTCAGTGAACAAATTCAATTACAGTCGAACCTCTAATAGCTGCAACTTTGAGATCCAAGGCCTGGTGGCCATTAATGGGAGGTGGCCGTAATTCGGAGGTTTGCTAAAAACATTCACAAGCGTTCGGGACTGAAAGTCTGTGGCCGCTATTGGGAGGTGGCCGCTATTCGGAGGTGGTCGCTAATCGGAGGTGGTCGCTATTAGAGATTCGACTGCATGTTAATTCGTTTACTATCAGATAAATGAATGATAGTTTGTCATGGCTAAGTTCGTCTAATGAAATCGAGGTTAAAGGAGAATTATAAAATTCTATTGTTGACTCAGGCTTCAAAAGAAAACAAAGGAACCGTCGAGAGATACCCTTCTGCCTATTTCCAGTTCTGTGCCTAAAGGTACTTGTATGCAAGTGAACTGAATTCCCAGAGTGTTTGAAATGATAGCAGCATAAATTGATACTATAAAGTTTTAAACTCAATTTTTTTAACATTTTCTTACATTGCCTGATGTTGCCTGAACAGTTCACGTAATAATCATATTGATGTTGAAACTCGGAGTTGCCATTTAGAGCCATTCTGTTCTACACAATAAGCGTATGTAAGAAAATCTTTTGAAGCTCTTCATTAGCCATTACTTTAAAAACATTTGCCTTTAGATAGGCTTTAATTATTTGTGGGAAATATTTTTAAGATTTTCAAGACTGCTGTGTCAACATGCAATGCTATCAATTTCTTTGAGATCTGAACTTTTGCTGAACCTTGCCATCATTCATGCTCATTGAACTCTCTTTTACACTGCAATTCCGCCAAATTGCTTTGAACTTATTATATAGCCGGCATGCTTTGCGGCTTCGTTTTCAAAACTGGTCTTATATCGTACTGCATGAAAATACAAAACACAATTAATTTCACAAGACAGCTGCCGGTAGGCATGTCGTCTGCGCAAGAGCTTTTAAGGACTTCTTGCCGTTCTAATTACCAACAGCTGAACTTCTTCCCAGGTATTCGGATGTATGCCGAGCAATGAAGTCAAATCATTTTCAAATATAGCAAAATATAATGTAAGTCATGCGTCATTCGCCGTGTATCACAGTGTCACTGATGTAGCAATTGCTGTTTTTAATATTTTCTTTACCAGTATCTTATGATTTAAATTGAGGCCTGATAGCCAAAACAATTGAGGCGTGAATTAATATTGACAAAGCGCTGCAATTTTATATTACTGTGAATGCCTAAAAAGCTTTTTAAACGATGTTTAATGCATCAAACATGGTATTCTTTATTCATAATGTCAATTTTGCAAATTTTGCATCAAAGCTATCTTAGTAGAGTGAGCATCTGCTTGTTAGCTTGTGGGCCAAAGCCGCCAACTTTTTGCTGATATTGATACTGTAGCAATACACGAGTATTGATACTGTAGGCTTTATTAAATTACAGAATAATTTAGCCACTATTTATTTTTTTCTCTTAAATAATCAGTTGAGCAGATTTTGTAAGAATATTCAGTGGCTTTTAGAACTATGCATTTGCTCTTGAATCTATTCGTTGCCAACTGCATTCCAACGAGAAACTAGATTATAAACTGATCATTTTCTTCGTTTCAGAGTCGTAATCGACTTGCGGAAAGTGATCCAACTTCCGCCAGGCAGCTTCTAAGAAATTTACAAGGACACATAGTAGAGAAGCCGTTGCATTTCTTGGAAAACCAAGATATGCGGCCTGCTGCAGGTACAGCAGAATCCCTTGTTCCAGCTTCCGTATTCACGTGAGTTTTTGGCCCGTGAGCAGTGTTTGTATTGGTCGCTCTTTCAATTTTATTGACAGTTGATTGCTATATATTCTCGCATCAAAATAAGTGTGGCTGTAGCAAAAAATAAGTTGGACACCAGTATATTTCTGATGAGGGAAAATTTTTATGCTTAGATACTTGAAATTTCTATAGACAGCTAAGATATGGGTTCTTAAATGAGCTTTTTTCTCAACGCTCAAAATTTCATCCTTCGCTATTATTTCAGGTTAGATACAGTTTATCCCTTAGATTTCTGCGATTTTCTTATGGTATTTGAATCAGATCAGAGAATAAATGTGATTTTCATCAGAGGATTAACTTCAGCATTAATCTTCAAAATAAGTCCCAGTAATATCAAATTGAAACGGGTTCTTAGGCAATGCTAAAGACTCCATCGTTTCAGTTACTAAATACCTTTAACTTAATAGGAATTTAACTTTAGAGAGAGTCCTGATTAAAGAATTACCCAATACTGTCTGCACTTCCATTTATCAAGCAATAGAATTTCAAAAGCGTAGCGTTATTCTAGATGTTGTAGAATTGGCTTCTCAGATGTATTTTTGTGCGACTTTAAATAGGTGTATTTATCCGCTTTTCCCATTGAATAAGTTAGCATTGTTGTAAACGAATTTGATAATAATTTCTCCGTGTAAACAACAGTTTTGCCAGTATATTGTGGTACGTGCACGCTTTGTATTATATGGGGTTTACCTAAAATTATTGGCTTGGCATTGTTGCAACTTATTGTCACAAAGACATCAACAACCAAAGATCTAGCTTTATGACGTCATCGTTGAATTCGTTTCCAGTCCTCAAATCAATATCAAATTGAATATGAATGGCTTTCGGTTTCTCCCAGAAGTCTCATAACTACATCTTTTCCCTTTCAATATAATGAAGTCTTGTCATAAATTCCTATATTTGCGATATGTCATTGTTTTTTGATAATCTGCAACATGTCTAAGTCTATTTATCGTGAATAATTTATCCTTCTTTCAGTGATTTAAAATGTTTATCTTGTAATTGAAATTCACATTAGCATTTTAAGCAATGTATTTTGAATGAAGAATTGAAGTCGTTTGCATGTATATTTTTATAGCATTCAATTCGAGTGCCAGGTTTATATTTGATAACATTACTAGTCAAATAGATTGCCAATGGAAGAGAAGAGTTTTTGTTTTCAGCATATCTCAATCAAGTGTAGCCTGTTAAACCTATTCAATAAGATTAAACCTCTTGGATCTGAATGAACCTAAGAATAAACCTCCTGAATTTTTGCTCATCGTCAGTGAATTGGTTTATGCAAGGTTAGACTTTGCAGTTTGATTATAACGAACTATCTCATGAAGTGATCACATGAGAGCTTCACTTCCCGATTGCTGGTCATACTTGTCACAACCATCGCGTGAGTTGATCACACGAGAGCTCCAAATCTTGATTGCTGGTCATATCTGTCGCATCTTTCTCGAGACATGATCACAAAAAGCTTCACATCTAAATTGCTGGTCAAACCTGTCACAATCATCTCACGAAGTGGTCACAAAAAAGAGCTTCACATCCTAATGGCTGACCATACTTGTGAAAACCATCTCGCGAAGTGGTCACATGCAAGCTTCACATCCTAATGGCTGACCATACTTGTCACAACCACCTCGCGAAGTGGTCACATGCAAGCTTCACATCCTAATGTCTGCCCATAATTTTCACAGCCTTCTCGTTAAGTGATCACATAAAAGCTTCATGCCCTGATTGCTGACCATACTTATCTCAACCATCTCGTGAAGTGATCACATGATATTTTACTCGCGAGCAGAATACTGTGCTGCATAATGGTTGTATAACATAATAGTTTGCTCATTGCAAATGCCAGCTTTTTATCCTTTCACAAGCCCTCTGACACTTTGTGGAAACACTTTCATACGTTTTCGCTATATCTCATTCATTTTATCTTGCGTGTCAAGGAATTTTCATTACGCAGCCCATAATTTCTATTTTTCTTTAGAAATTCAGGTTTAAATATACGCCAAATACACCTTAAAAAGAGAAATCAAGCTTCTAGTTCTGTCTTTTACACCAGTTTGTTTAATTTTATATGACCCCCGCGTTTAGCTTTTAGATCACAATGAATATTGCTTTCAACAGCAATCTCATTAGGACTTTCAAAGACCTATGTGCAAGCTCTTCATTGCTTTAGTCCCAATGCCAGTTTTTTGTACACCAAAAGCAGCTAGACTGTTCCCTTGTTTTTCAATTAAGCTTGATATATATATATATTAAAGAGGGCATCGTGTATGTGTTGGTAAAAGGCGGATGCATAAAAAGTATGAACGAAACGTATTTACACTGGACATGGATCAAAAGGACGTCATCTAGAGAGACTTTAAGAAGCCCATTTACCCGTGTCCTGGTTGTTAAAGTCCAATGATTGTTTCGCCTGTAAGTATTGCACTTTCGTTTTAAAAATATGCACTGTCAAATGCATCGCTCATTGCATTGGTTGTTTTTAAAAAAATTTCACAAAAAAGCGATGAAATTATCTCAATTTTACAAGAGTTTTCTTATATCTTATAATTTGATAAATGCTTCTTAATAACAGCTCAAACTAACGATAGAGTAACGCAGCGGTATCTCGGAATTTTTAAATGATCCTGTTAACGATCAGTGCAGAATCAGAACAATAATAGTAGACTATTTTTGTCTAAAATATTTCTATGCCAAAGAGAAACAAATTCTCTACGTTGTATTCAATAACTGAGTTGATATTCTGTGATTTTAACAGAGATAAATTGATATCACGAGCAAGCTGTCACTTCTGTAGGTTCCTCTTAAACAGTGATATAAGATATCATTTCATTGGCGATTACATTATTTGTGGTAAATCACTTTCAAAAGGTTTCTTCTTTCAGAGTGTTGTTTCAGACAGGGGAGCAATCCCGCTCTGTTATCAGAGATGTCACAAACTATGGCAACAGAAATTGTGAAACAGACAAAAGTAAGATGCTTTACTTATGAGAACGAAAATAGATATCCTTTTTACAAAATCTAGTAACTGACACGTTATCCCCAAAAAAGATAAATATCCCAGCATAAAACAGCTAGACTACACAATGTCTAAATTGTCCCAAATAATAAATAATACCCATCAGTCTCTTAAAGTTTGTTCCTATCTGTGGCCAAAATAGATAGCTATAGTTTTCTGATAATAACTTTTAGAGTTCGATGTAATTTTTAGTAGTGCTGAAGAATTGTTGAATAGTTTTATAATTCTTTCTCAAGTCAATAAATGTCAAGTCTTTATAAATCTCCTATTTGCATTGCAAATTTGGCATATAAGTATCTACATGAAGAAATGTCTAGTTTTCCAGTATCAGTGTTGGTCCTTCGTACTTTCTGATTCTTCCGGTGAAGACTAATCTTCAATGAAGAGTAGAGTATTAGTTTCCAGTCTTTTTATTCTCGTTTAAGATGCAGTCGCCGTTTGCTGGTCATCACCTGGAGAAAAAGAACATTCAAGAACACGTGAGTTTTTTATGATAATTGTGTTAACCATTATCATCTTAACTTTTATTCTTTTCCATTTTTATGTTATTCTGTTATTCTTTGCTATTTTCTATGGTATTGACAGGTAATCTGCTATGACTGTATTTTTCAAGGTGCCCTAAGACCCACTTAACTATCTACAGGATCTCGTCAGTTTTTTGGATTCTCGATCGCCGTTTTTTTTGCTCCATATTTTTAGCTTTTATATTTAATATTTTTGCATTGATAGAGAATCTTACAGCAGATAAACAACAAATGTCGCGTGTGTTCTCTTTAGTCATGAATAAATTTTCCAGAATTCTTGCTGTGCTTCATTGGGTGATTTGTATTTCAACTTCTTACTCTAAAAAACTGAAGCTGCAGCAAAAATCATTTACCCTTTGTATTTTCACTATGGTATTATTTTGTATCGATAATGGCTGTTCGTTTATTTCTTTGCAAAATCCGATCTTTTAAGGCACTATACTGAATGGTAATTTGGCTACTTTCCTGTAACTTTTTCTAAGATTGCCGAAATAGTTTTGGTTTATAATACTTCTCAATGTTCCAAAATTTTCTCAGAAGTATATGATGCGGATTAGCAGGTTAACGCCAATTTTGGTAATTTCTGGTCAATTTCGTAATCAATTTTTTTTAAAATATTCTGATCGCCGAACTGTGAGAAGTGAGAAGGAAAAAAAAGCAGAAATTAGTCAGTTAGTTGTAAAAAGTGTTATCTCATCTAATCAAAATGCGATTAATTATTATAAACCAAACATTGCAAATTCGAATAGTATCATAGCTCTTATTTGTGGTTGAAGCTGTACCAAGCCTCATATTTGAATGGCCCTTTTTCTTGCAGCCGCAGTCGAAGAGCTTTTTACATTACAATTTTTGAGTTTCGAACAAAATCCAAGTATAATATTATAAGTTTTTCCAGTCATCTAAATGCAACATTTGGTTTTAAACGGTAGATGAATCTTTATACAAGATCCCTATAATCTAGGTTATTAGTGGTTATCATGCTGTGAAAAATGTCTCCAATTCTAATACGAGCTATATATTTATTATATTGCATCAGCTCTTCTCCTCTGCCGCCCACAGTATATCCCAAAGTTATAGTTACAATTTCCCTACGTCAAGAATGGTTCATTTGTCCTTCAGTTTCTCATCCTGTTTCCAGGCTAATTATAGCTTGATTACAAGATATTTCATAGAAATAATCTATGCTGTCATTTATTTCTTGGAAAGTTCATGGTTATGTATGGATGGTCGATTTCTTTAACACTGAATCTTTGCTCGATTCGCTGTTGTTGTTGTTGTTGCTGTTGCTGTTGTTGTTATTGCTGCTCGATTCCGAGGCTTGCTCTTTGGCCTTCCCTTTTGTTTTTTCAGGTTTAAATTCAACTATAAGATCGAAGTTGGTTAGCATTATAGGGTTAAAAGTTATAAGGCTAGAAGTTGAAATTTTATTTTTATTAGTTTCAATTAGCAGAATGTTTTCACATAAATCTAAAGAGATTAAGTAAGCAGAGAATATAATTTTGAATGATTACGTTATCATTAGATACAGTGAATCTTGTATATATGTTGGTTTAGAGCATTGGTTTGAGATCGAGCTTTCTTGAAGATCAAAGATTATACTAAAGATTCTGGATTTTTGGCTTTTAATCGCTGTATCATCTTTTAAAACATTGTGGTTGCAAGCAAGATTGTCTAAACTGCTCACGAAATGCTGAAATTAATTCAGCTGTTCTGTGAGTTGATTGGCTTATACCAATCTAGTTGTATGTTTATTGGTTGAGACTGTTCCAATCCCTCGAGTATTCTATTTGCACGACACACTTCCTTGAAGACAACTGGTTGTCTTTGAGAGTCAACTTACAGTAACGGTTATATGTTAGTGTGTGTAACTGTCAGTTTCCCCCTTGGAATTTACTGAAAACATCGTTTTTTCAATAAGTCTTTCTATCTTACTTCTGTCTGTGGCTTTCAGAATATTTACTGGTCGATCTCATTACCTTTATTGTCGGCACTCGGCCCTTTTTCATCCGCCGCTACGTCGCTTTTGCTTTCCCCGCCAGCTCCTCCATCTCCAGCAATTCCTGCAATACCATCGGATCTTCCACCACCAGTCTTCTCGTTCAGGTTATTGGCTGAAAGACATAATGTGTCTCATTAGCATTTGTGTATGCAATAAACGCTACTACTCTTTGTAGCAAATTTCTTTTTAACCCGAGAGAGGTTTCGTGTAGGAAATTATCTTAGCATCCTACTTTATTTGCAAAAATGTAGCACTTGATTTTCAAATTTTCTTACCTCCAGATCCGAACTTGCACTTCTCAAAAAGCTGCTTGATTTCCTCTGGGCTCAAGGCATAGTTATATATCCTAAACTCGTCAATGAGACCGCTGAGTGGTCTGTTCATCTTGTTGTTGCCAATCTTGGCCTCTGCTCCCCAGTCACGTGATAGGTAACCGTTGCCAACTGAGTGGTTCTTGATCTCTCCATTGATAAAGATGTTGGCGAATCCGGTTGATGCGTTGTATGTACCAGCAATATGGGTCCACTCGTCTGAAAATGAGAAATGGATTTTACGTAAAGTGTTTACGAAGCTCTCTTATTACTTACTTTATGAGATACTCCTTATTAGGATTTCACTTGAAATGTCAAGGAAACAAATCATCTTGGAGCCTTCAGGCCCTTTTACTTCTAGACATCTTCCTCTAGGTTGCTATTTAACTAATTATTGCCTTTAACACGACGGATATACGCACCATCACTATCAATAAGAATTAACCTCATCGTCAGCAACAATCTACTCACGTGGTTTGACTGCATGAGCCTCAGTTTCGAACACGACGTTCTGGCTCTCGTTTCTGTGGAACCAACGCACGTTGCCGTAGTTGACCTCAAAATGATATTGACCCATTGGGTGAGTGGCTCCAACGGTGTGGAAGATTGAGTGAGAGCCATCGATCTTCACAAGGTAGATCCATGCTGCGACAGTGACGGCCACCTTGGGCTTGGCTTGGAATTCGGTGCTCTGGAAACTAATGTCTACACACCAAAGGTAGGCGACGTTGCCACAGTTGCTGTCTGGGATCTTAGCAACGAGGGCACCGGTCGACATCTGTGCGTTGTTGTCAAATCCAGATTCATCTGAAGCAGTTGCGCCATTGAATTTTTCGAAGTCCAAGTACGCGACGAGTCGCTCTGTTAAAACGGGACAATATTGGTTTATAACAAATGTTCGAATGGTCTTGGCTTAGTAGACATAGCAGATTTTATTCTGCAAATTATCATAAATATTTATTCCCCTGGATGAATTTTTATGCTGTCCGAAATTTTAAAATGTCCAAATGTTTCCCTAAGTTTTTATCTCAATCTTCTTTATTCGAAGTTCGTTGAAAAGGGTTGAAATTTTCATATCTTTGGACAATTTTCAGTTAGATTAACTTTTGGGAACCGATAATGGGTGCTCGGAGCCAGTGGGCAAAGAGAATTGAAAAATTCCTTCGAAGATAATGGCTGATGGCAAATACCATGCAATATGCCTGGTCATTTGTCCAGATTACGCGTAGAGACGGTTCTCTGAAATTTTCAGCGATTAATAGTGTACTAAAATTCTGTACAAAAATATGATCTGCTTACTTCTGGTAGTGCCAGATTCTCCTGAATCTTTTTCACTTGTGGCAATGCCGATGATTTCCGCACCACCTCGTTTTTGTAGTTTTATTTCTTTTTCTCCTGTGAAGATAACTCATGAATTAAAATCTTTATTTTTGTAAAAAGCTGGCAATCGGAATTTCGCTACGTGTACTTTTTCACTGAAATAAATATTTTGTTGTTGAAAGAGAAAGCCGATTTGTTTCACCTCAAGTACTTTGTTATCAACTGTGATAGTATGGTGATAGAGGCATTTTTGTTAAATTGTTTTTTCGTGTCTTTTTGATCAAATTGATCTGTGACAGTTTATAAAATTTCCGAATTTGATTCTTTACCATATTTCCTTTTCTGTTTTAAAAAACCGTTAATATTTATTTTATGAAAATGATACCTGTCATTCTATATGAATTGTTTTGTTATTTGCAGGCAATCTAAATATTCAGCTTTGTTCTATGACAAAATTTCCTCTCTCAAAATTTCACGGTTGCTGAGAACTTATAAATGTTTCCAAATTTTTCCAAAGTAACGAGGTATTTGCTACTCTGTTTGATTCCCTGATTCCTATCCCACATTCAATACTCGAAGCTTCAGTTTAACTGTTGAAATTTAATAAAGCTTGAATTTGAAAGTTTCTTACCGTCTTGGATGAGAATTTTCGCAAATGATGCTGAAAATGAAAACGAAAATTTTAGTTTATTTATCTGTATCTAAAAGAAAGAGGAAAACAGCTAATGCCAAAGATTCTTTAGCATCAACTCTTTTGTGTAAACGAAAATGGAATAACTCTTCATATATTGTTGTAGTTAAGTACATATCTGTTTTTCTTAATTTATGAGTTTATGCGAAATTGTTCAATTTTTTATCAGTTCTCGAAAAAAATTGCTAATGACACCAACCTGAAACTGCGCAGCAAAAAATTAGGAGATGTAATGGCCTCATCTTGAGCGGCCCTGAAAGAGATTACCAAAAAATATTCTTGAAAATCTGCGAAGATTTTTCTTCTTATTATTATTCTAACTATTCGAAAATATTCTTGTAATAAGCTCTTTGGGTTTTACGTCCCGTATAGGCAATTTAATACTTGAGATCACAGAACAGCCGTTTTATAGTGCTTGATTCCATATAGATGGAGCTGTACACACTTATGTCCAACTTTAGAACTATTATGTTCTATACACAAGAGGGTTTTCTTTTATAATACATGTGCTGCGCTGTGATCTCAATGGAAAAAGGTTAGAGTGCTTGTATGTGTTTAAAGGCAATTGACAGATACTTAAGGGGCTTAAGCCATCTTTCAATCAAGAATTGACCAATCAGTGAGTGTGATTCCACTCACACGCTAATTTTTTGGCTTATGTTGATTGATAAATGGATAAGGACAACTTCATATCTGTCCACTTCATGATCTCGTTATAATCGGTTTTTGCTCTTTCATTTCTACTAGAGACATCCATTTCATCACAGCACTTGAAATGTTACCAATCTTCTTTGTGCAGAAGGACGTCCAGCATGCATTGAAAAATCCAAGAATATCTTCTTTAAAGGTGTATATTGTTTTTCTTTCAAATAAGTTTAGAATTATGATCTATGATTATGTTGAAAAGTCGCCCAGCGTTTTTTGAAATTAGCTTATACCTGAAAATTGCCTGAAATACTTATAATTGGCATTGTTTTCTAAATTGTACTGCCTAAATATTTTACAAAAGCAACAGCTTGGCCGTTACTGCAATTTCTGTGCAGCTCACACATCCAAACCCTATCTTGATACGAGAATTTTAAATTTGAATATGCTCCTAGAAAAAAACCTAAGGTTATTGTTAAATGTTGACTTGGCGATTCAAAGAAAAAATTTGTATATGAAACTGACATTCTACGTCCCATGAATATATAACGAGCTCCGGTGTTTCTGAAAAACTATTCACACTTAAAGTAATAAAAATTGGGAGGTTGCTTTAAATTCCTTGGCCGCATGTTTTACCTTATGTCGTGTCTTTGCAGCAAAACTTCCTTAGATTACCGTTAAAGTCAAAATCTGTGAATCGTGAACATAAAATGTCAAACTGTTACATTATCACACATTATATTCCGGTGTAGCTAGCAATCACTATAAATTTGCCCATGCACCAAAGATCCAAGACCTTTTGAAACATAAGCAGCTTTATGATACTTCGTTTCCAGAAAATATATCTTCGTTTCTCTTATCTCCAAAATCAAGATCTAGTATTGCAGTTGCTGGCACTGCCTCGTATCTTCCTGGGCTTGGGTGCATGGTTCCTTGTTCTGATGTGTTTATAACTTTGCTGAGCTATCCATTATCATAACTGTCTTTACTCACTTTCCACTTTCCAAACTGACACGAAACCTCAACAACTTGCACAGAAATCCCCAAGAAATATATAACCCAAAAAACTTACTTTTGCTGTATCCTAGTCTTGAATCTCGTCTTTTCTAAATTTTATAATAATTCATGTAAGCATCAAGGCCGTAGAGGGGCTGCCGACTGACATTATTTCGAAATCATTTGGGTGCATGAGCGAATCGCAAGCATTTGACCCTGGCCTAGACCTCGACCTGTAAACACACAGGTGTCTGTATTGAGTGCCCAGTGAAATCATACAGGCTTCGCTGCAATGTCTAGAAGCGCTGTGCAGCGGACCGTTCATCTATATCAGGCCTAGGTTGCTCATGGGCTCTCAATGCTTGGCTAGTCACGGCCGGTTTTCTTCTATTAACCGATGCATAGTCCAAATCGCTATCATTATAAAGTAGTTATACTTTTCATCCAGGATCTCCTCCTCAGAAGTGAAACGCTGCGCAGCAAACTGACCCCTAATACGCAAAGCATGTGACCAAGGGATACCATGTTTCTTATCGGCAATTTGTAGAAGCTCAGAATAACACGTGTAAATTCATGGCAAAGATGCCACCAGCTGAAGAACTGAACTATTCCACTGCCATAAAAGCTAACTCGCTCTCTATAAAGAAATTTGAACACAAGGCTGCGAGCAAATAAAACTCCGGTCATTATTACGCCAGGACTACTTCTAGACTATAACGAATTTTTTGGATGCAAATCATAAATTATTGAGCTATTGCCGTAAATTTCTGCAGCACATAGCAAAATAGCCAAGCATATCCTTTATGCAAGAGAGATATCAACATATATGAGACCAACATAACACAACATTGACTTTCTTGGACTGCTCCATGATGGAGATAATTCTCTGCATCACCCTTTCTCGTGTCTTCCGTCTACTTTTTCTCTACATATTTTTGAATGCCATTACCCAGAGAGATTGGCTCATTTTTTTTCAGTATCCTACATTTATGGTTGTGCTGTTAGCTTGACTTAAAGTAGACAATGCAATTAAAAGCTATTTGCGGTCTTGCACTTTTATAAATAAATAACTTTTAAATTTCCTTTGCATTGCTTTACTGTAATGCTTGATAGATTTTCATTCCAAGATCTTCTTCATGATGACAACTGAAATTACTTCGTTAATGAATAAGTTGCTATCGACAATTTTCAACGATCAAAAAATGTTAGAACGATAAGTATAGATATGTTAACTATAAAGATTATTGCTTAGTATTTCCTTGCTTTTCATTCTAGTCATAGCGCTTCTTTCTAGCTTTCGGCTTAGGTCAGAAAATGCCAGAATGTCAAACATTTCAAAACTTTTGTTGCTACGCTAAAAATGGCAAGAATGTGGGAGTTAATTGCCAGTCTTTTGCCTTCAACAACTGTGACAAGCCTATTGAGCAGAAGATATTTCCACTATGTAGCTTAAAAATATTAACATTGGGCAAATCTTTATACAACTATGCATATCTCCTTCTCTGAAATATGTCTGATGCTGCCTTCAGTTCAAAACTTAGTGACTCAGTCATATAACCAGGAAATTGTCAGTCATGTGAAAGAGGGTGCTATCCGCTTGTGAATGTATTACTATAATCATATAGCAATGAATTTTCGTCTGTTTAAATCTTTTCTTCACAACGATATGATAAACATTGCGAGGCAGATTCTAAAAACAAGTTAGATCTTGAATGTGAGGCACTTAGTTTGGCCTCGATATCAAGTGAACATGCTACAATATTCTAACAACAAGTTGTTCACCTACACAAAATTAATTATTAATCACAGTTTAAGGCTAGTAGTTTACAAATGGGTTTTTTAAACTGATCTTGAGTGGTTGATTTGCAAAAAATTTTCCCTTTTATAGTAAAATGATATACTGCGTCGAATATTGAACATTTCAGTACTAAGGGTTGATTCTTGTGGTACCTCTTGTGACATCTAAATACTATTTCTAATTGTTTCCTCTTCGAGTTCGCTTAGCTATCAAATGGACTGCTACACACTATAATCCCTCATTTTGATATATTTCTATAATTAATTGGTTGAAAATGTTTGCTGTTTATTTTTTACTAACATGCCTCTGACTACAGGATTGAATACTTAGGGTGAACAGAAAACTGGCAAAATCCTTATAATCATTTGCAGCTAGTTAAAAAGCTTTTCCTTTTTTCTAGCTATGCATATACGTTGATCTCAATGGTCGATATTTTTGGAGAATGATCAGTTTGTCCGTATGTTTTAGGTTTCTTTCAACTGCAGTGGTCTATAATACACTGCAGATGGGATAGATTCTTGATGGATATCCTTAGGATATTTACCGTGAAAAGATTTATTTCGGTAGTTTGCACCCAACCCTTCAATTGTGGCATAAATAGTCTGGTGATCAACTGAAAATTTTCATAAAACAAAACTTGAAGCATTTCCATTTTACAATGACAACCTATGCTCGATTATAAAACTTTTTGCCTTCAAGTATTAACAACTCCTGGATTTCTAGTCATTTTCTTTCAGAGATTATCAAGCTTCGTCTAACAACATAATTTTGAATTAAAAAAATGTTAAGACATTTAAGATGTTGAAGACAGTCGCTTTCAAAAATGTTCAAAATTATGTCATGCATATAACACCTTAACGCATTTAATCACAGTTTCTTTGATTCGCTGGTTTGCACTAGAATATTTACTTACGAACCTGTAAACAAACCTATTAACGTGAAGTGAATAAGAAGTAAACGGACCTGCTGTTTTTATACTTTAACATTCGCCATAAAGGAAAACCAATTTAAATTGTGAGTAATGAGCTAGCTTTTGTTTACTTGTTGGAGTTTACCTTAGAAAATGATGACATACAAAAACGCCTTCACACACCTGAGGTACTGTTCCATCTGGATCAAGCATATGATAGAAGTATTACTTTTTTTACATCGTATTTTCACATGAAATTTGAAAACCTTAGATGGATTATGCTATATTCAAATAAAATTGTCAGATATTGCTTTTAGGTATGGTGCATACATAGTAAGGAGGCCTTGGAAATACACACAGTACCTAAAGTGATTCTTTTAAGCTTCTTTCTTATACTTTTTTGCAGATTCCTCTGAATTTTCAAAATACGTCTTGTGTTATGAAGCTACATGGAGAGATATATTTTCGATTTGGATATCACAACTTTTCTTAGAAACCTTGTGTCAACATTTGTTTTAGAATAGTGAAGAATCACAGTCATATAAAATCTGCCAGACAACCAGAACCTAAACATACACATTTTACAACAAGCATCAAGGAAATTTTTTGACTCGATTCCAGTCGATAGCTTCATCAACTTTGAAACTTCAGAAGCTGATTTCCATTCTATGAACAGCCCATGATTATAAACCCGTGAAATAAGCATGATAGTAACAAATTTTATGTTTTTCAAAACTTTAATCAAAAGATTTATTTTGTTTTTTATATTTTTTATCATCTTGATTCAAGGTTTAGGAAAATGAACTGTTTATGACCAGCATAGGCAAAGGAGATGATGCACATGAGGCGAGGAAGATATGGCAAGCATTCATAAACTGCCAAGTAAGTCTTGAAAAACACTCGGCTTTTCTTCCTGTTGATGAAAACATTCTGTGCTTTATTTGAGAAGTAGATCAATTCTGTGATTTATCACTTCAATATGTCGACCATTTGTTAATGTGTAAGCATTGAGGCTACAAGTTTACTAATAGCCACTGTCAAAACTCTTGGAATACATGTGAATTCTCATTGTCAATGCAAAATTGAACTTTTTTGATCATTGTCTCACGATTGTTTTGTTGCGTTTTGACAGTTGCGTTTCACGTTCTGCTTTTTAACCTACACCGTTTTAGGCTGAGAGCTGTTTTCTATTACAAAGAAGAAAAAGCGATGAAAAATGCAAAAATGTAGCGAAATTTGTACTTTGAAATTCGAAATTTGAAATTCGAGGAGTTTTTGCGGGCATTTTATATCTATAGTAAGCATGATATGCGACAATAAAGCACGGCAATGTATTTAACGTATCAATTAATGCGAAGCTACTGTTCTTTTGCAGTTTACGTTATTATCGGCTTCTGGATCGTATTCTATAGCTATGGACAGTCAGAGATGTTAGAAAAAGTGAATCGCACTGGTGAACATAAAAGTCCATATAAAACGCTTGCAAAACCATCTACCGTACAAGCCAATGGTGCTTTGGACTTCCAAACGAGTAAAAAACATAAAAATATGCATCCGGTTCGAATGAATACAAAATCTCACAGCCAAAGACTCTCCACCACAGCAACACGAATAAGGTCATCAAAGTCTTCAAGAAAAGACTCCTTGGTTTTAGTAAGCCAGTTAAAAACGAATGTAACAACAAAGGAGTATATTCGTGTACCTATCGTTGCTGAAAGTGAACAAAGTCCTGTAAATAAGTTTCTAAGTCTCAGTTGGAAGATAAAATCTACAACTCTTTCCAACATAAGTTCATTTCCACCTGTTTTGAAGGATTCTACCCTAAAGATATCTGGTTACCCTAACGAGATTAATGCTGACAATCACGTTACTTCCAAAATTTATCCTCTTCTTCAAAATGGAAAACAGTTAAGTAATGGATTGAGCTCAAAACCAAGATATACTTGTGACAATGGTACTTGCATTTTGATAAGTAGGTTGAATACTAGCAAAACTAAGACAAGATTTGAGCAAAAATATATTAACCACCCTCATGAATTTGGAACAAAGAAGCTGTCTTTTTCGTATTTAGAAAAGACAGGGACAAAGAAACATCATTCGAAGCTAAAACGAGACGTAAAATCAAAACATGGTAAAAATGATAAAGATTTTGGTAAAAAGATTAGTGCTCTTCTGAAAGACTTAAAGTCATTGATGGAGTCCTCCCAAGATAAAAAGGTTTTAAAGATGTTACAAAGAGAAGTTTTGAAAGAGACTCATTTTGATGGAAAGAAAAAGCATAGGAAAGTACGCAAGTTTGGAAATAAAAGACGACACAAGCCAAAAAGGATACATGCAGAAAAAAGATGGAAAAACAGCTTGAATAGAAAGAAGTCAGATTTAAAAAAACTGGCGAGGTATTTAGCTGCACAAAACATTGTCAGGAGTGGATGGCCTTTTCTACATTATGAAAGAAATTTAACGGAATTATACATATTGCTTCGCAAATTGAGATTGCGTGGCATGCATTCGAGTGATGTTACTAGCCTTTTGAAACCAACACAACTTCATACTGAATTGAATAAAAGCGTCTTGCTGCCTGAATTACCTTTGCATACTATGTATGGAAGCTCTCTTAGACAAACTGAAGTATCAGGAGGTAAAACTGGGTCAGAGAAGACAATCAAAACAATCTTGAAGCCATCTTTTGCAATTGTATCACGAAATGTCACTAAAACGCCTTCATTAAATGGAAGAACGATTCTAAGCAGCATGCACCCTGATCATTCCTCGATTTTGGTTGGTAGGAATATTGCTCAAAATCAACGAGCATTGAACGAAGATAGATCGGGGTTAATCTCGGCGAGAAATAAATCTGCACCCGGATCATTATATTTTGATACAACCAAGGACGGCATCCACAGTACTTCGATTCGACAATATCTTTCTTTGTTCCGTAGCCAGTCAATTACAAGTCTCGTATCTATGACAACTCAGTTCTTGGATGATAGACAACTGCCTACCATACGAACGTCAATCAAAACACCAAATGCAGCATCTGCTAGTATTCGTAATCTACTTTCCTCGTCTGCTACAAGAGTCGTTGATTCTTTGAATGACAAACTAATATCTGATCTTCTTGATGCATACAATATAGCTTTAAAGAATAGAGTAGCACATGGTCAAGAATCTACAGAACGCAAGCTAGATGAGCATTCGACTCAAAATGACCGTACAAGCAGTGTCGTTTATTCCACGGATATCACGAGATATGTCACTAGTACCCAGTTCCATAATGACTCTTCCACTTATATAACCACCTTGCAAGCTACGCAGTCAAGATTTGCCTATGGAGCAAATTTGAGTCTGATAATGGATAAAGACCAACCGGAATTAGATCAACCTCTACTTTCAAATTCACTGGATGTACAAAATGCAAGCCAACTTTCTGATGAGGATAAGGAATTGTATTTGCTCCAGAATCTAGATAATATTGTCAATGGAAACTTAAGCATTTCTTTCCCATTTTCTCAAAAGAACCCTCCTGTTGACGAGGAAAATAACATTCCTTATTTTGAAAAAAATGAAACTGGCGGAAATAACAGAGACTTGTGGGATAGCAATATTGACCGAGTCGAAAACAGAAGTAGGGATATCAAAGATTCATTGTTAGGTATGTTACAGTATCTCTTCCTTCCTTGCACTGAATTATCTTATAATTCTTATTTTTTACGCTGCCGTTCCAATGTCTGGTAACATGTTCGTGCAGTGATGGACCGTTGGCAATAAAGCTTTTAATGGATTGCTTGTAGTCTTTGTTTCCATAGGCGGCAGGGAGGGGGTTACTAAGATACTGATAGCTGGAAGGTTGTTCCTTTATTCACCGAGCAACAACAGCTCCTCTCATATATTACATTATATTGAGCACAGTACGTTACATATTTCACCTACTATAACAGAAGACGTTACTTACATCTGAAGATTACAAAAGTATTCGACATTACACGACAAAAGTATTGGAAACCACTCGGCCCTGCCCAAAATTTTAATTTCCATTCTGTATGGAGGATTCTTCTAAGTTTTGGAAATATTAGATCAAGTAGCTAGTCAAACGCGCCATTGATCCTTTCACGTTACTTTTTACCCGCACCAGGATGTAAACTTCTTCATATCTCTAGCCATTGTCCGATGATTATACTGTACCGTAAATCCTCGAATTAGCCTCCTGGGGGCTTTTTTATTTTTGATATTTTTTGGATGGGAGCTTATTCGAGGGGGGCTTATTCGAGGGGGGGCTTATACGAGGGGGGGGGGCCTATACGAGGAGGGGGCTTATAAAGTTATTGTAGACATTAAGAAGACATTATTAAAAGACCTCGTTTATTTTAGTAGAAATTTTTTTATGAGCATTTAATTAATTACTACCAAAAGTATGAATTTGTTCTAGTAATTCAATAAAACGCCATAGGCAACCTCAGATGGCAAGAATCAGCAAAATGAGGGATCCAATTGGAGAATTTACGGTAGCAGTGGGGGCTTATTCGAGGGGGGGCTTATTGACAATTTGTAGTTCTAGGGTGGGGGCTTATTCGAGGGGGCAATTCGAGGATTTACGGTATGTGAGGAGTGTACTGTGAGGAGTTCTGTTAGAATTATTAGTCTTAAACAGAATCCCCGAACTCAATTGTGCTTTTGGTGCTTCTATTTAGGGATGCTGCCAATGAATATTTTTGATTTTGAGGGGCTTCAGCTAGCTATGTGTATGACATGGCAGTCACGATTGAGGGTGTAGGGGTTTTGTACCCCCACAAAAGCAAGGGTTCTCGAACCAGTCGCTGCTGTTGTTGGTTAATCTAGCTAATCTACACTTTGTCTTGAACTCAACTCTAAGGCTATGCGTCTAGCAATTATGCAATCCCATTCTTCTCAACGAATTTCAACAGTAACAATCTGCACTACCCAGCCCCACACCCCTCCCTCACTTGAGAGAATAATTTTCAACGGCCCTGGACACTGGAAACACGAAAAAGTAGCTATGAAGGTACAAACTCTGCATTCTGTTAGCTCCATATCGCAAAAAAGGTTTCATTCCCACGTTAGTTTACATGTTCGACACTCGAATCTTAATACGGGATTCATACGGTATTCAATCAATCTCGAAAGCAATCACGTGTGGGCTTTTGATCAGGCGATGGAGAGATCAACTATTGCATCTGTATATGACTGGTAAAACAGTAACAGGTTCAACACCTATTCATTAGCAGCTTCATGAATCCTGCTGTAGCCATATAAAGAGCGGAAAACTGGTTGCCCAAAAATGGAGAAATAAAGAAAAATTTGCAAAGTTTCTGAGTAAGTTTTTTGTCTATATATGGTGTGTCTGGTTTATTGCATTTTTGGCTTTATTTTAGGTGTCTATGTAGCTTTATTTTAACAATATCTATATAAAGTTTGTGCTAGCAATTTTTTAATTTTTTGCGAATTGGCCTAGTCTTGAGGCCACTTCAAGCTTCAAGCTATGCTAAATATCGTTTTCTGAGACAGTGCTACAAATTAAATATTGTTCAATGTTTCATAAATTGTAAGGAGAATTGCTTTCCTTTATAGTATTTAAGTTGAGGATGCTCTGATAATGCAAGTATTGCTTCTCTGTTGGTCAAATATCGTGATGATTTAAAGTCTAGATTTATTCCTTTGCACAGCCGTTCTGAAGTGTTTAAAACCCGCCTCTATAATCACTAGGACATGTTTGTGATTTTCTACCAAAACACCAGCAGAAGTCAAGCTGGTAACTCTAGTTCTCGACACGACCATTCGAGCTGATTATATGATATAGTATCATTTTTACAATTATTCGGCTCTAGGATACAGGATTTATTTATAAAATGATGCACATTCACAGCAGAGCCTAAGAAATATTTTATGCAATTCATGCCAGAACTAGGATTTAAAATTTGCGGATTCTCTTCTAGTTTGAGTTTGGAGCGGTAACGAGTCTACTATGATGGAGAAATTTGCTTTGTTGGTGTTGCTCTCTACTACATTTACCACAGTCTGTAGCTACGTGCTTCGCCTAAACGTTCCCGAAGTCGTGGTTCATAGCAAAAGTCATAATTCTGAAAATGCCATGGCCAACATGAGAGATACTGTTGAAATGCCACGAAACTTTGAACAAGATACAATTTCAAGGCATCATGTTAAAGATGGGGCCATAAAGATGAAAAAAAACCAACGTAAGTTAGAGAAGAAGGGCTGGAGCTACGCGGCACATATTCTAAAGAACAAGAAAACCCCTGTGAAAGGTGATATCGAAAAGAAAGTTGGCCAGAAAGCAGTTTCGAACGGAGCTGGCTTACCTGTAAAACGGGATGCTTCAGCTGATCGGATTGCAAAAATAGTCTCGAAACCCATGACGTATTGGTTTACTATGGATGAGAATCAGAAGGAGGCTGGAAAACTACCGTTTTTTGAAAAGGAAGCACTAATAGATGATGATTCATTAAAATCTCATAATATCGAAAATTTAGATCAAGAAACTGAGATTCTTGCACGTAGTGAGATCAGCACACAAGGAGTACCAGATGGTATGCTGAACAGCAAAGGTTCTGTCAATGGGAAAACCCAGACCACCTCAGCCCGTAATTCTATCGCTGACAAAGGCAGTATTGTAGATGAGGAGAGTGATGTGAAGAAACAGCAGATTAAGAACAATACAGCAAGCCCTAAAGCTAGAAATCCTAGCGATAACGAGGTGGACGTTGGAAGCAGCCAAGGCACTGTCTCATCAGCGAGTTTTGACCAAGGAGAGGCTGATTCGACAAAGAGGGAAACGGATGCCCTTTCTTCGGGGTCTGACGATGCTCTCCCCTTGAAGGAAGAAGGCATCGATGATAATGAGACAGTTGATACTTATACTGGAGATACTGTAACATTAAACGACACTTTTGCCAACGGGCCTAGTAGTGCCGACACTGTGAAGGAAGACAATGGTACAAAGAGCAGCAATGCAGTAGATGTAGACAACAAAGTCAGTGATAGGGGAAACCTAATGCAGAGTGCGCTAATGGACAGTGAACAGGGAAAGGATAATCCTGCGAATGAATTGAAAGAAGAAATGGAAGAGGATGTCGACAAGGAGGAAGAAGAAAGTGGAATGCGAATGGAGCAAGGTATTGATGACAACGATTATGTAGACACGACAACTGGGGAAATAGTTGACTTAAACTCGGAAGAAAATGAAGTAAAAACTGACCAGAAAGGAGGTGATGCCCTAGACGATAGTGATGAAAATAAGGATATCAAGAAAATAAAAGGCTCGAAAGGTGACCAGAAATCAAATGGCAGTTCAATAGGCACCGGGGCGTTGGCAAAGCCCCTCCAAATAGCAAATTTTGCAGAAAATGCGACAAAAACAAACACAACTAACACTACGAGTACAGGAAGGCCAAAAAGTCTGTTAGAAGGAATTGATATCAGCGAATTTACTAATTCTATCAATCGTGACCAAATTTTGCATCAAACAGCGCACGTGCCAGCTATACACGTGAAAGATGAGTTTTCAACAGAAGATTCCCGCAAGTCACCAAGGGATGAATTTTCAGCAGACATGGGTGGTTTGGTTGTGGATGAAGAGCCTACCTTAAAGGCAGCTGTAGACCTGCCTACTGAAACCAAGTCACGTGACCAGACGGGAACGTCTGAAGGAAGAAAAGATGACAGCAAGGAGGGATTGCCTGATGAATTCAACCAAAAATCAGAAGTAAAAACCAATGACATTGCAAATGCAAATGAAAACGACACTGCAACAATCTCAGACTCTGAATCTGGCAATGGGAGTTTAGACAAAGAAAACTTTGATAATAAGGCTGGAGAAGAGTCTAACGTTTCTATTTTTCAGGGTATTGAGAAAGAGAAAAATAAACTGTTGAAGGAGGCACAAAGTGTTTTTAACACCGCTGATAAAGAAGAGCACAAGCTGGCTGAGTTAGAATTTAACAGCAATTTTTCGGATGCTACCGTTGGTGAGTTTAATAAATCAGGGAGAAATGGCGATGAGCCCTCTGCAACTGAGGAGGACAAGGGCAGTCAAAGTGAATCTGATTTAAAGGCAAGTGGACCTATGGAAAAAGACGAGTTTAATGACAATACAAGTACCGAAAACGATAGCCAAACATTGATATTTAGTGCCCCAAATAATGCAGAATACAATGAAACGAGTGACATATCAGAAAACATGAACAATACGTCTTTTGGAGAAACGAGAGGAGTCAAAGCTGGTGAAAATGGCGGAGATTCAGAGAGTCAGACCTGGACAAATGGGCCGGAATTCCATCCGAGTTCAGAAAATGGAGATGCTGGGCCTAGTAATGGAGAACAACAGACTGCAGATCTGACTGATCAGAAAGTGTCTGATAATGAAGGAGCAAAAAGAAATGATTCTGAAAGCAATGAGTTCGATTCAAACCGTGAGGCTCCTAAAACAGATGTTCAGGTCAATGCTACAGGAAAATCCCAGGGAGCCGGTCGAGATGAGTTTGGAGAGGCGAAGCAAGTTATGAATGACTTGTCGAAGAAAATAACCAAGGAATTCGAGGATTCAAAAGACACGGTTTTCAAACCTGTGAATGACAGATCAGAATTATCAATTCTTCAATCAAAGCTGGATACGGCTAAGAAACTCTATGCCGATGATCCGGTGAACTAGATTAACATTATTCATAGCTTTCCAATCACCAGGCCTCTCACTGGACAAAGCTCAAATTCCCTACACAAATGGTGTAATAAATTTGCATAATATTCAACTTTCCAAAAGCCACTTCTCCTTACCCAAAGTAAAACAACTCCAAGCCAATGACGCCATATAATAGTTAAGCATAATCTATGACCGTCTGAACAACAGGTTTCCTGGAGTAGCCTGGCTTTTCATAGGGTAACCTGATTTTGGGGAATGTTTTTTTTCCATATGCAAAGGCTCCCTTCCAATGATGCGACTGTTATTCGACAAGGATCGAATTCTTAACACAAAACATCGACAAAATGGTGAAAACTTTTCAGTTTTACGAGAGTGGTAGAAAGCTTTTGTTCTTCCCTTTTCAACTCTCTCTTTTATCCCGAGGATGTTTCCAGCAACAAAGAAAGTGCCAACAAAGGTTCTATGCTAACGTAGGCCTTGAGCTAAACCTTCTGATGCTTGAAATAACTTGAAATAGCTTCTGCTAAGCATAGGTCCATTTTTTGACCTCATTTTGCTTTCTTCTGTTCGAAGTTATCAATCATATAATTTAATTAATTTTTATTTATATAACTTTATAATATCTAAATTTAGTATTAACTTTTGAGTAGTGTGGATTTATGTTTTTTTAAAAAGTACACCCATCTTTTTAATGTATGACCAGAATTTGTCCTTTTGTCAATTAAAGATCGCTTGTAATATTTATTACTTTTTGGCTACTTATTATACTATTAATAAGGAGATTACAATGTCTCAATTTTTGTTTGTAATGTCAATTAAAGATTTGGTAACTTTAATGAAATTATCTGTACATAGCTAGCTGTAAAGATATCAGATGGATAAAGATATACATTTTATGACGTCTGCTTTTATTTCTGTCGTTCACTTAGGGCTAACTACAAGAAAGGTGTTCATTTGGTAGTTTACTACCTAAGATAGAAAGTCAAGATCTCACAAGAATTTTAGGAAACATCAGATGAATATAGATATGCATTTTATGTCATCTGTTTTAAACTCTCTCCTTTTCTTAGGGCTTAATGCAAAAAAGGTGTTCTTGACATTTAATTATCTAAAATCGAAAGTCAAGATCTCATGGGCGTGTTAGAAAAAATCTCAGACAAGAAAAAGTTTTTGCAGGCACCATAATTTTAGAACAATAGGTGTAAAAGTAATTGTTCATTGGAAGCAAGGGTTTTATAATTTTTTGAGGTGCCCAGTCCCCTATCCACTCCTCCCAGGAACAAAAGTAGTTACGGCTCTGTTGCAAGGATCCAATTTTTAGTTTTGCAATTCTCAGCTTTTCTTGCTATAACTTTGTCATTTTCAAGTGGAATATAAATGGCGATATATTTCAAGCTTTAAAGATCTTAATCTCATATTTCTGGTCAACTTTGAGAATGATTCTATTTTCTATTGTTTCTGTTACAGGCACCGCGGAGCAGGGGGCTGGGAGGGGCTTTAGCCCCCTCAATTTTTGCAAAAAATGCCAAATATTAAGTAATAAACTACCAGTAAAGCCTCTTTATGTACAGTTTAGCCCCCCCCCCCCCACTTTTTTTAGACCCCCCATTTTTCTCAACGCTCCGCGGTGCCTGTGTTAGCATTTGTTTATTGTATAGGTCCAACATCAGGGGAAAACTTTTTGAGTATACTGAAAACATAGTTCATTTGATTTGTCCAGTGATTTGTAGTCAAATTGATTAAAAAGAAAATGTATCGATAAAAATAAGGGTATGACTGATTAAGAACATGATAGCAGATCCCAGTGCAACTGGAAGTATTGCTCACCATTTGGGCAAAAGTCTTTTCTGGTTAATTGTTATTGAGGCTAACTTTTGTCGAATTCGGTTATCGACGCATCTGTGTAGCCTGCACTTTGCTATACGTTTTGTAAGAAATCAATCTATGTTTCGTATCGCGATTCTGTCAGGTAAAGGATCCAAGAGGAAGCAGTTGGAGTGAGAAATCGAGATTTATTTTATTACTGTATATTATGGTATATTTCTTTTACTTATCTCAAGTTATACCCTGGGGGCCAAAACTGGGTCTTAACAGCCCTTCAGCAAGGAAATTGCTACTTTTTTGCCAAAAGCACTGCTATTCCACACTCTATCCATCTGCAAATTACACTAGAACATTGCGAACCTAGCCTGTTGGCGAAATTAAATGTCAATTTGAGTGGGCTATATTTTACTTTGCATGATGGTATATCTAACCGGTTGACTTGGCTACGTACACTAGTTGCTGGATGCTAGAATCATGATCTCGTTGCCAACTTGAGGGCAAAGGGGTGGTCTAATTGGAGTAATATAGAAACATGGCCAGATTGGATATCGATATTTGATAGTTTGTTTGGTATTATGATTTTTCAACTTGACGCCAATACAGTCACTGTTGTATTCTGTTTGTGTTTGTACTAAAATCTTTTCTAAGTCGAAGGGCAAATCCGACATTTTTAAAGCGATTGGCATCAACTGTTAACTTCCCATAATGACCCTGAAGTCGTTCTTACTATTTCATCCTCTGAAATTCTGAAAACAGGATAATTACAACAAAGACCAGGTTACTGGGAGAGTGGAGAAGGCTAGATAGTGAGAATAATAATCTGCAGTATGCATTTAAAGATTGCTTCAAAGGTTGATTATTTTTTCAGTGTATCCTGCCAGCACTGCAGCAACGAATGATGCCTCGACTGCAAGGAGTGACTATGTGACAGAGAAAACCCAGCAACTCTTTTCTGAAGAACCCACAATAAAGCAAAGCAAGGAATTAGCAATAAAAGATGTACCCAAAGCAACGATGAAGCTCGAAAGAGATCTTAATCTGAACGCTGAAGGTACCTCTCTCCATTATGAGAACTTTTCAATTTCAATTTATCTAGCTCTCGCTTCTGGCATGAAACCGTTTAACCTTGTTTCTATTTGAGCGTCAATGGGGGTGCGGAGAGGAAGTGGTACAAGAGCCTGCGGAGGCCAGTCTTCTATCTCGTCTTCCTTTCCTCTTCCACATTATTTCAGAAATACCTCTTTTTGTATACGGCTTTGTGACCCTCTAGAACCAATAATACATTATACTAAGTCATAATCCCTTGTATAGTGCCATCGTGCATTGCATAAACTTGTCCAACCGAATTTTTAATGAACCTCCAATCCCACAGCTTATTGAAAATTCTTGTCACATGCTCAACGTATCAAATGTCCTCTTCTTCCAGGAAAAAATTTTCTTGTGACTTTGGAGATTCTTGGTGAAAAGTTTGATGAATCTCTCCTGTCGGTTGAGAGCAGACGATTCCAAAATTTGCGTGAGAGCTTTCAAAATTCGGTAAGTTAAGGAATGCTTCAATAATTTTTTGCGATGAAAAGTACCCCTTTTACAAGACAGCAAAAGGGATTGGCTGCTGAATCCTTTCGTTCTTTAACAACGTTCTTTCAAACAACAAGTTTTAAGCATGATGATCCACTTTTACATATTATGTAAAGTAAAGTTGTGTTGCGTATTTTTGGTAGCGGATGATCGCATCAAGTGTGAAACTCGGATTTGCAACAAAGCACTATCATTTTCATTCACCTAAGCATGTACAGCTCTGCCCATGTGGCATTGAGCAATGTTTGACACACCTGTAAACAGTAATTTTGATTTGTATATATTTCTGTATTGATTTCAGCTATTGAAGCTTTACAGTAATGACGATTCCTATGTCTCCACGAGGATTCATGGTTTCAGGCGAGGTCCCACGTACGTCTCAAGATTTCACACATTTTATATGCAATTCTTAAGAGGAGTTATATTACTGCCAACATGAAGCACTTTTCGTCTGAATCTACTTCTTGTAAGCCTTGGAATCTTAGGGCCCGCCATCTCCAAGGTGATTGGCATCTATGATAATGATAATGATCGCAAATCTATTCTATACCACACAAGTGCATGAATAGCTTGTGTGATTGGTCAGTTTTTACCAATAGGTGCTAGCTGACTCTTCTCTGGACCAATCTGCATTGTGTAGGGTAGAGCAAGGGTTTTTTAAACGATTTCTGTCTCTTGCATGCTTTTTTTCAAGATACGCCACTTATATTATTGAGTCAATTTTGTTGCAAAATTGGCCCCTTTACACATTTTTCTCTCTTTATTCCTCCTCGCTTTTCCCGCTTTTCCCTCTCTTTGTCCCTTCTCCTGTTTTAAATATTTTAGCAAAGTGAGCCTCCGCGTTCTTGTATGCTCACAGTGCATACATTACTCTTTAGTTTTAACTATGCATTTGTTAAAAAGCAGCTTTTAATTTCAAGGCATGTAGCTAGAAGTAAGGAATATGTTTATCTAATGGCCATAAATTCCTTTCCTGGCTCTTCACTCTTAACTTGTTTTCTATTTCTGTAGCTCAGCATCAGTGACTAAAACTGCAGATTCAAGAATATTTGGGTTATGTGGTGGAAATTCAAATATTCTAGAAGTATATTTTTTATGACGTCACACTTAAGAACTCCACTACGTTATGGAAGAAGTGCTCATCTTTGGATGTTTTTCTTACTTTTAGTATAGGTGCATTCTATGTCGACGTGGTTATGAAATTTTCAACCATTAGTCAGTCACACTTATTGTTGCTTGCTGAAAAGCTGAAATCAAGAGCATTTGGCAACGTAGCTGTTGGGGAATCAATAATCAAGATTGGTAAGCGCGCAGTTTTTGATTGATCGACTGATCGATTGATAATTTGATCAAGTATCAGTGATTTTTTTACGAATTAGTAGATCAAATAAATTGTACTGATGTCAAAATGGTCATAATGGGTAACGCATTGTTTTGCATGTCAAACCTGTTGAAACAAGTTATCTTCAAAGCCTATGTTGCTATTTCTTTCTTACAGTTCGCCTGAACGATGACCTTAAAGAAATTACATGGTGCAAACCTCCGTGCTATCGCCCTTACAAATGCTTTCCACAGTGCTCGCGAGACTGCTGTGTCAAGCCCGTTCTGTCGATTATCAACGGTCAAAGTCAGCCAAGATATAAAGCATCATTTAAGAACACTGGCATGGGATCGATGAATCAGCTTCCCAACCAACCCTTACTTTCATACAGAAACGCTGGTCTAATACCATGTTGGCCTGGGTGCTCGACGATGTGCTACCCCCAATGTACATTTCTGTGCTGTATGACCTTCCGCGGCTAAAGGTGAAAAAGCAAACATAACGATTGTTCGAAATTCTCTTCTGCAGCTAAGATGTTCCCTTACAGTACATATTTCATACAGTACCGATTTATAACAGATGTTTAGAGAGTTCTATTTTACTAAGGGCGTGGTATCTAGAAATTTGCTGTGCCCCAAAACAATATCCAAGAATATAATCTCTAGGTCACTGTATACCCTCTCCTTCTGTAAACTCCTTGCACTAGAGAACGCATTTACAAATGAAGTCCCAATAGACGTGAAATTTTCATCGATTTGATGCATCTTAGGAGCGATGCATGTTCCTTAGAGGAAACTTGCGTGTATTGTAAGAATCTCTGGAGAGTTTCAGGGGAATGCGTAATCTATTTGTTTTCGCTTCCTTGAGAATACATCTTTCTTTAACGTTGGGGCTGTCAGTCTTTAGAGAATAAATGTATTGCTTGACGTATTTACTCAATGAGGTATTTGTAACTGGAGAGAGCTGTTCCAAGAACGTGGTCTTTATGGTGCAGACATTTATTAATATACGCAAGATACCATAAGCTGTAAGTAGTTTATTGTTATGGTGTCCTAAATTAGTTGACTGAGACTAAGCATTGTAAAAATTTGTATACATTTAGTGTGAATAATTCTCATGAAGCTAATTTATGGTATCCAATGTCATTTAGTAGTGAAATTCAAGTAGCGTGCGAGTGGCAAATATGATTTGCTGTGTTTTATTGTAACTAATATCTTGTTAAATTTTATTTGAGATTATGTTTTGATCAAATTATATCTTCTCTTGGGAAGTATGCATGCTTGCAATAGTTTCATGATAGCACGCCGAATTTTCATGAAAAAATCCAAGGTAATCCTGTTTTTCACACTGTAATCGGTGTGGACACAATACTATTCTGAATATCAATTCAAGCGTTCATATTGTAGATGGTTGATATACTTATTATTGGCATTGATCTTATTTGTTACAATATTCATTTAAATTCAAACACGTGTATATGAACTTGCAAATTGAGTCCCTATGGCCAAAAAGTCATCTTCACAAACAGTAAGACTACAAAGAAAAAGAGACAACTTGTAAAAATGCAAATATAACACATCATTTTGACAAAATAGAGCTTTTTCAGATAAAATGTACAAAATGTTAATAGCAAAGATAATACTTTTGGTAAATTACCAAAGGAAGAAGCAACGGTTTTAGTAAAACCTAGTTCTCAAGGAATTTCTGCTGGCAGTGACGCAACACAAGAATAAGGGAACGAGTAAAATCTATTTGCTATAACTTGAAGGGCTGCAAATAAATAGCAAGTAATTTTAAACGTGTATAAGAGAACAGGACGTGAAACGTGTAAGCAGATGCATTTCAAATATATAAATTATTAAAAAAATTTACAAGAGGGGTATAGTTGGCCAACTTCTGAGGAAATCTTAGGGCCTAGTGGGAATGTTTCCCTCCCTAAAATTTTCTTCAACCGATTTTCAAACAGGATGGGTTTAGCTGACCAGTCCACAACTTCATAATGATACTGCACTTGAACATTCCCTTTTGAACAATCTAAGGCCTAAGCGGGCGTCTTTTGTTACTCGTAAAGTCGTAAATATCATACATTGATGCAAAGAAACTACAAAGTGGCTATGCCGAAAATACAATCGCTATGGTACATTGAAATAATTCTTATCGTCGTTTTCCTATCACTTTTTTTTACTTTAATATGAAAAAATATCTTCTTATCTATAATTTCTACATACAGCATTATATCTTGAAGTTAGCATCAATATTTAGTTTTTTTTTTCTTCTACAAAAAGTTGCTTCACGATTTATCCAAAGATGGTCCTCACTGGGTCAAAATAGATTTTTCTTTTTCAATTTACATTACCTCTTCTAATTGCCAGAAAGTGCCTCACCGTTGAATGTAAATTGTCCAAATTTGTTCTTGAAACAAAATGCTCAATGCACTTTTATACTGGTATATAAATGTTTTCTCTTGAATGTTTTACATGAATACAAAATTGTTTGATAGCCGTTTAAAAATATCAACAACTTAGTTGAATGGACCAAAGATAGGTTGAGAATCATGAGCGAATCCATCAAATGGACACTCCCATGAAAATCCATCAGTGTTAACCGTAGTAATTGTTGTTATATTGGTAAGTTGGGATGTTGTTCTTTGTAAACTGTTGGCCTACTTGCTGCCTTTGACGGTTATAGATAGGGCCTGATTGCCATGGAGATGAAATAGCCGCTCGCCGAGCTGCCTCTTGTTGTTGTTGTTGATGTTGCAGCCTTTGATTAGCGTACATTCTTTGCTTCCATATCTTTGAACGGTAGTTCCAGGCAGCCTTAGCCTCTTCGTATGCAGCCAAGCTTGGAGCGGGTGCGTTCATTGCAATTGATGAAGCTAAATTGGCAGAATTCCATGGATTCTGAGATCTGGCCTGGGCATTTTGCACGACGTTTCCTTGAGTATTCGAGTCACCCGGCCTGTCCGGAGAATATTGGGTAGCACTTTTTTGGCAACAGTCGAGAGAACATGCTGGTAAACAATTCTGAGAGCATGGTGCTGGGCATGCAAATCCTTTTGGTATCTGTGCCGCTGGGAGAGCGGGGAGAGGTGCTTGTTGCTGTGGGGCTTTTGGCTTCAATAATTCTTCTGGTATTGGGTTGCAGCAACTTAACAGACAAAGTGGTGCACATTTTGCACTACAAGGTATGGGACACATTGGGAACGATTCCTGCTTTTGGGAAATACCAGAAAATGTTTGTGACGCTGGCAGTGGCTCGACTGTTTGCTGGGCTTGTTGCTGCGCCTTCAAAGTATCCGGCTGCATTGAGTACAGCTGCTTTGGAGGGGCCTGTGCAAGTGGTGGGGCGACCCGTGTGTCTTGGAGGCTTGATGGTTGCATGTATGATGGCTGGCTTTGAGTCTGAGTTGATGCATCTTGCTGAGAAGGGAATTGAGAGGGTGCAGCCTGAGCTGGTGGCGGTGGTGGTGGCGGTGGAGGTGGAGGTGGCGGGGGCGGGGGTGGTGGTGGTGGTGGTGGTGGAGGTGGATTGCAACAACTTTCTTTGCACAGTGGCCAGCAAGACTTACTGCAATTTTTTGGACATTCCTCTACTATTTTAGGATGCTGAGTACACTTGTATGTTACTCTCAAAAATTTTCTTATACCTGGACAAATTTCTTTCCCGTCATGTCCCAAAAAGTCAATATTTACAGGGATCTTGCATTTATTCTCTCCGTGACACAGATCCAAAACTTTCTTGGCTACATCGTTGGCTGGCTCTTCGCAGAGTGCCTTTGTGTCAAGAACTGGATTAGGACAAGTGACAGAATCGTCCCGGCCATAAAACGTTTTCACTATCTCCATGTGCGTGAATCTGTTTGCGCATTTTATAGTGATCTTTTCCTCTTCGCAACCAAGAGCAATTTGCTAAGAATTAGAAAGACATGTTTAACTCCAAAATTTCAAGTAAATTGTTATGCAATCCATGGTATAGCGGATGTGTATATCTGACTAAACAGATTTGAATTTTTCACCCTATTGCATTCACTTTCGGTGATAAACCTTATATTTTTCATTCCATAACAGTTAAATTTAGAAAATGACTTATTGACAAGATCCATTATCAAGGGCCGAGATAGCGCGGAGCTAAGGGGCTTGGGTTTCCCTCCTCCAAAGAACTTTTGAATATACACTTATTTTCAAAAGCTAATTTTATAGCCATTATTATTTATGATTATACAGAATATAATTTAAGTGCATCCTTATATCATGAAGCTTTCTTTATATTTTGGAGTGCTTTTTCATGGCAAAATGGCAAACGACAATGGTTTTGTTTTTATTTGCTGGTGTCCAAGTAGCAGTAACAGAAAAAATACCCATTATGAATTTGAAGTGAATTCTTTTATCCGAGGGCACCACGTTTATCATTCTGTTTGGCAGCCCAAGATTGGAGAGGATATCCTAAATTGAGGAAACTCGGCGAACTCCGATTTGAGTTCTTCATTGCCTCCTCTTCGCATCGAGGTCGCTGTGCATGCCTGCTCATTACGTTCTGACTCTGAGCTGTGCATGCACAGCAAGCCTCGATACGGAGAGAAGGCGATGAAGAATTGAAAGTCATGACGAAACCAAACAACATAGCGGACAAATACGCAGTGCAATGGCGTGCTGGAGATGAGATCGCAGGGGGGCAAAGGGTCAAAATAGCACCCCATATATCTTCCAATTTTCCTTCAAAGCATTGGAAATGTGCAGAAAAGTACAAAAGTTAGGAATCACGCAGATCTAAAGAGGACCTTCTAGGGATGGTCGGAAAATGCATCCAAATATTTACGACATCGCTATAGACTCATGGAAAATCCTGGACAATACCTATAAGCTTTCTTCAAAATATGGCCCCTAGGCCGTTGCTAGGCAGGCCTTGTTTTGATTTTCTCCGCAACACATCCTTCGCAGTACATTGTGTCGATTCACAACATCTATTTACATATTATCCTCAGACTTTCCAACCTTTTAGATCTATACATCGGAATAATCCCAGGATATTACTACACTGTCCGAGGCGGCACCATGGTTGCCGCCGAAGATGAAAGGCTTTCGAATTTTAATGCTTCCAGTTTGCTAGAAAATGCACTTTTTTAAGCACTTTTTCAGTAACGCAAGCTTTCTTTTCAATAAATTTCCAAGGGGCTGAAAGCTACTTGATGGTTTTAATCGATTTTCCGGTGTCGTTGTCAAATGTTTGAGCTTGTGCAACACAATTTTCTTCAAATTGGGACATAATCTATCAGCTTTTTCTTCCTATCATTTCTAATCTTTTCAGTAAATCAACACTCTTTGCACCCTCGCAATATTTTTATGAAATGGCGCCTAATCTGAACTTTTACCGCCAAGCCAACAATTTTTGCCGGGCTCCTCAAAAACACACCGCACCCTACCTCAGTACACCCATGGTATCTACTTTGTGCAAAAATCATTTAGATTTAGCGTGAGAGCTTGAGATGGTGTTTGACGATCGTAGCTCAGTTCATCAAAGTTAGTAAGAAAAAGGAAGTGGTTTTGCAAGATGATTTTTGTTCTCTTTCAAGCGCTTTGTCGTGGATTGTTTACAATGTCCGCCTTTAGTATTGTTGTGTTCTTTTGTGTAAATTTCCCTAGTTATAACGTGAAGATTCATTTTGGCGCCCCTGATATTTCATGCCCCCTTGACCCCCCCCTTGCCCCCCCCTTGCCAGCACGCCACTGATGCAGTGTGTTTACAATAAAACGAAACTATTGTAGGTCATCTACCAAAAGGAAAGACATACAGATTTGCAAAGACAATCTTCTTTCTCAGGACAGATGGATTTTGCTCCTGCGTGGCTGTGGTGTATGACAATCGTGTAAACTTTGGAGATGGCAAAGGGGCGCAAGTCCTTTTGCAAGTTGATCATTTTCGGACAACTTATGTCAATTTTGAAAAAAATGAGCAATCATTGTGATGATTATTAACAGCGGAAAATTTTTGTCACTTTCTCTTCGAGATAACTTGGTTTTTTTCTTTCAAGGATATAAAACTTAGTTTGAGATAGCGAACTGTTCGAGAAGGGCGAGTTTGAGATAATGAGTTTTATTCCATGCGAAGCCCTATAGGAAAACGAGAGAAAATTGGAATCTGTTTGAGGCAACCGAGTTCAAATTTTGACTGTATCTTTACGCCTGAAATTTTCATCAACTCCTACTTGACCTCATGCAAAACAACTTGCAACATCTTCTCTCCAATTGACTTGGGTGTTGCTTTTCTCAGTTTTGCTGTTTTTATCTTTTTTGCTGTTGTCATAATACATGAAGCAAATGAAAAGCTGCTGCATAAGCACGCTGCCACAATACCTACCTCGTTGTTTTTTATCAACTCTGCTCTTTCAAAATCAGTTGATTTCTTTGCAAACCAATTTGCGATGACAGAGTTCTGTGGGTGAGCTTGGATCACATTTATCAGCAATGCTGAAACAACCAGAGTTAATTGTAGCATCCTTTGTTTTTTCTTGAAGTGCATCTGCATCAGCCAATGCTCATTTCAAACCTGCAATTAACAATTTTTAAAACGAAAAGCTTTTATTATGCTGTAATTTGTTTCCTTTTTTCAAAGCCCTTCCAAAAAATCTACTTTGTGATTAGTTCTTAAAGACTAGAAATTTGCTCATTTCGTTTTGACTCTCTACAAATTTTATGATGTAGTTACCTTAACTTATAAGCAGTTGGCTACGAAATTTGTGTTTCGATCTACACAAGAACTTTAGCAAGCACAATTTGCAACTATATCGAAAGAATGGTCGAAAATTTCCTTGTTTGTAAATGCAAGTTGATCGTCCACTCGCGATAGCATATAATTTTACGATTTTGCTTTTTGCAGTGCCTTTAAGAATCCTTTTTAAAAATTTGTGCTTGAAACTTGAGTATAATCTTAATTAAAATTAGTATTTTACGGACTACCGTCAATGTTCCTTTGCCTAATCACTATCAATTTAATGGGGCCAAAACCGGCTGAAAATTTACCATCAAATCATCCTTGGATTAGCTTTTTATTTAGTCCTGGATTCTAAAAGGAAGTATTTGGACCATTAGTAAAGATAAAGACTGTAAAAGAAAGGGGTGAATTTGTGTTTCGTTTTTCTTTGTGATGAGTTACAATTTTCTATGGAACCATAGCCTGCTAAATCTAGGGTCAGTGATATTCATTGAGCTAATAAAGATTACCTACTACTGCGGTTTACAAAATTAAGCTATCTTTAACGATTTAACAATATCATTTTATTAGCTGAATAAAAACTCAAACATTTTTAAGGCAAGTATAAACATAATTATAATTATATGTTTCGGAGATTTAGCAAATCATCTCGGTTCTTCTAGATTTGCGTCTTTTTGCCTCAACCAACACTCACTGAAACCATGCTGGTTTTGTGAACACCTTCCAAGCGTCTAGGCAGGTAAACATCTAGGATTCGTATCTAAGAAAGCTCCTTTAGAAAGTTATAACAATTACAACACTTACCTTAATCCATATGTTTAAAATCCTGAAAATTTAAGCAGCCATTTTAGTCGATTTTGATTTTCTCGGCTTAGGAAAGCGTTGACCTTTCATCCGGCAATGATCTCATCGTAACCTCTCAATACAACAAGCATGCACATACATAGGTGATAAATTATTCATGGACTCGGCCAATTCTACAAGTTAGGCCGCAATACAATCGAAAACCTTTACCTCGTATTATACCAACTTAATTGCCGTATATATGCACTTGTATATATATATGCACTTGTATATAAGCTTGCTTGTAGTAAGCTGGTGTTGTGTTAACGGGTATCGTTGTAGTGCCAAATTTATATTAATGTAGGAGTGTGAGATGAGCAGAAATTTTGTTCATAACGTTCATCTGCAATGCATTTGATAAGGTACTTGCGATCAAAAAAGTTTACGCAAAGAGTTAAAGGCAACGGACCGTTGATCTTTGGTAACTGAATTGATTTTTGCTTAGTTTTTGGTGTGGCTTTCTCTAAGTACAAAGTTATAAAATCCTTTCAAAACAATAAGCAGGTTTCAGCTTCTTCACTTTAACATTTGTAACATACCAATAAACATTTCACAATTCAATGATTACAAGACATTACAAGAACACTAGAACATTAGAAAATGCATATAAAAAGGGAAACATCTTCAGAAAAAGCTTTCTCAATTGATAAAATATTTGAGGAAGGACGTCACATGGGACTTTAAAAACGTCATTTTAATTTTTCCAGGAATACAATAAAATCAGGTGAAATGGTAGGTGAAATTCAAGTCTAACCCAAACCACTTGATTTGAGGGATTAGCCAAAGTGGGGAAACCATTATCTTGCATTTTGTGAATTCAAAGGCTTGTATCTAAGGCAAAAGGCTAAGGCAGGCAATGATCGTTTTTACCAAGGCAGATTGTGAGCGAGTGACACTACCTAACCAGGACAGGAGTCCGCGATCTCCAGATATTTTCTCTCGGCGTATGTTTTCAAACTTCTGTTCTCCTATCATTTATATGACTGCCTTAAGCAAGCGAGACAAGCAAGACTTTAACGCAAAGATTTGAAGACAATTCTTCAAACTTGTATTGTGTCAGCGTGTTTCATTTCCTAATGTGCTTTTGTCATGGTGAAAGACAATAGAACAAATTTAAACTTTCTTCTAATATTCTAAAGCTTGGTTTAAGAATGGTTATTGACTCAGAACCACGCTCAGAATCACCCACGGTATCACAGATTTTTAATAATATTGAAGCTCAGCAAAAGATAAAAGTATTATTGTATTAAAAAGTGTCACCATATCAATTTTTACTGTAATTAAATTTAATTTCAGTGATAAGTTTTGTGTGGAAGTTCGGACATTTTTCGTTTGAGGGAAATTGAATCGAGGTAAACCGTTGTTGTTGCGGTTGTTCTTGTGTCACGATTGTGAAATATAGGCCGCAAACATGCACAGCCATTCCAAACTCACATGTGTTGCTTCGATCATTTATCGTGCCTAAAAACGTTCCCTATGATGAAATAACGAACAGGCTAGGAAAATCGTAATAAAATGAAGCAAGAGAAGGAAGGTGAAAATAACTATGAATCTTTTCATGAAGATTTCAACTCGGCATTCTTGCATGAAGCAATTATGGAAAAACAAGTTGGAGAAGTCAATCGTTACAATGAAGTGCTGAAAATCGTAACCAGTGGAAGGGTTTTTGAGCACAACTTTGAAGGCTGTATCGAAGCGTTTCGATCATGTGTTAGCTTCCTAAATAGGGAACATGAAATTTTAGTTGGTGCAGTGTTGAAAGTCGACTGGGTTTCAAAAAAGCCACAAGTTGTTGAAGCATACATCAATTTTCTCACCGAGTTAGTATCAGCGCAGACTTTCTATCTACGAGGATGCCTGAAAATGCTGCTTCAAAAGTTTTTGCCCACTGTTAACTTAACGGCAAATTTAGATGAAATAAAGCTGAGTGATTTTGATTATGAAATGGATAATGTTCATAGAGCCATATTTGCTTTGGTGAGCATTGTACCCACTGCGCCACGACATCTTTTGAATAAACTGGGCGATTTATTTCCTTATACCGGCAAGCATCAAGTGTTTCTTCAATTTTATATAAAAAACTTGTTTCGTATCACACAATACATGCCAACAGTGCAAGAAAATGTACTGGAAATTGTAATAGACAATCTGCTAAAACTTGACTGTCAGATATGTCAACAGGAGATTGAAGAAGAGGAGGACGATGATTCCGATTATGAAGATTATGATGAAACACAGTTTGATGTCGAAATAGAAGGTGACATTAAATCTCATAAAAAAGAGAAAAATAAGAAGGATGATGAGATGAAAAATAGTACTGCCAGGAAACTGGACAACTTGATGCTAACATTTTTTGACCATGTACATCAGACATGTTTCCCTGGTGAAATTATTGACTGGGGAAAAACAGAAGCATTGTTTTCAGATCTGCTGCATGCATTTGAGATGGTTCTTCTTCCCACACATGCAAGTGCTTATGTGCAGTTTATTATATTCTATGTATGCAGCTTTGATCAGGTATTGAAATTTTACAAATTGCAATTATTACCTTGGTGCTAATCTAGTAGAATATAATCATTGTTTCTATCCTGGACCAGATCTTCAGGTTTGCACCTAATTATATATATAAAAGGGAAAGGAGCCTGAATTATATTTCAAACATTAATTTGATGAAAGAGATTTGATCTTTAACACAGGAATTAAACTTCATGTAACTAAATATTAACTTTAACCCTACACTTATATATAGGGAGAGTATTTATTGTGATAAATTCTTCTGCATTAGGCATTGAAAATGCTTTTTGAATACAACTAGAGTTATGGTTTGTCTCAACTTTTCAGCTCTGAACTTTTAATTCTTCTTCATAGGATGCAGCCTAAAGGCTGTTTACTAAGTGTTTGCATGCATTTCAGTTGCTCTTGATTGCTTCCATTCAGTCGCTCTAGATGTTCAAAAGTATATAATGCACATTTTTAAAAATGATGAAATGACTATTCAAAATTTTTCATAACTCTTTTGGTCTGCCAACCAACCCATTTGTTCACTGGTTACTATGACAACAAGATTTTATTTCTTTTGTTGAAACTTCTTTGCCTCATATTGCTTGTGTCCAAAGGGGGAGAGGGCTCAGGTTATATGCATTCAGTGTCCTACAGTTAAGTTAGAAAATGCATGTACATATATTTTTTGTTTTGAAAGAATTCCTCAATTGGCATATCACAGTGTTTCTAGCATCTTTCATGTGACTTTATAGAGTAAAAATTATATTTCTTGTCAATAAGAAAATGGTGACTGCTTTTGTTAGGCAATAGGAAGTTCAATCAATCATTTATGTACTAATAAAGAATAATTTTTTTACCAAATATTCAACATTAATTTCCCTTTGTAGGGTTAGGAGTTTGTTGGCCTGTCTTTACTTCTTTTGATTTAGGTCATTTTCATTGTTCAGGCCTCTTTGCTTGATGGCATTTGTCATTCTTTCTTTCCACAATGTATACAGGCTGGGAGAGTTGCAACCCCCTCCTCCTAATCAGGCAAAATTTATCACACTGGCTCCATTTGAGCAGTTCTCCCTCAATGTAGTAATGATATCCATATTAAGCCCCACATAGCATTAAGCATCCAGTATGCCCATGTACATTGCTATACTTCTCAGTAGCTTCTTTTCTAGCTCTATTTTTTCAGTCCTCAGACAAAGCAATTACAGAGCTAGTCATTGAATACTCTTTATTTCTATTTTCTATCTGTTTCCAACCTCACAATATATATTTTTTCTCTTTGATCATATGTCTGCACTATAAGTCAGAGCCAGAAGTCTACTTTTTTAAGTAGATATTGCTTTTTGTTTGTATTAATGTCATTCCTGTGCCAGAGGACTATAGTGCTCCTGAAACTTCAATCTAGTTTTGCCCTCATTGCAACCTTTCTGTCCCATCTACCATATCTCCATTGTAGCAAAAGGTCATAATCTAGTTTTGCTACAAGTGAGGAGGTTGGTCATAATATTCAACTTGAATGGTTGAAAAAGAGCTAAGAAAGTTTTATTTGACAACGCTTTAATATTGTCCTAAGAAAGGACCTTGCTAATCGTTTCCTATTGATGGATGGAATATACAGTTGAATCCCGATATGATCAATATATTTCATTTCCATGTAAAATGTCTGGTCCCTTGGATTCTACTAAAAACCTCCTAAAAACTCATGATATAAGGAATTCTCATTATTTTGAAACAGGTTTTAGGCCCCTTCATTCATCCTAATGAAGGTCATCATAAAACAAACTTTTTCTAGATTTTTCATCTGCTTAATTAATCATTTATTTATTCCCAGTGTTTATTTCTCACTTTTTATCGGGTAAATCATTGTCATCAACAAAACATACATCAGCAAACATGCACTTTTTATGATGCAGAAAATGAAGATGACATACATGCAAAAGCTTACAATTTTCAAGGCTCTTTGACACTTCAGTAAACATGTCAAAAACATGGAAGACTATAAAAAACTTTTTTCCCTCAAATTTTTGAGGAACATAAAATGTTGTGAACAAGATTTTAATTTTTAATCAGCAACCATCTATAATATTTGAATTCAGCTTGGTCTTTTTTGAGAAAAATTTGCACAGAAGTTGCGGATTGCCTAAGGGAAGGGTTTTGGAGGTGTGCAGTGAAAAAAGACCTAAAAAGAATTCTCTGGGTTTACTGAACTTGCAATATAACAAACTTTTGTCTGGTTCCCTTTGAAGTTCGTTATCAGAATTCCACTGTATGTTTATTTGATTTTGATACCTCAATGGAACACCTCTTTATTTTCAACTTGTTATTCTCACATTAATGTTCCCATATTTATGTTAAGATGCAACAAATTACCCTATCTCTTAAATACTCTCTAATTGGAAAGGGATGTTCATTAGAAAAAAATAGATCATAGAAAGAACTCACTAGGAAACTTTCAATTATAAAGTTTCGGATATCTTTAGATTAAGCAACCATGTTTATTCATTGCAAAGTAGTGCAGAAGCAAATCATTATGCATTCTGAATTCGTGAATTTTGTGATCAGCCTGCAGCACATAAGGAGCTGTAATTTTAGCTATTGGGCCTAGTAACTTTGTATGTGACGGTGGCAAAACGTTCAGTAATATAACCATACTGAACTTAAAAAATGCTCATCAGTTGAATATGTTGTCATTTATCATCTACTGCATTGCTACGGAAGTAGTAAGGCAGATTTTAAAGGCAGTCTGTCCTTTCAATGATTGGCTAATATGAACAATAGGTCTCCTCACCTTAACAGATTTGGCTGGCCTAGCTGCGGTAGTGGACGACATTTGAAACTGTGAGCAAAAAGCTATTGGGAATGGCAATAAGATTTAATTACTGGAATTGATTGGTGATAATGGAAGCATTTCCTTTTGCTGTTGATATATCTGTCGCAAAATCTAAACAGGGAACAAAATTTTTCTAGCCATAGCTTTATTTCAATGAGAACACAGCCATTTAATTCAAAAGCTCTGGAATCCATGTTGTCTCTGATTGGTTTAAATTGTTTAATTATCGATCAAGCTCAACAGTGCATGAATTCACTCCCATGAAAATAAAGTTGAGCATAATAGGGGACAGACTGCCTTTAAAGGCTTGAGATGCGAGTAATGCAGTTCGAGTTTGATGCTACTTCTAGCAATTCATAGACCATAGATTTGTTTCACACTTTATTCATTAACTTATTATTATATAATCAATGCTATGTCCACAGTTTTGAAGGTCTGACACATTGTCATTTCATTTGCTATTTATATAGTGTTATTTTCCTAAATTTTTTATATCAGCTGAATTTTCTAACATATTTGCTAGCATAGATAATTTTTAGATTAATATTCATAGAGAGTCAAATCTGAATCTCTTTAGATGTGAATTAAGCAACCTGAACTGGTAAATGAATTCATGGTATAAAAGCTGTGTTGGCATTTATGTTTTTGAAAATCTAACATGGCTTCCATTTCCTTTTTAGTATTTTGCAAACAGTTTCTTGGAATTTTGCTGGCAGAAGGTTTGCGATCCAAGTGTTCCAGTCATATTACGTCAGACAGCTTCCGCATATGTTGGCAGTTTTGTGGCTAGAGCAAAGTTTTTGCAAGGTGATGTAGTGAGAACGTGTTTAGCTCTTTTCAGTGATTGGATTCATGGTTATCTTAATGTCTTAGACTCGTGTGTTTATCCGGACCTTGTAAAGCATTCTGCTTTCTATAGTGCGTGTCAGACTTTGTTTTACGTGTTCGTGTTTCGATTCCAAAGCCTAATAGAGGATCACGGGTGGCGTGTTTATGTTAAAAAAATGAACTTGGATCGTATTGTTACATCGAGGCTTAATCCTTTGAAATTTTGCGCGCCGTCAATCGTCGATATGTTTGCGCGAGTGACACGTAAGTACGAGATCGTGTTTTGCTACACAATAATAGAACACAACAAACGCAGTTATCTACCAACATCGCAAAATAACAGTGTAAGGGACAGAAAAAATATGCTGGATTCTTTTTTCCCATTCGACCCGTACCTGCTGAAAAAGTCGTCAAAATTTATTAAACCTCTGTATCAGGAGTGGACTGGAATCGAGGGTGATGTCCATGTGAAGGGTGATGACCCTGTTAGAGACACAAATTATAACCAGGATATTGTCAGTCCGAAGAAAATGGAAGACATAATGATGAAATTCAGTATCAGCCCAGGAACACCGCGTTTTGACATTTGTGTATCGCCAGGATTTCATCCAGAGATGATGAAGACTGCTACTTCAAATTTTGAAGAGTAAGAGAACACTGACAAACTGATATTTCAATAAAACGCAGCAATAATTGCTATTTCCTTGTAGACATCTATCTTAGTTTCAGTTATTGATGACTGACGTACTGAGAGCTGTCAGTCCATGTCAGTATTTGATTTAAGCAAACAAGTGATGGTCTTTGATGCTTAAAAACTACCTGGAATACTGAAAAAATTTTGTACAGGGGTGACATTCTCCTTCCCAATACACGCGATTGAAGGCAGGTAGCCAACCACAAGTTCTTTTGGAAAGGTAGACATTCATTTCCTGTTTATGTCGAAGACAAAAGACCAGTTCCGAGAGAGAGTCAAGGGGTGCTAGTCCTGGGGCCAATGAACTGGTTTAACAGCTCATAAAATAATATAATCTAGACTAACCTGTAACATAGAGTTGCCAAATAATTGTTTCATTCAGTGTGATTTGTGAGGTAGGCTAAATGTCACTTCCTCTGGGACTTATTAAGGAATTCGACTGCTTTCTTCTTCGGGAACCTTGTGTTTATAAAAGAAATAAAATTGGTTAAAATCACGAGAATTGTGTGATTTACGGATTCTTTAAGGAAGGAAGCTTGTAGTATAATTTCATTCTACATTTCATTTCGGCCCATTTGTTTGAGCTGATCGCTTCTTCAATGGATTTGCGTTGTGTTTTCAATGACGTTTATAAATTACCAGGGCGGCCTTTTAATTAACCAATGTATCTCATATCAAGATTGTTAAAGAACTGAAATATTTATCTAGATTTTTTACATATGATTTAAGCAGGCTGCTTGATATTTACAAGAGGCCCGGACTTTGGTTCTGTTGCCCCCTGCTATCATTGCTATCTAGAATTTTTAACTATGATCTGGAGGTATTTTTGTTGAATGTATGAATAAGATCATATGTTTTCAAATGGTTCCTATGTTACTTACATATTTTGTACTGCTCTGTGTTAACCCTCTGTTTTGACCTCTACTTTTAAACGATTAGAGAAATGCTTCCGCTAGAGCTACTGCCTTGTTTCTAGGCAAGCTGCCCCTCCTTGTTTCTGCGATTTGTATAGTATTAAAGGTAGTGTATGCATATTAGTAGCATGCTTTGAGGGGGTTGTACCTTTGTAAACCAATCAACATGTATGCAGCTTAGTCTAAACCAATCAAACCAACAGCTGAATTCATGTCAGCATACCGTAAGCAGGTTAAGCAGTCTTATTTGCAACTTCAATCTACATGGACTCCCTTCCTTTACTTTGCTTTTTTTGATCTCCCTGCAGTAAGAAACCCTTACCACCCCTCCCCTCTTGTATATAGTATGAACAACAGTCGCTAAAGTCACTTTGTCAGGTTCAACTTTGTTTGCAAAATGCGGTGGTTAATAATATTGAAGGGATTTTACCCCAATATCGCTATATTAGACTGCAAAATGATTGTTCGTGGTTGCTTAGCCAAAATAATCATTTTCTTATACAGTGTCTGCCAAGGGTCTTTTTCACTCCATCAAATTTTTGAATATCCTTTGTCTTATACGAACAAACCGCCCTTCCCCCTTCCTTCCCTTCCCTTTCCTATTGAGTCCTTTCAGAAAGAGATATTTCACTCTACAAGCAAAATATTTTGGGGAAAGGGGGGTTTTTACCGTAAACAACATATTTTTCAAAGCAGCCATATTTTTACCGTAAACAACATATTTGGAAGATTGAAGGGGCAAAGAAGAGTCCGACAGCAGAGGGTATGGGGCTTTACCCCCGGGAAAATTATTGCTGACCACACCCTTAAGAGTTCGAAAAAACGCCCAATTTTGTAAATGCGTTTGAAAAAGCTGTGGCTATATGTAGCTTTTTGTGGCTGACCCCCATTCTACACTGTCTATTTCCTTCACAATTTCTCTAACGTTTATATTCTGAATTGTGTAAGGCGAGGAAGCGCTACGTGTAAAAACCTATTTTTTAGGTTGTAAGCAAATATCTAAAAATAATAAGCAGTATACATAAGTTTCAAAGAAAGTTTTTTATCCTTGGAATAAAATCTGCAAAATCCACGACATGCATTTCAGAATCCAGTTTTTTAAAAAATTGAAGCGCTTTAGCATTTTAATTTCTATTTTATTGGGAATTTCTAAAGAAGGTGGAGGACTTTTCTATATTAACCCTAAGACGAGAGAAATCGTAAACCATGCAGTAGAGGTACAGACGAGGGTCCTCTGCGAACAAAGCGAGCCGAAAATGTTTGCGACGATGCCCTTTAGATTAGCTTAAAATTTCAGAATATTTCTTACAGTCGTTTGCTTGCAGTCTTTAAAATGTTCAATCTGTCTGAAATATCAACTCGAAATTACCAAACGTCGAATAAAAGAACTAAAGTGCTATCATATTGATATCATCGGAAAAGAGACATCTCAAAATTCTATTTAGCTCCTTAAACATCAATTTTATATTCTCTACCGTCTATTAACCAAGGAATGAAAACCCTTTCCAAGGTCTTTTGTTAAAGTTCAACGTTTCCTATTTGTTCTTCTAATCTTTTTCAAATCGTGTCATAGGTGTTCTAAAATTATCATTCAATTTGATTTCCAGTTTCGATGCAATCTAAAATTATCTATCACCCTCAAAATATGAATTCCATGTCCTAAAGTTACGTGTGTACTAATTTAAAATCCAAAAAGTTGATCATTGAAAACTTCAGTCTCGCTGTGATTACGGCCTGTTGTTTCTTTATACAGCGCCTACTCTACACGAATTTTTCACTTCAAAGTTGTGTAGTGTCTTCGAGTTTTCTGTCTTTTTCCGTTCGCTGGTTTTTCTTTATTCTTATTCCAATCGCTTGAGCTCGTGCTAGCCCGATCACTCCAGGAAGCATAGTTAAAAATCCAACTCCAAGGCAACTTATTCCAAAGTATCGAGAACTGCTCCATCCAATTGTCTCTGGGCTTAATGCCGTCATTACCACACCACCTAGGAATATAATTGCGCCAAAAATAAGAAAGATTGCAAACTGGCAAAGCCACGTCGAGGCATTGTCGCGGTTCGTTTTGACGTCATAACCATCAACGAATAGGTTATCCCTTACATAAAGCGAAGGGAGCTCCACTCTGAAGAAGTGTCCCTTGTCTTCCCATTCGTGTGCGCCCCCTCTGCAGCACAGTGGACTGCACAGGTTGTCATAAACGGTAGATTTGAGGGAATCTTCATTTATCAAAAGTTTGTATTCGCCATCATTACAGCATCCACTTTTGGCGACCAACTCTACTTTGTAAGGTTGTCTTTCTATCTTGCCCTCGTCTCCTACGACTTCAAGGTGGAGTTTCCATGAACGACGGGCCGAGCAACAGCCGCCCATCGTGTTTCAACAATTGATACCAAAAAGCCTTCGTTTGCTGCCGATAGCTCGAAGCTACTTCATGCTATATGCTGACTTTATACACAGATCTTCTGCTCCATTAGTATTGGCAAGTCTTGCTTTATAAGCTGTAAGTGAATATAAACGTATTAAAGAAACTTGTACATGATTTTCTGGAGAGAAAATCAGACCAAAATGCGTAATGACACAGAATAGAAAAAGGTTAGAAGGAGAGATCTCCGCAGCACCCTGGGTGTTCTTTCGACATGAAGAAAGCAGTTGCCGTGTGTCTAACCTTGTGCCAGGGAAAAAGTGACAAACATAGGATATGATCATACTTTCACAATGTTTTTCTGTGAACAACAGCAATTGGTCAACCAACCTAAGAGGAAAGGCACTTTTGCCATTTCACGACAAATTTTTATTGAGTCAGCCTCCTATTCAATTACAAAACTTTGTTAGCCTCGAATAAATTATTGCGCATGTGCCTCAATGACACATATCATTGATGTGCCTACAAAAAGCGTTGAATTTAAATAAACAAAATTTCCTTTCTGCCCTTTCCTATGATTGCCTTTATATATGAGGACAGCCTTCTTCAAGCTGTTTGGGACGTTACGCCCTAACGCTGGTTTTTTAAAAGCATTGTTGCCATTACGTATTATATTAGGAATTTTTGACAGAACCCAAACAAGCGATATTTCAAAACAAAGTTTCTTTATTCTTAAACGTAGCAACCAAATTTTTTCTGTAGACAACGATATTTAGTCACCGATAAGCAGGCGAACTGAAATTCTTTTGTCTCTAATCATCGATATTGTCTATATATGTCTGGTTTCAGTCTGTCTATTTTCTTTCTATTTTGCCATCGATTTCACACTTCTTCTATCTTCCTCTCCACCGTTATTTTCTTTTTCTTTCCTCTGTTCATTGTTATTATAGCTATTCAGGCATAGAAAAGCTATCAGTTCTTTTCTGTTTTAGCAACAACATAGATTTCAATTACTAGCGTTAACCAAGTTTGTTTTTCTGGCCTTCCTTGTCTTTGTTTTCTGTGCGGGCATTTTTATAGCATGATCTCAATGTGTCCAAATAGTTTCAATCTCTTTGCAGCATTTCCAAAGATAGGACCTCTTTACTTGTTTGCCTATAAACTACACGTATACACTTCTTCACTTATACACTGTTCGTTCTCCACAATATCCCCCCTTTATAATTGTCAGTATGGGCTCCCAGCCTCCATTTCCTCCCCCGCCCCACCTACACCCCCACCCTCGAAATCATGCAGTACCTAATAAGTTTTATGTCTTAGAACGAAATGGTTATTGTTTAGTCACTGGAAAACACCGAGGTTGGTACCATCCATGCTTTCTCTTGAATGCAGCTCGATTTTTGTTGGATTTTTTAATTGTCCGTCTGAAAATACTGCCCGTAGGCCCTCTCATCGCAACTTTGCAAAACGATTGTTTTTACAGACAGCTTGCGATAGAGGCTTAACATTCGGCGGTCAATTTTGCAAGTTTATTTATTCATAATTAACTTATTGCAGTGCTTGTGACTTAGGAAACTTTTTGAGATCTTTGTTTTCTACTTATGTTAACTGTGTTCGAAGATTATCGAATATTTACAGCCAAAGTTCAAGGTCTAGTAGAACAATAGCCCATGATAAATTATTCAAATTATTCACCTTCTGAGTTCTTCAGCAGCTTTGAGTAGTCGATTCGCTGAGACAGTAGATTTTTGTCGAGCTTTGGTCCTAAACAACACTCCTCACTCCAACAGCTAGCCAACTCTAGAATATAAATAAAGCCTTTTAGGCATGGATGCGTCACATCATTCTTTTTGTGCGAGGATAAAATTATGGTTCTGTTTTAAATTCAATAGATTGTAAACTATTTGAGGCTTTTCTTTCGAGTAGCAGATTTCAAGGGCTGCGTGCGGTTGATAAGACAACCTGAGTTTTTCAAAAGAATCGTTTTGTTGAGATGCATTGTAGTTTGATTCTGCTTTCTTGTCTACGTTCAACAAACTGCTTTCCCACGAGGGATTTTTCTTTGGTACTACGGAAACTGTGCAGTTCTTTATGTGGAGTAACGAAGCAACCAAAAATAATCGTAAAAGGGTGTAAAGATTATACGAACAGTACTGATCGAAGGATCTCAAAAATTACTCTAAAAGAATAAAGAATGACTCTGTTTATACTTTTACCACATCTAGCTTTGACTTTAAAACAGGGAAAGGAAAGCTTAGGGGATGCGGGGGCTACCCTCGAAGAAACGTAGTTTTACGAAAGCTGTGTAGTTCTTAATTAGAAGCATGGTCGTTGGAAGAGGGGTGGCTGGGGGGCTGTCCTCGCCCCCAATAATTTTCAAACTGTAATTATTCCCTTCATATCAGTGTACGGAATTAGAAGCAATAAAATATGCAGCCCCCAATACGAATTTTATTTCGACGACACTGTGGATCAACTAAGCAGCAGATGGAGGCATCAGTCATGTTTATAAAAATATTGGTAACAAAATGTTCGGAAATTGCTGATCGAAGGATCTCAAAAGATTGATTTCCAAAAAAAATAATAAGCCGGTAAAATTTAGCTTTGCCTCTAAAATTTTTAAAGCGAAAAACAGCGTAGGGAAGCTTATGAGATGCGGGGGCTACCCCCGATGAAACATTGTCAGATCACGCCCTTTAAAGCCCTTTTAAATGACCTTTCTGTCAAGAAAGCATATTCAATAAAAGAACTGAACAGCCTACCTGGAAGTATTTAGAAAATGTTAACATATATATCACAGAAAAACTACCGTCAACTTAAACAATTCGTCTTAAACAGACATACCAGTAAGGTCCCCAATTTCTAAAATTTCGAACCATGAGATGAGAGTTGCATCATTCTTGCATACTATTTAGATTTTTAGCTGTTATAGGCAAATGAAAAAATCATATAAAGGTACTTCTTTAATACACGTCCTCCATTTTAGTCCCCTTATTAAAAGAACATATTTAGAACAGAGAGGTGAACTAACGGCGTCAAAGAGTTGGCAAGTTTTTAGAGTCCACATGTTTGGAGCACAGAAGTTGAAATAACACCATAAAACACGTTGAACTATTCAAAATCACTAGTAGTCTTCATCATAGTCAACTTCATAAAAACGATGAAACACATTAAAGAGTTCCTGATTATTTCGTTTGGTTCTTATATTTTAAAACCTACAGTGCTCTATAATGGTTTGACATGAAATAATTCAGTGCTTTATTAAATACTTGCCTAAATCCCTTGAGGAAGCGGAATTGGCGCTCCTTCTACCTATACCGATCTCCCCCACTCCAAACATCACACACTCGCCCTTCCCCCTTTTAGCAATATTGGTTAGCATATTTTCTTCTTATTTGATTGCAGCAAAATTTGGCACAGCTAAAACCATGTTTCTAAACAACTTACATTAAGATATACAACATATTTCATAAGGGTACGGGGGTGCAATGATCCGGGGAGTTTACTAAGGGTTTTGACAAAGGCTGCAGTTACATTGCAGCAAAGAAACTATAAGATAAGATAACTATTTCGTGACTTTCTTACTTTGTTGAATAATTTGAATAATTTGCTTACAATAAGAAATGGTAGAAGATGAAGCAATTGTACTATTCGCCCTTTTGAAAATGCGCGAATAGCACAATTTGAATGCCGTTTAAGGAGTACGGTGGAGGTCTGGTGTTGAGTTACAAGAATTTCGTAAATGTTAGCTATAAAGCCCTGTGAATTTTGTATCTACGACACCCTTCCGATTCTCACAAATTGCAGCATAAAAACTTGCCGATTATAGATTCAAAAATCTCAAGTATTGAATGCATTGACACTATGACAAAAGTATGTTTTGGTAACAGGATTAACTACGTTAAGAAACAGCCCTTAAGCAGTCAATATCAATAATCATTCTCTGTAATTGTTTTTTATAATGCTAGGTCAGAATCAGTAGAACTCAATTCTTTTCTTATCTCTCCTACTTTTGTCTCCCTATTCCAAATCAGGTTTTCTTTGAGTGCCCCAGTTTCTACGAAGAAAGACAGGGGTTGCAGAGCAGCCAGCAAACAAAGTATTCTTACCAACCCAGCAAACAATGTACCCTCAACGCTCCATTTTGCCATATTTATATCGATAAAGCATCTCGCTTTAATATCTCTCCTCCCATTTATAAATATTGATTTAGGCCTCCGCAAATTACTTAACGGTAGACTAATTAAAAAATAAGACCATATGTTTGTTAACGAGTAGCAATGTGATTGATTGATTCATTGATTTTACACAATATGAAATGCTAACATCAAATAAAAAACATACTTTATTTGCTGGAATACCTTGAACGATCTATCCTGCGACGATCTATTGAAACCAGTTGTAAGTGACGTTAATTCCTTGCATTTTGTTGTGACTGCCAGTGGTGTCGTCCTACTATGCATGCAGCAACTGAGTATTAAAAAAACTATGACGCACAAAGCGACTTGTCTATGAAATATCTGTTTACTTCCATTCCCAAGAAAACAATGATACCTAAGGCGAGATGCAAGCTACAGAATCACAAGGGGATTGGTAGCAATAAACTACTATGAGTCATATTAACTTATGAAGTTACCAGCAGGTCCTGTGTAGCAAGCCGTTTCCAAGGCAACAATGATATCTACTTGTGGCCTCTTTGTTAAGCCACAACATAGAGACAATGATTATATTTGGCAATACACGTTTTGTTGGGACGCAGACTCTGAATTCGTCACACATCTTGAAACCTCGCCTTAATTTTATGAATTATTTAACTTGAATACCAGCTGTTTGTCAGTGCCAGAGCGAGTTTGTGATTTGTGCTCAACATCGTTAGTTTGGACGAGTATTGTCCACATTTTATGGACACTTTATGTACCAGAATGGAGATTGCATTCTAAAACTTTGAAGTTCCACCCTTTAAAACAGATGAAGTTCACTAATTTTAACACTGATAGCAAAAATAGCAATCATTTACACATTCATTACACAATCATTTATAATCAATAAGAGAAAAAGTAAGCAATAAATTTTCACAGAATGTGTTGTGTTTCACAGAACGGAGCAACAACCTTTGCTTGATCCTTTATTGATTAAATGACCTGAAGGCCTCTGAAATACCTAAAGCGTTTCTTCCACCGAGCGGATTTTACCTGAAATTTCCTACTGAGATACTATTGGGGGGTGTGGCACGCCCCCATACCCCCCGGTTGCAACACCCCTGACCAGATAAGTTCTTGCAATGCTGGCGATTTTACATTGAAGCACCTCGAGAATATTGGTTATTTTTGCCTGAGTTAAATGGTCAACCGTCGACACTTATGTTACACCGCAATACTTTATAAGAACCAGGTAGTTTTTGTCAAGGCTCGGTTGTTCTCATTTTTGGGATAATTTGAAGTTCTCCTGTTCTTTATTTTGTTCTTTTTGCAACATCGGTTTTTCTACAATTACATACTACACATTGTGTCTAAGACCACTGAATAACAGTTTTGCATAAATTTTTTATAGCACGGACTAATTTGCTGATAAGTTGTTTATTCTTGCAATTTTTTACATGAGGCTGGACCCTTATACTGTTCTTTTTTTAACCGGAAGATCAAGCCTCAGAGCTCTTATAAAACCAGTATGTCAGAAAATCCTTATAAGTTTATGCTTACCTTTAGTCATATCTGACGTTCATTCTCTGAGCAGTGCTATCTTTAAAGTTTTCTAAAACTTTTTTGTGCTTAATTTAAAGTTTTCTCAAAAGTAATGTAAGTAAAATAGATTTTGGTGATGCAAAAGTTAGAAAATGGATTTGAAAAAAGAAATATCTTGAAAACGTTAAAAAATGCTTTGGCGCTGTGCTGCCTATTTTTGTAAGGTACTAATATATTGTGCGGGAATTCGTGAGCCGTAACCTTTACAATCTAGGAAGGCCCCGCATATTTAAGCTTTTTTCGTGGATTTTAAAGCTTTTCATTGCATAAAGCTTATTTATAAACTATTGGAGTCTGTCACGATGTTTACCTTACAAAGTTGTTTTGATGCCATAGAAGCCATATTTTATCCAAAGCGCTATTAATGTTTATCGAAAATAGTTTACTTACATAGACACGCCTTTGAAATTCTGCTTGTTATCACATTACCGGTGGCTTCTTTGTCTATAGGTTTTCTCAGAGCATTTCCCTCTTGATAAATGCAAAGAATTGCTCAGAGATAATTTTTGTCCTTGTGGAGATAATTATTTGGAATAGAATCGATTTGCTCTCCTTTCCGTTAAATTATTTCATAGAAAACAATTTACCATAACATTGGGTAGAAAAGATGATACCTAGAAAATGACTTCTTTTCGACAAATTTCAATTTAGAATCTCAGTAAGCAGGAAACTACAAAACAAAAGAGAACAATCAAGTTTACTGGTAAATTATTTCTTACAACTAAAATATAAAAGTACAATTAAATTACCTGATACATTACCTAGGCATATAAATATTCTTATGAACAATTGTGATCGTTAACAGTAATTTTGCATATTATTTTGCAAAAAGCCTTGGCTTTAGTTTTCACTTATAAATTCAATATTTTGTCTATTTATCAAATTGAAGTGATATGGCAACATTCTTCTTGTGTGTAGAAATATGCTGCATCATTCTAGCCATCTGTCTTAGATTTCTCAAATTTACTCATTTGGGTATGGAAATATGTTTTTTTTAGTAGGGTGAAAACTGATGAAAAAGTCTTGGGACCTGCAATTTTTTATACACAGGTAGTCAAGTGCCCCTCTGCCTTGTTTCTATGTCTCATTCAACAGGGCCACACTAACACTTTTAGGGCCCAGTGGGAAATGCGGCCCTGCCATTCGTCAATCAATCCTAAACTGCTCTAAAACATCAGTACCTATAAGTACTGACAAGGAGAAGTGATTTTCCCACCAATAATTTGTGGGGTTTGTTAATGAGTGCAGGATAATCGAGATTCATACATATTTTTAAACTGTCATCATTCTTTGCTGTATCGCCATAAGGCAACAGTATCATCACAGCCTCCAGTAACCATAATACCATTTCTAGAATGAACACTGGAGATTTCCAAAGTATGTTCATGAAAAGTTCCCAGCAGCTTCAAACTCCTGTCTGGGGTGTAGGCTCTGTAATATCCTGTAGATGCACATGCAATCAAAGCTCCATGAAAGTTTTCCAGCTTTAGGACTTTGTGGTCCTTCCACAGCTGATATGACTCTAGAAGGACAAAATTTTGGCTTGATGTGTCATATAGATTGAGGACACCTTTTTTGCTACCAATTCTCAGGTACTGGAAACCCATATCATGGGCAAGATTCATGCTTAGCACCTCACTTCCAATGCCAATTGAAGACAGAGTATGGCCTGTCATTCTCCTGTCACATATACTGACTGTTTTATCTTCACTGCCAGATATGACAAAATCTTCATGGACAATAAGTGACAGTATAGGTCCCTTATGCTGTATAATTTCTTGTACATCTTCAGATCGTGGGTCAAAACTGCGCACTTTCTTATCATAACAACCACTGAGGATCAACCCATTATATGATGTCATTGTCAATATTGCAGAGGGGTGATACTTGAACGTGTGAATGTTCTCTGCATTTTTATTCAAGTCCCAAACTTTTACACTTTTGTCCCACGATCCAGTGATAACTTCATGTGGTTGCCTTGCATCAGTTGTTACAGACCATACCCAGCCCTTAAACAAATAACAGAACCAAACAATTGAAAATTACACATATCATGAATGACAGCATTTATTAATCTTTATTCGAAAATCCTTACTGGTTAAATATTTTAACTATTCCTAACCAGGCTCAATCTGAAAAGTAGCATTTACGCACCACCGATTGCGCACATCTCCTTATCACTTAAGCTTGACATTTTTGCCTCAGCTAAGAACAACAGCTAATCAAAAACTCTTCTTAACAAATAACAAATGATTCTTAACAAATAACTAGGATGTTTGTCAATTTAGAAGAAATACCTTTGATACAACAATTTTCAACAAAGAGAATTTTACCTCTTGTATAAAGTCTGGTAAAAAGGAAGTACAAAAGTTGCAAGTGTCACAAATAGTGTCAACATTAACATGTGAATACTTTTTCTGATTATCAATGCAAGGTTGCAATAACTGTTGCTGAAGCAACTTCAGACTTGGAACTACAATCATTCTCAATTATTTTCCTTAAAATGGTTTCAAAAGCACATTCTTTTGCACTTACAGTATGCCCTGATAAAGTGACAGCTTCCTTGATATCACATTCAGTTTCATCCTCGAAAGAGAACTTTTCAATATCCCATACAACAACTGATCTGTCCCTAGAACCAGAAACAGCAAACTTTTTCCCAGGCATAACATGGACTGCATCAACTGGTGCTGAGTGTCCCAAAAGCTTTTTGCAATTAAGCTTCAATCCACCCTTGCTCCTCCAGAAATTGTCAACATCATCATAGGTAGAGTATATGCTTCTCCAACTGTTCACATTTTCAAGATCTTTCAAAAGATTGATATGCTCCCATTTCAAGCAAAACACAGTCTGCCAGATATCCTTTGCACTCAAAATTTCATAAAACGTTTTACATGTGACAATTACTGTCTTGAAAATTGTTCTGATATCAAGATGAACAAAGATTCTAAGAATCATTTCTGGAGGTAAATCAAGAATACTCAGACCTTCCACAGGACCATTGTGCTTGAAATCCGCTTCATTTTCTTCTTCTAATGATGAAGTTGTGTTGGTAATCTCTCCATCCTGGTCATTGGAATCATCATTCACTTTGATATCTGCTACTTTTTCTTCAAGAACTCGCATGTTTGTTGCCATTGAATAAATTTTAGCAAATTAATATGTTTCCTTAAAATGAAGATGTTCATAATTATATTTTGGCAATGCACACAGTTATAAGCACAAATCATTGTAAAAAGTGACTATGAACAGAAAAATTATCATCAAGTACTAGCACATTTTTTTCCGATCTTTAAAATCGCTTATAGATAACCTAAGAAAAGGACTAAAAACAAAATAAAATGGTTTTTAGCAATATTCAAATAGCAACGACCTTTCGCCAATTTGCAGAGGATGATAATCCTTTGGTCCACCAATGTCTGCGTCGCGTGTCATATAATTGGTAATCAAACGGTCACGGGTTCAACAAAGAGATGAAATGACTAATAACACAAAATACCTCGTTGAGAAGCACTTTCTATTTAACATTTGATCCCAATTATATGTTGTCAATTTGTATTTTATAAAAAATCGTAATAACCAGATATAGCCTAGCTTTTTTCGTTAAATATGAATATAATTAAACTGCAAGTTCGAAATAAAAAAATTAAGAACAAATCTCTCACCTAAATCTTCAAAGAACGGTGCTTAAACGTTTATATTTTTAGCAGCAGTTTTTCGTCATGGTATGCAATTTCCCATGCTAACCTAACATGGCGGAAGATTGAGGAGAGAAGATTCAGAATGAGGCCAGGACTTTAAGCGATATTTGATATAGGACAGTCTCCACGACAACGCGCTAATGGTGCCTAGTAAACTTGGGTCGATATTTGATATTGTTTTACTGCTTTCTGGGTAGATAAGGTCCATGGGTCGGTAGCTCACTTACCGCTTTCAAATTGGAAATGGAAATGGCCGCCGAAAGTTAGACAAAACGCTAGCGTACGGTGCAAAGCCATAAAATACGTAGAAAAGATGTCTGCGAGTCACAGACTAACGCAGTCAAGTCGAAGAACAGTAAGGACTTCATCCTTCCCACAAGCAAGTGGTGTTTCACCAAACACACAGAATTTTTCCCCGAAGCAAAGAGGCTACTACTCGGATATCGTTGTTGGACAGGGTAGCAGTGCCCAGCTCAATGTAAGTGAAACAGTAACACCCTGTGGGTTCTTGTTAACGAGGTTTATATTGTGCACAAGATGTCCACTTTTAATAGAATTGAAATTTGCTTGAAAATATGCCTCAGTTAACGATCATTTCTATCCAGAGGTGAAGCTAGAGCCAAACATAGTTGGTCCTGTATGTATGGACAGGTCCTGCTTATTCAATAAGAAACGCCCATGAAAAAAATTCTTTTTCTGCAGATGAATTTTTTCTTCAATTCAGTAAAAAGCAAATGTAGCAAACTCATACTTAAAGGCATGCTATGGCGCTTTCCAGACAAATCTTTGTTAAATTGTAGTAAGCCTCTACAGCTGATGTAAAAGTTCAACTTGGTGATAACTAAATTTGACAACAATAAGGGACAGGGGTGACATTAGAAGTTACCTATTATATATTTATGGTAGCTGAAATAGTCTAATTATATTTTGGTCCTATAAATCTGACAATTCTAGATGCATTATTAAAACATATTAAATAAATAACAGAGTTTAAATCTGTACGGACAAGTTCACATATTATGCAGGACAATTATTCTGCAGCTGATAAAGAGTGGTACACTTGAATAATTTGTTGTGTTATCAATGAAAACAACTTCATTAGCCAAACCATTAGATGAGCCAAACAATTCTGATAGAAAAATACACTCTCATACTAGCAGTTCAGCATTCACCTTATCGGTAATCAACATAG